AGTCTAAAAACCACCTTTTTGTCGATGTACGAGGGTGGTCCCAGAAGTACCCGACCCGACCTAGAGATGGCGATAGTTATTTGAAAAATATCATTGTATTAGAAAGTATGCAACCTATAAAGCATATGTGTCAAGTTTGAAGACGCCACGTTGTTTAGTATTTGTTTGGCAGCCATCAATACTGAACGCTTTCAATGAATTTGTAAAAATGGAGAAAATTGGTCATCGTTATGTGGTACAATACTCTAATTTCAAAGGCCTCAGCCCAACCAATATAAAAACTGAACTGGATTCTACTCTGGGTGAGTCTGTTCCTTCGTTTACAACAGTAAAATATTGGATAGCAGAGTTTAAACGAGGCCGTATGAGTTGCCAAGACGAGCATCGCAGTGGTCGACCAAATGAGGTGACGACTACAGAAATGGTGAAGAAAATTCACAAAGCGATACTGAATGAACGTCGACTGAAACTGCGCGAACTAGCAGACATAGGCATTTCGAAAAGTGCGGTTCATCGCATATTATCTGAAAATTTGGACATGAGAATGCTGTATGCAAGATGGGTGCCGCGGTTGCTCACAATCGAGCAGAAATCAGTGTCGTGAAGATGTTTCAATTGAGTGTTTAGCGAAGTTTCACAGCAACAAAGCAGAATTTTTGCGTCGTTTCATAACGATGGATGAAACATGGGTCCATCACTCCACACCCGAGACAAAAGAACAATCAAAACAAAGGACTCAAAAGGGACAACCGGCTCCAAAGAAGGCGAAGACCGTTTCATTTGCAGGCAAGGTTATGGCGTCGGTTTTTTGAACTGCATGGGATAATTTTCATTGACTATCTTGAAGAAGGTAAAACTATCAACGGCGAGTATTATGCGAACTTATTGCAACGTTTGAGCGATGGAATCAAGCAGAAACGGCCACATTTGGTTAAGAAGAAAGTGTTGTTTCATCAAGACAATGCAACAAGCTCAAAAATCCGTTATTGCAGTGCCCAAAATTAACGAATTAAAGTTTGAGTTGCTACCTCATGCACCCTATTCACCAGATTTAGCCCCCTCGGATTATTTTCTGTTTCCAAACTTAAAGAAATGGCTCAGTGGTCAAAGATTTTCCAACGATGAAAAAGTTATGTCGGCGGTTAATGGTAATTTTGAGGGGCAAGACAGTTCTTATTATAAAAAGGGTATCGAACTCATTGAACGTCGCTGGGAAAAGTGTATAGAGCTCAAAGGAGATTATGTTGAAAAATAGATACATTTTTTTACAAAAATTTTGTTTTTTCCGTTGGGTCGGGTACTTCTGGGACCACCCTCGTACACCTTTCATGTAAACTGGTGTCATTGATCCAATTATGAATTATTTTTAGCTGTTCATTCGCTTTCTCTTATAGAGTATGAACCTAGGAGCTGTTTTGGTTGAATCCAACTGGATTTCATGCGACACACAATTGAAGCGCGACATAATATTTGTAATAATGAGATGTCGAAAACCAATGTTACTCAAGGCTGCTTCGTTTGGAGTCATGAACCATGCGATGTTTCTTGCGGTATGATTATTCTCATTTAATCAGTCAAGTGCAAAAAGTATCTGATTCTCTGGGCACAGGTGAGCCTCGCATTCTTGGGAGACATTTTTAATCCGATTTTATCCATAACCACGTGTTTTGAAGACGCCTCAACATGATTCAGGAGGCTGCGAAGGTGGTAACTTCTTTTCCGGAACGCAAGAAATTGTTGTTTTACGCTAAACAGGGTTGACTGAAATCCTGAGTATTCGTGTACAGCAATATTCAATTTCTGAAAAAGTAAATCAATTGAAAATCAAAAGCGGCCAAAATTAATGGGTAAACTTTGCCACTAAAAATCGCGAGAGTCCATGCAGTTGAACCAGGCGGTTTAAGTATCACTCCAAGTGCAATTCCGCGCCCAAAAAATTCTCTGAAATGAAATGAGGTATCTATGCTTTATATATATATATATATATATATATATATATATATATACAGAAAATGATCATGCGGTTATTACTTGTTGAGGTTGCAGCCAAATGGTCTTTCAAAACGAACACGTGGAATATAAAACCAAACGGACGGACACATTGGGTTTATTGATAACGACGGAAACCATCGTTAGGTGTTAACACTATATATCAATACACTCGAACACATTAAAAATTAACGAAAAGCAATTTTGGGGACAAAAACCGAAACTTCCCTTCTAACTTCCTATATCGTTTTGAAACACCATTTGGCTGCAACCTCAACGACGACTCCTGAAGATGGCTCCATAGAGAATGCCGAAAGCTCGAGATTACTGTTAAAAGAGTATAACTAAAGCCTAAAAAGTTTGCCAATTTCCCAATTAACAATTGATTGTATTGTTTGCCCAACTGGTGGTTGGCAATGGCAATGACTACTGGTCACGTATACATATATATATATATATATATATACAAACAAAAGAATATTAAATATATATATATAGAGAAAGAAAATTATCATGCGGAGAAAGGTATATAACAAAAATAGGAAAATAATGGGCAAAATCCGCAAAAAGTGGATTCGAGCAGAAAATAGGATAGGTAACCCGAGCGATAAGTATTTGTGCTGGTTGGCTTCATCAGGCCCGAAATGAATGCACATATGCACTACAAAAGTAGATACACATGCCCATACATGGCTATAACCGGCCGGGTGGTGGTGGTTAGACGTCTCCTTGAAAATTCGAGGTCGTATAGCCATTTTATACTACAGTGTGTAGGTTGGCTCTTGTTGTGGACTTCGTGTGTACCGTTTTTTTTCCCTCCAACTTCGTTTCCTCAGATTACACCCGTATCCGGATGTGTGGGCATGTGTATCTACTTTCATAGTTTCATATGTGCATTCATTTCGGGCCTGATGAAGCCTACCAGCAGAAATACGTATCGCTATTTTCTGCTCGAATCCACTTTCCTCCTTTTTGCGGATTTTGCCCATTATTTTCCCACTTGTTGTTATATATATATATATATATATATAGTATTCATAGTTAATTGCCTTAACTGTTAGGAGAACATATCCTTTAATTTCTTTGGGTAGAAGTACACTCTTATAACTTAAACCCCCAACATCGATTTGTCCCAATAATCGCTCAACCTACACAAAATAATGTTGCACTATCTTAACAAAATCAAATTAAAATTTCTCAACGTTTTTGTCCTCAAGTGTGAATATCCCTTACGGATTTTTTAGTTGTTTGGTAGGATAACATCCAAATCACACTCCTTCCAAAGCAACTCCTATCGGGTTTTGAAAAATTCTTCGTACTTCATCGGACAACAATAGCGAAACCTCTTGCACTATATATTACAAAACGCCTTACTAGTAGGCAACACACTTCACATGACGACGTAATGGGTAACCTATCAATAATTTTCAATGTCACACCTCATACCCTGCTGTAGAATGTCAGTCTGCCGACACGTGTTGGATAATGTGGATGTTATCAGTAGAAAAAAAGATGAAAACTCGGGGAAGTTTTTAATAGTTGATAGTTTTAAAATCTCCAAATTTCTTCCAAAATCAATCAACGCTATTTTATAAAAAAACCTTTCAAAATGATTTGCCATTTAATAAGAAAATAATTCCGTCCTAATCGAACCTCATCAGTCCAGTTTATTCGTCAACTATGTGTTCCCTTCACTGTTGTTCTAAAAACAATTTCAGCAACAATCTCGCCGACTTAGTAAGTAAATATTTCTCTCCTAATTGCTATTTGTTGCTATTGTTAATAATTGTTTCCAGCTCCAGACGATGAAGACATAGATCTTCGAAAGCTTGAGAGTTTAAGTTATAGGAGTGTACTTTTGCAATACTTTGCCTTCTACCCAAAGAAATTAAAGGATATATATAGTATATATATATACATATATATATATATATATATATATATATATATATATATATATGTTTTGTTTGTACCGAACGTTAATGGTTAAAGTCCGTGACTCTAGGTACACTTTTGACTATAACTTCCTTATAGTTGTATTCAATATATCAACCTGAAGAATTTTCTATTTTGCAGGTATTGAAAGCATCCTACACGTACGTCAATCTACTGAGTCAATCTGGTTAACGTGCAGGATCAACTGGTTGCATGACTTGAATAAACAAGTGTTTATGATATTAGGGTTGTAGAGTAGAGAATACACACATAGCAGGCGAATTTGGTTTCATTTCATGACTTGCTACTGTAGGAATTTTTTTAATACATTGAAAGGATTTAAGCAACCTACAAATGCCTAGTGGTTCAAATGACCTGAACCATCAAAAAGCGTCATTAATATATTTTCAAGCTCGTCGATAATGAATATAATTTCATTTGTCAAAAATCAACATAGCGCAATCAATATGCTGGACATCTTTGCAAAAAAACGTTGTGATTGCGCTCAAATTCAATTTTTCTATGTTCGCTGGTAACGATCTTAGCATCCATTTATTAAAAATTAAAACTGCGGATCCAACATGGTGGACGTATTTGCAAAAATGTGTTGATTGTTCTCAAATTCAAGTTTATTGTGTCTTTGAGGTCGCTAAACGAATTTGATATCTACTTTCTCTAAATCTAAATTGCAGAAGCTGCATCAAATTGTCACACTGCTTGGGTGGTGTCTGATAAGTATCAGCAAAATCTGGAAAACATTTATGGACTTTCGGAGTGTTTTTGTGGTTCTCAAACAAATTGCGAATCATGACTTGTCACTGGAGCTTCCCATAGAATAGTGAAAACACTTGCTTCTCTAAATTGACTGCAACCTTGCTTTTCTCGGCGGAGACAGAAGTCTCAGAGTCTGCACCGGTTGGTCATCTTAGCTCCCCAAATTACGAGGAGTCCGCAGCAGTGTTTCCAGCTTCAGAGACGTTTCTTTGGAGTCCTAGAATGGAAGGGGATTCTGTGGCTTCGCCTCAAGTCCACAACATCAGGAAGAGGTATCCGGTAGAGAGAGGAAAATTTACCGCAAAAACAACGTTTATATCAAGATATATTTTAAAGTTCACTACAACTAACGTACAAGCAAATATTTAGAAACATCTGGGCTCAAAGCACGCCTTTCTTCTTATAAGCTCTCTAGGACATGGCTTGCCGCCATTTTGTGCTGGTCTCTTGATAATTCTGAACCGCTCCTTGATCCCTCTGCCACAGCTAGCACTGCATGGGCTCCACTCTGACCATTCAGTTACCATGCAGTCTACTGTTCCGTCGAGATAGTTCTGGTTCAAAGGCGGGATGCGCGTGGAGGGTTGGAGGTTTCCGGTTAAGGCATCTTCAGATGAAAAAAAAACATATCATTGGAACTGTGCTTTTCTCCATGCATGCTTGTTTCAATCATTCACATAACTTAAAGCGGATGCATGTTGTATTGCAATAGCCTTGCAATAGATTTTACAGTTACAAACTATCAAATCTCACAGCCAAGTGAAAGCTTCTGCCAGCTGATAAAGCTATTCAACTGTTATTGCAATATATGGGGTTGTCCAAAACGGACACAGGAAAGTAAACGTATATTAAAACAAGAAAGATTGATATTCAAATCAAGTTGGGTACTTTATTTTGAAGGTTCATTTAACCATTTATGTATGAAAAATAATATCGCTCAAATGTTCACCACGACTGGATTTACAGACGTCAACGCGATGGTCGAAATTTTCAATGACATTTTGCAACATGGTCGGTTCTATGGCATTTATCTCGGCAATGATGTTGTTTTTGAGTTCTTGGAGGGTGGCTGGTTTATTGACGTAGACTTTGCTTTTCAAATATCCCCATAAAAAGAAGTCCTAGGGAGTCAAATCGCACGATCTTGGTGGCCATGGCACATTTCCTCTGCGCGAAATCACGCGATCACCGAAGAAGGACTGCAATCGATGGATATTGACGTTGGTTGTGTGGCATATTGCACCGTCTTGTTGGAAATAAACGTCGTCCATATCCATTCCTTCAAGTTGCGGCAAAAAATAGTCCTCTATCATCACGTGATGCGGAGCAAACTGGTTGTCGAAATGCCCAATTCTTGGGATCGACGCGATGCTGATTGTTCCGGATCGTCTCTCACACTCTTCTTCACAACAGCAATATTTTCCAGTGTGCGAACGCTCCTTGGCCGACCAGAGCCTGGCAGATTTGCCACAGAACCTGTTGCCTCGAATTTACGCACCAGACGACCGATGGTTGTTTCGTTTGGGCGGTTGCTGCGACCGAAATGTTCACGAAGCGCGCGAAACGTGTTTTTTATTTTTGCACCATTTTTGTAGTGCTCTTGAATAACTTTAGTGCGGTCTTCAATCGAATACGACTCCATAGCGATCAATGGTAAACATTCAACTAACAAAATGACATGTCGGTGACAGAAAACAAAGATGGCGTCTATGTCAAATTGACGTTTACTTTCCTGCGTCCCTATTGGACAACCCTACGAGGTCTGTAAATTAAGTTATGAGTTATGGCCAGTAAGCACATTCCTGCTGATCCTCAAGCCCCTGATTCGCCTGAGTCCTTGCGACTTTGTTCTTCTCCCGAAGTTCAAAAATCACCTCAAGGGAACTCATTTTGGGACAATCGAAAATATTCAAACCGCTGTATCCGACCAGCTATTCCAGCGCCGTGAGGCTTCAGAAGGAAGTTATTTTAAGGGTTAAAATGTAAAATTTTAATTATATTTAAATTGAAAAAACAGAAAAAACAGTCTCATCACTTAATTTTCAGACCTCGTAGGATAAAGCTGCTGTAACTCAGGATCGAAGTTGCCTAAATGATTCGTTTATATCAAAGACAACTGTGTTTCTACTACTTACCACTAATTTACAAGTGTACGGATAAGAACGAATTGAATTATGAATAGCTTTATTAACTTTAATACTACATTACTCTTGCATCGACCTTTAGAAAAACTCTAATTTAACAACATGTAGGGGTAATCCGACTGCCTTTCTTAACTTTCTCGAAAATTGAAAAGCTTTTTAAAATGCAATGTCAAACGTTTATTTTTCCTGAAAATGAAAGGCATTGTCTAGACTTTGTTGGACGGAAACTGATTTTCTACCATTTTTCCTCTTTCTGTGTAACCTGATAGATTTTTCGGATTAGAACAATAAATAAATACCTTACAGAATATTTAAAAGCAAAGTCATGTAGATATTTAGGTTAATACGCTTTAAAGCATTTAACTCGATAGTTAACGTACCAAGCTCAGGTGTAGAAAAAATAGTATGATATATTTCATCAAAATTACTAATAATTGTACCTCCAAGACCAGAAATAAAGTAACATTAGAGGCACTTAATTTTTGAATTCTAAAAAAATACTTGCATTATGTCTCTAAATGAATAGTTGTCTTTCATACAAAATCATCAAAAAACAGAAATATTGCTAAAGTGTTGATTTTTTAGTAGAAGGTATAACTTTTTTCACTGTCTGGATATAAACAGAATCTTTGACAATACCTCTAACTACTTGGCAGACACCCATGCATTCCTCGAATGTCAAAAAGTTGTTCCGATTGCCTCTGCAGCCTCCATAGATAAAAGAAAGGCAGGTAACTTTGGATGAGTCGAAGAACCATCTGTTGAAGTAGCCTTGACATGGTCCTTGGTCTGCATCTTGCATGCATACCACTGAAAATGGTACATTAATCATTAGTTGCGAGAAAATAACTGCTGTGGGAGATAAAAGCTCATGCATTTTACATCGTTATAAAGGGAATTGAAAGACCATTAAAATAAGGTATCACTCGACCCCCCTTTCCATTTAAGATTTTAGGGTTGGTGTCACCCCCGCCCAGGGAGCTGCACGTGTTAACGTGATTTTTTGCCAAACTTGTGTCCCCCTCGAAAACAAAATCGACGGGTCTGAGCGTTTTTCCAAAAAAAAACTGAGCTGCCAGTAAATGCGTCTGTTTCGTTTTCGATGCGCCACCCTGTATATATTAGTAGAGACAATATTTAAATAGTAGCCGTTACCTTTGGCAGTCCCCATGTCCACAATACATGTAGGCACATCTTCGCAAGGCAACTGCTGCATCAACTCTACTCTGCTGCTGCAGACCTGTTGCATGGATGGTTCTACTAGCAGCAATCTGGTCCTAATTTTTATACCTTTTCCACAAGAAGCACTACAGGGACTCCAATCGCTCCATTCCGTTGTTGGACAGAGCGCGTCTGTTCTCTCTGTTTGTTCTGGAGCACATTCTGGGGTCATGCATTTCTCTTTCTCAACTATAAATTATAAATAAAAGGATTGATTAACCCCTTCAACCTGAAGATAGCCAACCATGAAGTGTATTTCGGCGTCCGAGATGGAATGTGAGCTTGTGATATCTATGCTTCTCATCTCCGCAATAATTCCAAATCTACAATGAAAATGTAGTGTCTCATAGATGGCAATAATATGTTTATATGCTACAGGACCATCTATAAAACACTAACCTTTTCAAGGTGGATTTCTAGTTATTGAGGAGAGGAGAAACAAAGCTGTGACAAATTCTCATAAATGAGGCCAAGATATCTATCCGGCCTTATGCAATAAAGTCGAACAGAAGAAGGTCTCCCTGTGTGTGATCTGACCATAATTTCACTAGAACACAGGCTGTCTAAAAATATGCTTCTCACTTGGAAAATATGTTTTCTCTATAGGGTGATTTATTAGATACTGACCTTCTTGTGAATTTCATATCAGAGCGAAAAAGCTATACTGATCTCTATTAACATAAAAAACAGGCAATTTATACCAACAACAACAAACATGATTTAGGATCTAAGAACGTCTTACAATAAAGAGAAGGTAAAATATATTTGGGATTTTGATTGAGCCAACCGAATATGAAAACCACAGGATAAGTTTCGATAGTTACATTTATCTAAAAGAAAATTAAAAAATTGCCCTCTTGCTTCCTGGATATATTAGCAGCGACACCTTGAACGTATGCCTTAAAACTTAAGCCTGAGAACGTAAATACGCCTAAAGTGATAGAATTAAAACAGTCTTCACTAAATAAGTTGAGTTTAGCTGTTACGAGGGATGTCTTTTAAGTTTTGCATATAGAAACATAGTAGGCCGCGCGGGTCGAACGTCAGTACTGAATCTTAGTAAACTTAAAATCAAAGTTTCACAACAATACGTGCAGTGTTCTCACTACAGTGAATTTTTAAGTGTCACCAAGTCATTAGAAAAATGGAACTAAACCGAGAACATTTTCGCGCCATAATTTATTACATCAAAAATGCCTTGCTGAGTTACTGTCTGTTTTCGGCAACGAAGCGCCACATCAGTCGACAATTTCCTGTTGGTATGGAGAATTCAAACGTGGACGGGTGAGTCTTAGTGATGATTCCAGCGTGGGTGCACCAAAAACGACAGTCACCCAGGAAAACGTCGATGCTGTGCGCAAACTCATCATTGAAGATAGACATGTGACATATCGCGAGATTGGGGCGTCCTGGAAGATCTCTGGTGTCAAAAAAAGCTTGACCGTTTCAATTTCAGAAACTCAAAAAATGTGTACAGCATTATTAGTGGTGATGAATCGTGGATTTGCTGTTATGAACCAGAAAATAAACGAAAGTCGGCTGTTTGGGTGTTCTAAGGTGAAGAAAAGCCGACAAAAGTCATCCGCCGTTCTTGAAGTGTTTCGAAAAAGATGGTCGCGACATTTGTGTTAAAAGCGGGTCATATTGCAACAATTTCTCTTAATGAGCAAAGAACTGTTACTGCGGATTAGTATACCACCATTTGCTTGCCAAAAGTCATCACCGAGCTTCGAAAAATCAACCCCGAAAGAAGAATCATCCTCCACCAAGGCAATGCAAGCAAGAAAACGTGGAATTATTGGACCATCCTCCATATAGTCCCGGTATAAGTCCTAACGATGTCTCTACTTTTCCAAAAATTAAAAACAGACTGCGTGGTCAAAGGTTCCAGTCAAAAGAAAAAGCAGTAGACGCATTCAAAAATGCCGTTTTGGATCTGCCAGCAAACGAGTGGAATAAGTGCCCCGAAAATTGGTTCGAGCGCACGCAGATGTGTATTAATCTTCGTGGAGAATACTTCGAAAAACAATAAAGTCATTTAAAACTACCTACCGTGTTGTTTTATTTCCATATGCAAAAGTTAAAAGACATCGTACGTAGGATAGAACTAAAGGATTCCGCATGAGAAGAAGGATCACCATTACACAGTACAGTAATTACATTGCTATTTCTTGATGTCCGATTTACAAAAAGGTGGGATTTAACTCAAAAACGAGTCATACAAACTCCCATAAACATCAAATCAAATATAAGCTTGTAAATGGAAATCTGAGAACATGAAAATATACAGAGTATGTCATTCGAAGATTTTTAGAAACTGCTCAATTTGATCTCTTAGCCTTCCTGTATAAACTATCTAGAAAACTTGGAAAGTAAGTCGATAGGGAAAAAATATGGGACCATAAAATTTTTACTGACGAAAAATTCAGTATTCTAGCTATAACAGTTGCAGAGCTGCGAGATTCAGCATCTTTTATATTTGAAAATAAAACACTACAGTATGTTATATAACATTGCTTCAAAGGAGTGGAACTATTCAAATTTGCAATAAGATGAAAGAAACTCCAATTAAAAAAGATGCATGTGTGGATCACTACGTAATTTTGAATCAACCTGTAGAGATGAGAGATAGTATTGAAGTCAGGGGCATACTGTTGCCTACAGTTTTTATTCTTGAGCTTTTTAGATAGATGAGTTATCATCCGAGCTCACACCACAAACTCACCCTGTTAGTAATATCCATATGTACCTAGTGAAATTTCACTCATACATATAGCATCAAAATTCAAAAACTGAAAAGATATGTAGGTCATGTCTATTCAGAAGAGTGTGTGCTATTTCCAAGCTCTTTAAGGGGTAAACAACGTTTTTTGCTGTTACGCTATCTTTAAAACCCACCAATTCTAGAGATCTAAGCAGTTGCATAAGAGTTGTATTGTTTTCACTTTACAAATTGAAAACTCAAAACTATGCAAATCCTTTGAAAAAAGCACGAAAAAGTTAGTTGCTGGTTTTCAGACCCAAGATGTTATTCTCTTCAATATATTTTTGAGGACCCGTCATTCCGAAATTCTGAACAAAGCCACTGAAAATAAAGCTGAAATGTTATGAATATCCCTCAAAACGTTGTTAATGTAGCATTTTATTTTGACCATTTACGATTCGGAAAACAAGGTTATGAGTCAAACATGACCATTATGATCTGTCTGATCTATCACCGCCTCATCTTACGAGACCCACCCGCACCCACGTACTATTAATCGCCACTGAAAAGGCAGATTGACAGAAATGTGTCATGGTTTTTTGTGATGTACAGGGCGCGGCAGAGAGGTCGGACGTTTTTGGGATGGGTAGTACTCTCCGCCTCCGTCTTCGAAAGAGGTGGGGAGGGTGCCGTTTGACTCGTGAGATCCTAGCATTATTTTACCAGTTGTCGTTATGGAGCCTTGGACGCTGGAGCACCGCGTTTTCGCCTATGAGTGACGAAGCCCACCTTCACCTAAACAGCATGGTTAACCAGCAGAATTGTCGTTATTGGGCTAATGAAAATCCGCAACAGTTACAGGAAAGACCGCTGCACATCCCAAAAGCAACGGTTTGGTGCGCTGTATCGCAAACTTGCATCATTGGCCCTTAGTTCTTCGAAGACGGTAATGGTCGTGATGTTACCGTGAACTCAGAGCGCTACGTCGACATGATCACCAACTTCTTTCTCCCTGAATTACGACGGCCACGTGTTCCAATCCGACGTGTGTGGTTCCAGCAGGATGGGGCGATCGCCCACACAGCCCGAGCATCCATGGACGTTATTCGCCCTCTCTTCCCTGGTCGCCTTATTTCCAGATTTGTCGATGTTCATTGGCCTCCTCGGACCCCAGATTTATCCATATGTGATTTTTTCTTATGGGGACACCTCAAGGCTAGAGTATACGCAACAAGCCCCGAATTCTGGACGAATTGAAGGGCGAAATTCCCGTGGAAGTCGCCCAAGTTGAAAGAGCGATCTTGGAGACGCGAACTTCCAAGAACGCCTCCAGCACTGCATCAACGATTTCGGCCACCACATGCCTGATGTGATTTTCCACACTTGACTGTCTCAAATGCTATTTCCTTGTGAACCTGATTCCATCAATAAGTTTGATTTCGAGTAAAAATTAACTATTTTATGATTTTTTTAAAACCGTCCATCCTCTCTGCCGCACACTGTACATATCATATAACCCCTACTGAGCGAGGGCCGTGGCAAATGCTTGTTCCGGAAGTTGTTGTATCTAGTATACAACTTCTTCCCGTCCAAGTGATTGTGCACGCGTTAAGGAATACCTCAGTACCGATTGCCGGGTGGCGGTACAAGTCCGCCAACGGGCCACTTTAGGTCTATTTAACATCACTAACATGTAAAAAGAAGGTGGTAGACAAGGACCAGTCAACCGAGGCAGTACCACCCGCTAGCTTTTCCCAGGGTGTCTTATAAATGTCCGCATGTTTCCACACCTAAGCTATGCAGTCGGTTATCTACCAAAACAAAGAAATTAATGATGATGGATCCCTCGAGCACTAAAAACTCCGGACGTAAACTCACTCCACTATCGGAATGTCCGGGTGGGCTCGAGGGAACAACATCGAAGATAAAATTTGTTTTTCGAATATCTGCGGGATCAACAGCAACATTGATGCTGTTCATCACTACCTGCAATCAAATCGTCCCGCCGTGCTTTTCTTGGCGGAGACAAAAATCTCAGAGACTGCACCGATTAACCATCTCAACTTCCCAAACTACGAGGTGCACTCCAATCTGAGAAAGAACGGGGGAGTTGTGGCTTTTGTCCGCAGCAGTCTTTCCTGCTCCAGGGATCTTTCTTTGGAATCAGACCGGAAGGACATTCTGTGGCTTCGCCTCAGCTCCAAAACATCACCCAAATTTATTTGCTGCCTTTATCGCTCTCCCTCGAACCATAACCGGGATGACCTACTCGAATACCTCGCCGTCCAGATCGACTTTCTGAACATCAATCACCCCGCATCAGAGTTAGTTCTTCTCGGTGATTTCAATGCCCATAATGAGCTTTGGTTGGGCTCAAATAAGACCGATGCAGCAGGTCGTGTAGTCGAAGCGTTCGCTCTTACTCAAGGGCTGACCCAGCTGGTGACGAGCCCTACTTTTTTTCCCCGCATCTCGTCACACGCCAGTGGCCTGCTGGATCTCTTTCTGACCACGCATCCTGCCCCTTACAGCACTGCTGTCCTGTCCCCCCTGGGTAACTCAGATCACGGTGTTGTGGAGGTTAGGTTTCGGTCAGAAGCCGCTGTGGCAGCAGAAACTCGCACAGGCCGCAAAACTTGGCATTATGGACATGCCGACTGGGAGGGGCTCAGAGACTTCCTCTCTAGCTTTCCTTGGAGAGATGTCTGTTTCACTGACGCGGATGCGTCGACTGTCTGTTCTTCGATAACCGAAATTATCCACGTCGGAATGGAGGAATACATCCCTCACACAGTGAAAGTTCCTAAACCAGGGTCCAACGGCTGGTTCAACAAATCGTGTGACACTGCTCGCCAGCAGAGGATCAATGCCCACAGAACCTACTTACAAAACCCCACTGTAGAGAACAGACAAGCCGACGTCGAGTCCAGAAACAAATATAACGAAGCGGTTCGCAATACCAAAAACCAGCATGATATAAAAGTTAGGCACAGGGTAATGTCGCAGCGCAATGGCAGTCGGTCTTTCTGGACGCTGGCCAAGCAGATTGAATAGAACTTCTCACACAGTAGCATTCCACCACTTACGTGTCAGGATGGAACTATTGTAATCAACTCAAAGGCCAAAGCGGAAGTGCTAGCCAAGATCTTTGCTGCCAACTCCACCATTGACGTCTCCACCAACGCCCAAGTGCCGTCAATTCAAAGGGTTCCCCACACTATGCGGGAGGTAACATTCAGGCATTAGACCGTAAGACGAGTGCTCTTGTCGCTCGACATCAACAAAGCTTCTGGTCCGGACTTGATTCCTGCCATTGTACTGAAGAGGCGTGCAGCGGAGCTTGCTCCAATTCTTTCGCGACTCTTCCAGATATCTTATGAATCCGGCACCTTCCCACAAAACTGGAAATTTGCTCATGTACAGACCATCCCAAAAAAAGGATCTAAAACCGACTCTTACCACTACAGGCCTATAGCTCTGCTTCCTGTTATAAGTAAAGTGATGGAGAGGTGCATAAATCGCGAGCTTCTGGACTACCTCGAGCGTCACAGCTTGATTAGCGACAGGCAGTACGGTTTCCGGCACCAACGATCCACAGGGGACCTCCTAGCTTACGTCACGCAACTGTGGAGTAAACTCATCCAGTCTCATGGTGAGGTTCATGTCGTTGCTCTTGACATCACGAAAGCGTTCGATCAGCTGTGGCACGCTGCCCTCTTAAGCTAACTTCCATCCTAGGGCCTCCCAGAAAAGCTTTGCAGATGGGTGGCTGACTTTATCTCTGGCCGCAAGATATCCGTCGTAATTGACGGATTCTCCTCTTCATCCCACAACGTCAACGCGGGTGTTCCCCAGGGATCGGTCTTGGCTCCAACACTGTTTCTCTTACATATCAACGACCTCCTTTCCTGCACGATCAACCCAATCCACAGCTTCGCTGATGACAGCACTCTACATGCAGGAATTCAGAGTGACAAGCCGATCTCTGCCGCTGAGCTGGAAAAAAGAAGACTAGCGACGACTTCTTCTCTGACAAGATACCTGGAGGCTATCACTGCTTGGGGACGCAACAATCTTGTACAGTTCCATGCTTCCAAAACACAGTACTGTACTTTGACAAAGAAAAAGCGTCCTAGCGCTCATACAGTTTCGATGGGCGGCCGAGTTCTACCAAAGAGCCATTCATTTCGGCTGGTCGGAGTCCAGATCACCGAGGACCTGATCTGGCACGAACACATCTCTTCAATAGCTGCAGCTGCTGGGAAAAAGCTAGGCTATTTGTTTAGGGCTAAGAAGTACTTTTCTACGCATGACCTTCTCACTCTATACAAGGCCCAGGTAAGGCCTAGCCTCGAGTATTGCTCACACATTTGGGGGGCTGCCGCCCCGACTACATTGTCCATGCTCGATGCTGTACAGAGGAAGGCGGTCCGACTGATCGATGACTCTTCTCTAACAGACAGTCTCGGGACTCTTTCGCACCGGCGGGCCGTCGGCGATCTAGCTCTTTTCTATCGCTACACCAACGGGCTTTGCTCCTCAGAGCTCTCTTCCATGATGCCGCCGCGCGATGTGCCTGCCAGACATACCCGCCTGACCTCGGCGTCCCATCCTAACCGTGTCAAACTTCGTACATCCAGAACTGGCCGATACGACCGCTCCTTTGTCCCGAGGGTGTCTAGATTGTGGAACAATCTACGGGAGGAAGCTTTTCCCAGTTCTACTAACCTTAGGCAGTTCAAAAATCGTATTGACAAAATTTCTTTGGGATCATCATAGCAGCCGCGGTGTTCCGGCATTTAGGCTTCTGCCTGCGCGGCTATTTCGATATAAAAAAAAAACACATCTTTCGAAATTTTACATGACCGCAATACTTCCTTGACAATTGGCGTGGGAAGTCAATCAAGCCCATCCTGAAGATATATTTGGAATGACTTAAGAAAATAAAAGAACGTACTTGTTGATACGTGAGGACATCTCTTTCTGCCCATGCGATCGACAAATTGTCTGGTTCGCATTCTGAAGCCGACTCCGCAAGTGGCTGAACATGAGGACCATCCACTCCAAGGGTAAGTAGAACAAGCGTTGTTCTCATCCAAAGCATCAATTTCTTCTGAATCCTTCTCCTTTTCGCCATTACTGTAACAATAGGTGTTATATCATTGAGAAAAAATTTTCGTTGTTCTACAAAAGGAGCTATATTATAATGTAAGGTTTTATCTTAATAATAATAGATTTATAGGCCAACAGATACATCCATTGAAAGGACAATGTAGTTGAATACAGTTTGACGTTACAGTATTTTTAACTACTATCATAGCCCGACCAGTTTCTGAAAAAAAATGAATAGCTTCACCTACTCATGTACATGTCTTAAAATGCTATAAATTGAATAATAGTAGTCGCTGAATACAGCTAATATATCTTTGACTTTATCGTGATGAATGTCAAAATTATCAGCTATGGTGTTAAAGCTGAAGCACATAAAGTACACGGGTGACTTAATCATAACATTAGAATTTGGCGTTTTTAACTAAAAAGCGAGAAATCTTCGGAAAATGCGGGACGGTACATGAAAATATTAGCTAATAAAGCTGAAGGATCAACATCATTGTGTACGAGTTTGTAAACGAATTTTAAACTATTACAAACTCTTCTCGGCTCAAGAGGATGCATTTGAAATCTGAGCAACATCACTGATTGGGGAGTCCCACGATTGGGATGAGCACCATCTAATTTGAAAGTCAAGTATTTAAGAAATCTCATCAGTTCGCTTTCAATTTCATTAGTATAGATTTGGTAATATTGGTGCCATACACTAGATGCATATTCCAGCTTAGAAAGCACCAAGGTGCAGTATAAACCCTTCAGTGCCGTTTCACTACCAAACGATTTACAGATTCTTATAAAAAAACCGAGACTTTTTATAGCGGATGATACTATTGCACTAATATGACCTGTAAATTCTAATTTAACATCAAACACCACACCTAGATCTCTTACTACTGAACAACGCATCAAACTGACACCTCCCAGTGTGTAATCAAAAACTATTCGTTTTCCTGGTAAGAGAACAAGTTTTGCATTTGCTAACATTCAAAAATAATTTGTTAGTTGAACACCATTCAAATACGTATATATGATTCAGGTCGGCTTGCAAGATTAGACAGTCATCAATGCTGTTAATCTGAGCATACATTTTTAAATCATCGGCAAACAACAGAGAAGGACAGGTTAAGCAGTTAGGAAGGTCATTGATAAAATAAAGAAAGAGAAGAGGGCTTAAATTTGATCCCTGCGTTACATCGGATGAGGCCGAGTAAGGTGAAGATTTGAAACCATTGTAACATCATGTAAGTAAGAAGACATGAAATCTGATAAACGATTGCTAAATCCAAAATGCTGAAGTTTACCTATGATTCTTTGGTGACTAATCTTATCGAAGGCCTTTGAGAAATCCATATAGACCACATCCATCTGACCCCTATTATAAAATACCTCTGCAATTTCCTGGGTGATTTAAGTTAGAAATAGTAGAGCGATTACGCATAACTCCATGTTGCGTCTCAGATATCAGATGCGAGGTCAAAGGATAGATGTAGTTGTATACAGGTATCTCAAATGCTTTACCAAAATTATCCAATATAGATATAGCTCGGTAATTTTCGATTTTGCTAGTGTCCCCAGCTTTAAAAATAGGGCACACTCTAGCCAGTTTCCATTTTGTAGGAAAAGTTGCTGTAATGAGGGAATAATTAAGAAGGGTCATCCTACCTGGTATTCTAGATGAGCCTTTCTTAGACTGGATGGAAGACCAAAAATGATTCGGATTTGTAACCAAATCATTTTCAACTTTTCGCAGACATAGATTGTAACAGTCTTTTATCTGTTGTTTAACAAGTGCACGGACCCTAGAAAATTGTCCATAGACTTCCTGACATTTGGAACGTGTATATTGTTGGTGCAGTCTACGTTTCAGTTGAAATTTCGATTAATATCCGAACTATACCAACCTGGATAACGATGCTTATGCTTATTATACAGGGTGTTCGCAAAGTTGGGGTTTTCCTTTTCAGAAACAACAACCGTTGAAATAACAAAGGTAATGTGTAGTTAAACGAGGGCGACCAAGTTAAAATAAAATAAAGGAAAAAGCACTTACTCTCCAGTTGACGAGAAGGGCTAAGTACGTCTCTGCCCGAAATCATACCGCTCCAACAGAAAATGAAATCAGCTGATGCGCTACCGAGCAGACGCACCATGCCAGCCCAAACATTCACCGAATATGTTTGTTGAAAATGTGCCTGACGGACAGCGTGCGGATTTCCTACTGACCAAACATTCGTCTGTCATGTTGATGCAACAACCACTCACAAAACCGCACTCTTGCTGGAAAATCGTCAGGTTGAAGTGCTTGTACACGTTAGACGTGAAATGGATACAGCCCCTCTTCACGCAGCGTTTGCCACACTTCAGTTTTTGATACTTGCACTTCTCTAGCCACGTCTCTAGTGCTTGATGAGGGATTCTCGTCTACGCGATTACCTCTACAGGCGTACCGTAACCGTCGGTTGAAGGTTGCATACTGACCTGACACACTGACCTCGACCCAGTTCTGTCGTCGGGTTGAGCCAGTGACATTGTACCACTCCGTGATGTCGCGGCTACAGGACTGTATTCAGATATTTTTGATGTTGCAGAGCCCTTTATCTCGGTTCCCTTAAGACATTGGTGTATATGGTACTAAGAAAAATTGCTTATGTTTTCAAAATCTACACGTCGTGTAAAGGAAAACCCCAACTTTGCGGACACCCTGTATTTCGGAACGTACAGGTCAAAAACCAAGTATGTTTTTTCATAGAACAAGTCACACATGCGATTGACATCCTTCACGCTGTTTAAAAAAGACCAATCAATGTAAGTCAAGGCATTGTAAAGGCCACTACTATAGATACTACACCTCAATTTTATTCGCATTCGATGGATCCACGTCTTTGTTAGTTTGATTTTATAAACAGTGTTTCCTTGGGTTGAAATCTTTGTTGTCGGCTCATCAAGGGATACTTATTCTGATACTATTATTAATTACGGACTTACCTTTCACACTCTGGTACGTCTGCTACGCACATCTCTTTCGAAACAAGTTGTCGATTGCAGTTGAACATTTGAGCTTTTTGTGGAATTCTGTACTCTCTGGTCCTCATCCTTAAACCTTTCCCACATGTCACAGAGCAAGCACTCCAGCTTGAGTATTCTGATACCGCACATTCAGCTGGAACCAGGGAAAAGATGTAAGTGAATTTTCTATATAAAAACGTACCGTCTTTTGAGCTGCCACGTCATAAAAAATTTGAGCCGGTTTCAAATGCAAAAGCGGTGAGCTGCACCTGTGGGGCATAATGATGTGTTATTTATGTAAAGTGTTTAAAATATGGCCCCAGATTGCTACGGTGTGGAACTCCAGCTTTTCCTCCTTCTGAAGCCAAGTATCTACTCCCCCTTTAATTTATACTCGTATATATCGAAAAAAAATTTAAGAGTGCACAAACAAAATCTATAATTTTCACTTACGTCGAACAGTGTCTTCAGTATTTTCACTAACGTCGAGTTGGGCATTAAGGAAGCTTTCGTCGCAGTTTTTCGGAATTACTTTCTCTCTCTTCAAATAAAGTCTGGCTAATGGATGCATTTCTTTTTTTGTGGGATCATAGAATGGCGCCCTGGGATCTTCAGGGTAAGTTGTGGTTATTCGGTACATCCGTTCTCTGGGATTAGTTTCCGCATTTGGGGACTATAATAAAATGTTTGTGCAAAATGGACATATTAACTAACTTGGTAACTGTGCTGTAATTTCTCAAAAGCTATCGGATCATTTTTTTGTACATTTAATCGATCCAGGAAAGCTGAGATATCTAAAAAGAGCAACGCAGTTTTGCAAAATCATCATTGCATTATAAAAAAACAACATGTACATAACGCCTATATCAACAAAAAAATACATCATAATTCTATCAGGCTTTGAAATAATCATATCAAAGTCCAGCAGTCAAAAACGAATGTTTTTTAAAATGGCGAGATAAAACTAAGTTTTATGAACACCGCAAATTAAATAAAATAAATATAAATCTTTCTCCATTCTGATAGGCACAGCAGATTCAAAATTATACATGCATTGAATTCCGGTTGTTTTGAAAGCGACTGTACTACACTTCCAGCTACATTTTAAGTTGCGGTATAGGACATAAGATAAATAGAAAAAAGCAGTGGTTACACCATTGCCTATTAGAATTTGTTTCAAAAATGCTAAGAACTAATTAATCAATATATACTAAGTGACATATAAATCCGAACACCCAGTTTAAATGGTTTTATTTTAATAAAAGTTGGTGAATGTATTTATCTTACTGCAAATAATAAGTGAACAAATTTTCAGCCTTATCCGTTGGACATTCCGGTTTTTATACTGCTTTTTTTTAATTCACTAACGCTCTAAAAATGAATATTTCAGCCGCAGTAAAGGATCAACGTTGGCGGATTTTGGTTCTTGACATCGTTCACTATCGGTTACGATGCCTAGAGTACGGAAACCTCAATATACGATTTCGTCAACTTAGTGAGTTTGACAGGGGCCGTATAGTGGGACTTCGGGAAGCTGGACTTTCTTTTCGGGCAATTGCAGTTAGAGTGCAAAGAAGTGTAGACACTGTGGTTAGGTGTTGTCAGGCATGGCTTCGAGAAGGCCGTACGCAAAGAGCAAGGGGCACTGGATGCCGCCGTAGAACAACAGACCATGAAGATCGCCGCCTAAGATTATTGGCCTTAAGGGACCGTTTCTCCACTACCAGGTCCATTGCAAATAATGAATGGTTTGCAGAACACGGAAGACCTATTGGCATGCGAAGTGTTTACCTACGAATGAGAAGTTTTGGCTTGTTTTCATACCGGCCACACTGGGTCCTCGCTTTAACTCGAGAACACCGACGTAATCGCCTTGAGTGGTGCAGACAACGGTCACTCTGGGATCAGGAATGGAACAGTATTGTCTTTAGTGACGAGTCTCGATTTTGTTTAGACATGCACGATGGTCGTGCCAGGGTTAGAAGGCGGCGTGGTGAAAGGAGGAATCCACAGTTTTTTGTTGAAAGACATGTTTATCACACTGTTGGAGTTATGGTTTTGGGTGCTATAGCTTATGGTTCCAGGTCACCTTTAATCTTCATCAGAGGTAACATAAACGTACAGCGTTATATCCACGAAGTTCTAGAACCCCATCTTTTACCCTATCTTGACACCCTGGCAGATCTAACTTTCCAACAAGATATGCCCGACCACATGTTGCAAGAGTCACAATAGACTTCTTTCAACATAATGATGTCACATTGTTACCATGGCCACCAAGATCTCCCGACTTATCCCCAATTGAGCACGTATGGGATATGATGGGTAGGAGATTGCTCAATTTGCAACGTCCTCCTCAGACTCTAGAAGCACTTCGAGAGGAGTTGGTGGTTGCCTGGAATGAGATACCATAGGAAGACGTTGACCACCTGATCAGAAGCATGCCTAGGCGCATTGGAGAATGCGTAGCACATCAGGGTGCATCCACACATTATTAAAGGTTAAAGGGCTTTAAAGCAGTGCAATCATTTTGAAATTTTTATCATTTACTTATTATGCTTCATTAAGTACTTATACAAAATTTTATTAAAATAAAACCATTTAAACTGGGTGTTCGGATTTATATGTCACTTAGTATACTTACTGTTTGAAACTAGAAAGCATCGGTCAAGCGTGTTTCGACAAGTTTTACAAACAACGTTTTAATTTTGGTGAATTCACATCCAGTAAATCTAAAGGAAGGTACAACCGGAGAAAAAATTCGAATAGCATATAAATGATTACCTACTATCTGTTTCATAATCCACCTGCACCTATACAATATATACATATATACATGAAGCTTTGGACAATGTGCATGTGCTGTATGATACACGTATTACATAGACTTAGAGTTAGTTTTGTGGTTATTAGTTATTTAAATAGGGAGGATATTTATTTATTTAGTTTTACCATGTATGATATGCCGCTGTCGGTTCCCGCATCATATGGATATAGATCCAATGTCAGACTTTCCATCCAGGTGCAATTTTTGAGACAAAGGTTCAAGTTATTGACACCTACTACCCAGTCGGGTGATGGTCCTGAAAAAAACATATGAGTCAATCATTCTTTTCCAATTCTGAGAATGCTGTTGTCAACTAGACTCTTACCAAACATGGATGCTAGTGATACCAAATGATGTCTTCTATCTACTCTGAAATTCGTCGATGTGTTTGTGTTTACATGAGGGTACCATAATCCTGCAGCCTTTATGATAGTCCTCAAGAATTTGCTTTTTGCTCTCAGTTCTGTCTCCATAAGCCTTACTGAACCCCATTCCGCAAGGCTTCTGAAACCTAATAATGTGGGTATCGGGAAACCATTCCATGAGGTATGCAATAAGTAGGTATGTCTTTCAGAATTATGTTGGAACATGCGCTCTATTATGAGGATTCGTCAAAAAATGTATTTGATAGTTCTTTAAAAAATCTTAAGATCCTTTCTCCGTCTATTAGGTGGTGTATGAGTATGGTAAAGATATACCTTCAGATGCTATCTGTCCTTCGCCCCAGAAACTGAAATTCTTCTCATGAGACGCACCAATGACGTCAGAAAAATGGGTCAGCCACAGTGAGATGGGGAAGTCTTTCGGATGAGACTTGTTCGACCATATTCCTTCAAAGATCAACTGGAAGAGAAATATATACATATAACATTTTCGTGATGCATAGACTGGGATCTCGGAGACTAAGAGGAGTTGGGACTGACGTAATTCAACTTACATTGTACTTAGCTTCATCGCAGGCACAACAATCATTTTCGTCCAAAACGACGTCCTTATCCGTCTGTTCGCAGATTGTTTTCAATAGTTTTCCGTCCTCTGAGTACCAGTGGTCAGGATCTTCGTACACCATAGCTCTACAACAACAAAGTTTTTTCATCGACAATTCTAAGAATCAACTTTCTAAGTCAGCTTGATTCCCATAGGCGCAGATCATACTCCTTGTCCTCGCTCTTAAATGTTTTCTTTTTCCCTGCTTAGTTAAAGTTTATATTACATTCCACCGACATACAGGCTAGACCACAAAGTATTTTTAAAGCTTTAGTTATTATTTAGTATTAACATGATTTGAGAACTGTTGCAGAACCGTTCTGACCTCAGGCCATGGGGTCTCATGATGTTAAAGCCACCTGTAATGATCTACTCTCAGAGTCCAAACGGTAATGGTCCTTGTGGAATCTTGAAAAAGCCATATCAAACATCTTTCTCACTATAAGAACTGAATACCGGAACCTTTGTAGCGTGAAATATTTCGAGACAAATATCGTTAATTGATTGTAAGCTTTTTTCGGATTCGTGATTGAAATTCGTTCAGAGATTAGACAAGATCTTGGTCCTTCATCAGCTATCTAATTTGTGGTCCATTGAAAAGGCAGGCTTCCAATTTGCCGTTGCTCAGTCCAGAAAGTCAGAGTGAATATTTGCTTCTGTAGGAACGCAAATTTAACGAAGCTGGTGATCGCTTTACCATACTTTTTAAGGCTATATTTTCCACAAATAACACAAGAACCGTATGTATCGCTTAAAAAGCGAAATCATATGTATTTTTTTGAGTTACTGATAGCTAAAAACAAATGTTTACTACCACATTGCTTTACCTAAATGTGACGCATCCTGAACCAGGTGGTGGTGCTGACCACATGAAGAACACTTCAGATTTCGGAACAGAGTCAATCTCTGAGAGAGTATTTACGCAATCCTCATCGAACCTCGCACTGTTATCGCCATACAACTGGAAGTTTCCAACATTTTGAGGGTAGTCAGTGTCATTTTTCTCCGATTGGACGTTCACGGTGAATCTTGAAAAGCGCTTCACACCCGACAGGCTCTTTGGACCGATGATGTACACTAGAAAAAATCAAGTAGAGTATAAATTATCTATAGTCAACGCCAAACAAAGTGGCGTGCACGTCATCACGATAAAAATTCCCCGACCTAATGCCTAGGTTTCTATCACAAACAATTGCTCTATTGCAGTTTCATATTAATGTGATATATAAATTGTAAAATGGTCATTACTCTCTTATTATGGTTAATAGTCATATAAACATTGTTATTACAATATCACATAAGTTGCTTTCTGATAAATTTAGACGCATTATGCGAAATAAAATGTTTTGCAAACGCTCCAATCACTTATCGACATGTAAACGCACTAAACCGATTTCGCAGCGTTGACACATTGTCACCTTGAAACTTATTTAAACTGGGAACTGACATTTGTATTAATTTTGACACTGAATCAATTTGTGGCATTTCAAATCTTTATAAATCCTTTGGCCCCGCATACTGTAAATCAACAACTGTTTGTTTCAAAACAAAATTATTCATTTTACGAGTAGATAAAGGCAATTTTGGTATATAAAGATGCCCAAACAGTTAAATAGTCGGTGTAAGGAACTCGTGGCCTCGTTAATGCACTACTTTGAGCAAGAAAGGGACAACAACGGGCCTTTGTTGCCTTTAAATGCTGTTCAAGAGGTAGGTTACTAATAATTATATGTAATGTATATTAATAATAGTGAAATTTTATTTCATTTTTTGTAGCGTGTTGCTGCTGCTTTAAAAATTAGTTTAAGGACAGTTAGTCGTATTTCCGAGGGTGTGAAAAGTGATGCAAATTTAGAATCGCCCAAGAAAAAGCGGAGTTATATTAAACGTGTAACCAACACAGCGACATTGGATACAAGTGCCATTCGAGAAGTGATCTATAATATGTATCACAAAAGTAAGATCTTATTATAATAACTTATCAGAAATTTGCATTAATTTGTTAACTAAATTATAATGTCATATTACACATGGTTTCAGAAGAACAAGTTACGATACAAACTTTATGGTCTCGATTAAGAGATAGGGCATTATTTGATGGTAGTGCCACGTCTTTAAGGCGGTTGCTTAGAGATCTTGGATTTAAGTGGCTTAAGGACAATCCGCGACGAGGGCTCATGGAACTACCAAGTATAGCTTTGAAAAGGGTGGAATGTCTAAGGCAATACAATCAAGCCAAGGTTGAGGCCTTATACCAGTTTGTCTTCCTCGATGAAACTTGGATATTTCAAAATGGGACCATAGGTCGCTCTTGGCAAAATGGAAACCAAAAAAGCGTGAAAGCTATTAAAACAGATGGTAAAAGGTATGTACTTTTACACAATTTGCACTATAAAATTTAAAACTAATATATTTTAGATTCATTATATTACATGCTGGAAATGAAAATGGGTTTATTGAGGGTAGTGAAGCGATATTTTCTTCGAAAACAAAATTGAGCGATTACCATGGAGAGATGAACCAGGACAATTTTTTGAAATGGTTTCAACATCAGTTATTAGAAAAATTGGAGAGTCCATCTATGATTATACTGGATAACGCCCCTTATCACAGCATGATATTGAACAAAGTGCCCAACAATGCATGGACAAAAAAAAATATCCAAGACTGGTTGACAAATCAAAACATACCATTTTTAAACACAATGTTTAAAACAGAGCTATTGAGTATTGTTGCTCGGTACATAATGCTTCTTAGTTATATATATTTTGGTCGACAGTTTATATTTCTTTTGTTTATTCCTATTCTTAAAATAACTGCTTTTTTAGAAACAAACCACCTAAAATATACGTGATTGATGAATTGGCGGAACAACATGGGCACAAAGTTCTTCGTCTGCCTCCTTACCATTGTATATTTAACCCTATTGAGTTAATTTGGGGCATAGCAAAAGGTTACTATAACAGACATATTGGTAGAGATGGTAACAGTGAAAAAGACTGTTTGGATATGTGGAACGAGGCTCTACAAACGGTTACCCCAGACATGTGGAAAAATAGTGTTCGACATACTGAGCAAGAAATTTTTAAATGGTATGAAAGAGAACGAATTTTTGATCGACCAGACATCGAACCTTTAATAATCAACTTTGAGAGTGATGAAGATTCAGATTCAGACAGCGCTGAAGAAAGAAACTCCGACTAACTTTATTGTACAGAAAAAGCTTACACCAGTAGCTTACCTAATTTTAGAATGCATTTTTCTGTATGAATTCTGTAAAATAAATACCATGCATAAAATTTGGAGGACTCCATTTGGATTTTTATTCAGTACCTTTAAGCTATCAATTAAATATGGTAGTTTCATAGTGTCATCTGATCAATAATTGTCATACTTAATGATTATGCAAGTACAGATCTATAATTTTATTATACTATTATTTTTGTTCTCATTTGAGGTTAATATTGCTTATAAACCTAGATATGTAAATAATAAATTTTATTATTTTACAAAAAGTTTGGCAACAATGTAAATTTTTCAACACACCCACCTTGATGACGTGCACGCCACTTTGTTTGGCGTTGACTATACTCTATATTATTGAGGTACGTAAACCTCATAGCTCTTTCGTTCCTGACTTTTGTGATATTAAAACAGCTCAACTGGGGAAGGAAACGTTCTCGACACCTCAGGAATATGAGAGAGATCATACCGGCCAGTACTCGATGCTATAGAATTTTTTGAAATTTGAATGGCAACAAAACCGTTCAGAATAAAGATTGACATGTTGACAGCTATGTCAGCAGATGGGACCTCACATGATGGTTTCGTCTCATTTAGATCGCCAAGGGCGGATAGCCATACCGCAATACTGCCGACATTCTTACTGATAATAGCTCAAAAATACTATATTAATAAGGTCTAATAGTTTAGCTGAACAAATATATTTTTATTTAATCATGAGAAGAAGCGCTTCTGAGGAAATCACTATTGTTTTAGTACAGTTCTATCAATGCTGGTATTGGATCCAGTATACTGATTTCACCATTTTGCAAATTCTGTGATTCAATTCATTCATGGTTTCATCATGATTCATTACCAGCAACCCGAAAAAACCCAATACATGAATTTTTGGAACACCTGATCGAGTTTTTGGTTTTCATTGAACGTTTTGGGGATCTGCTACAGTATTAATCTGTAGGAGCAGTATTGGAGGAATACGATTTTTCAGAAAAATGGCTAATTTTATCAGAATCAAATAGCGAACAACATGTTTTGTCATTTTTGTGTCGTTTTTTATATACTCGAACATCCACGAAGGCCTAAGGTCTAAACACTTGTTGGATATCGTGGGGCTATAGGGGTAGAGGATCCACAGCGAGGAAACACGTCTGCACATGCCCCGTCTTAGAGATCCGCCGGGTGGTACCTCCGCGTTCGACAGTCAGAGACCGTCTACCACCTAGCGACAATCACAACACCCAGGGCCAAGATAAAAATTTTATCATCACTACGTCATTGTCTTTTTCGATTAGAATTTGTCATTTTATGCATGCATCCGAAAGACTGGCATGTTAGCCTTGAGGCACCCTGTACATAAAAAATATTTTCGGCGCACAGTCAGCAAAAGCTTTTCCACATCACTGCTTGTTACTCCTTACGTCAAATAGATCCAGAGTCGTTTAATATTCCATTACCAAAAACGTTTAAAGAATATAAAGAGCTGTGAAATGGACTTTCTCTTAATGCTTTTGAATATATCCCTATACAGGGTGGCCAATATATAACTGAACGATTTGTGCTTCAAGTCAAACAGATCCATTTTTTTATCATAATGATAATAGAAAGTTGAAAGTTATATATCTAAAACTATGTCGTTTAAATGCATGTCTCTGGATGGCGCACAGAACTGAACCCTCTTGATTACGTTTTTCATCCCTCTTGGTAGCTTTCGGATTTCAAGAGGAATGCTTTTAATAATATTTTGGATTTTGATACTCAGCTCTTCCTAGTGCTTGGTTTGGTAGCATAAGCTTAGAAATCACCACTAAAAGGATCTGATAACCTGGAGGCTCGATAACATTGCCATATGGCTGACAGCAACTTGATAATCTACAACAAGTGTGGTTCCAGCAGGACATTCCTAAACCTTTTCAAGGCTCATGGAATTCGACGTAGAAAAAGTATTTCACATAAGTTAGTCAAAACAACTGGTTAAAAATGAAAGATAAACGAGAACTGCACAGAAGATGCTTTTATAAATAAGAACGTACAGGACTTAAAGACGTACAGAAATCGAATTGTTCTACCATCATATTTTACAGAAGGTATTCATATCAAGATACAAAGGAATGCTATTTTTTAGCTCAGAGTACAAACAAAAACATATCTCACAATTTCTCAGATAAAGGACGTATAGCGTTAAGTGGGGCATGCTAGCATGTCTACGGCATTAAGAGGGGTAGCTGGTCTCTTAACTTTATAGTAAAATTACCCTTTGCCACCATGTGCACAAAGTAAACATGAGGTCTAATATTACAATTACACCACCAGTTCATCGTAGAACTCTATTTGAAAGATCCTTTTCTTATATCTTCAAAACAAATATCAATACTTAAAATCGCTAGATTCTTTTACAAAATACCACTCCAGGTTTCTGACAACTCGCTATAATAATGTATCATGTTAAATATGTAACGACTTATATTTGTACTTTTTATAATCTCAATATGTACCAATATGTATATCATTACTTCTATCTCTAATTTTATTTTTTCCTTTCTATTTGAATTCTGTCAATCTTTCCTTTTTTTATAAGTACTAGTTACGTCATTGTTTAGAAACTGCTGCTTATAAGTGAATATTATTCTTCTATCTTACCTTATTTTTGTATCTTCATGTTTTAACCCTGAAATATAACGAAAAACGATGGAGAGCGTAATCAAGAGGGTTATAGATGGGGGCATTTACATGATGTCTTCCAGCTTTCCGTAAAATACTGCGATAATAAATTGATTCTATTCTATTCTATTCTGAAGGTATTAGAGTAATTAGCAAGTTATAGAGTGCTTTTCAACCCCCCCTGCACGAGTCAAGTTACCAAGCTGAGATTTGGGGTAATTAAATTGATACATGGTACTACCGTATTTTAGCATAAGTGTGGTAGTAGAAAATTTCATGATGGCGGCTGGACGCCAAGTTGAAACATTTGCTTAAATGGATTGGGGGATCGTGTGGTATTTTGTTTTGAAGCTCTTAATGAGGACTGTGTCACCCTTGAACATAAAATCACTAACTTTCAAAATCGCAGACTAGCAGAGCTTTTCTGTACATTGAATCGCTCATAACTTAACAACTAATCATCAAAGTGAGACAGTATGTTATATCAATCTCGCTCTTTTTGGAAGGGTCTATCTACATGTGCAATAAAATATGGGACATTTGACATACTCTAACATTTTGTTGTATTGAATGTTTCATACTTTATTGTATTCGGATAGGAAAGAATGTTGATACGACAACCTATACCTTTTTGAAGATTGGTTGTTGTAACGCTATTTCCTCGGCGTCACTAACTGGCGAACTGGAAGACAACACTATAGACTGAAACACCGTGAGCAGCTTCAGTGAAAAAAATAATTCAGCGATTTGATGCTTCACGCCCAAAGAGTCAGACTCGAGATACCTGCTTTTTAATTTCTACTACTACTTCTTTTTTTTATATCTATTACTTCAGGCAGGACGGTATTTGTGATTAAAAGCAACACTTACTACACAAACTGGTATATTAATGGATAGAACGGAGAAGGAGGACAATCGGTTAGCTCGGGGTCGAACGTAATCAAAAGCTGTCAAGCGATGATGGTGCGATGCGATAAGCCCGAAGCGATGGAGGGCTAACAGCAATATGGATATGTTCGGGAGAAGAATAAGACCAGGGGTTTATTTTACCCGCATCTACTTCAAGCTAGGTTTGCCTCGGTCTCGCTTGGAATTCAATCTGCACCCCAGGGAAGTAAGCACACTGTAGACAAAGATGTGTCTTCCTGACTTGCTCCTTAAACCCCAAATCAATTACAAAATTCCTAAAATCCATCAGTCTACTCAATATACAAAAACGCTTAACATTGACACGTCCCAATGTATACATCAAAGAGTTGTGATCTTATATTCTAAGTTTATGAAGTACTTATGAGGAGCTACAAAATGCGGTACTACACGACCCCCAATCCCATTTAGAAAAAATCTTGTAAAACAGCCAACTTTCACTTTTATGCTGAAATATATTATCTGCACATAAATTGCTAATTCAACTCGACTAAAAATAAGTAGAATGAAAAGCATGGTATATTGGCCGTTTTATGCGTTCCTATTCGTGTTTTCACACTCTAAGTGGATGTCTACGTGTGTAATCAATGTTGAATGATAAATCTGTTGAATTCATCGTATTTTAATATCGACAGTTATTATTTACTTTTGACATTCCGTATCGCTTAATTTGAAATAAGTGTACGGGTAGGGATTCATATAAAAGCTATGCTACCTTCTTCCGATGTATGTAACCAAATCCAACTCCTTATGTTCAAAAGTACTTACTGGTATATCTTGTCCCAGGTACATAATTTTTAGGATTTTCGTTGATCTTGATTTCATATCCGCCATCTCCAGGTATTTTCGCTTTTCTGGACAGGTATATACTAGGATCCAACCTACACGCCAAACAACATGCCACCGACAGCAAAAACAGTACAACGCTCTTCATGTCGTGCGCGATACTGTCTTTACGAGACAGTTTCACTATGATATATCTGGTTTTGAGATAACCCTTCGTGAACTCCTGAACCCAGATGTCAAGCGTAAATGGCAGATTTATGTTCCGGCTTAGTTTTCAGTTTATTTTTATTTGTAGTTCTAACATTAAAATATCGTTTAATGTGCTTTGTGACCGATTTCATTTCGATACTTTGTATATGAGACAACAGTCATCTGTTATTACGACTGGCTATATCTGAAATTTTCCGATTCGCATTACAAAAGCCTTGTAGGCATAAAATCTTTTTTAAGTTTGTAACAACAAAAATACGGTAATTGCTGTTTAACTCTGAGGTTACTGGTGTAAGTACAGTGGTACTGACAAGAAATCAATAAATAGAGCTTGTTGTCTGAAATGATTATATTTAGTTGTTTTCCAGTGACTGAGTGACACAGTAGTACCATTGATTATCATATTTTGTCCGACGATAGCCGATCATATACTGTATTCCAGTGCACACAAAGGGATCTGAAACATACTAGCGACATCTGTGAAATAGCAGAACAACACAAAAACGACCTTAGAAGTCTACCTGAAAAGAGTCAAAGTATTTGGGTAACATCTCACAGATGTCGTTAGTATCTTCCGGATTCCTTTTTGGATGCCTGAATAAAGTACATGCTTCGCTGCCTTCAGTTCAAATGCGTTAATCCACTGTAGTGCTCAGGACCTGTTAGAATCGTTCCACTGATTTGAATGTTATGCATTTAAGAGCTTATTTTTGCGACGTCAGTAGTCAAATTACTGGTACATTGACCATATGAGTCAGTCCTGTTGTAAATTGTAAAGAAAAACCGGTACTTTTGCGGAAAAAACAATAAAGAACAATAGTGAGCATGTTTGCAATAAAGGAACATGAGCAGAAATTAAAGGATTGGTGACCCGAGCGATGTGAATTTTTGCTCATTGGCTTTATCAGACGCAAATGGATGAGCATCGAAAACACAGAAGTGGAATCATATGCCCATCACATCTGGATAGGGCGGGTTACCAATAGTTCTATTTCTGCTCCTAGTCCGCAAGGCTACTTGTCTTTTTCTGTAGCACCACGGCAGTTATGTAGGTATAGCAGGCCTCTGTGGTGACGTTGGTTGCATGCGCGATGCGCGTAGCCAAGAAGGAGGTAGAGGGGGCGAGTACCCCTCAAGACCAACGGCTGATGCTGGTTCCGAAAAGTAACTGTTTATTTTGTTTTGGGTTAGTGAATTCTGGATTCTAAATAATAGCCTGATTAAAATTAAAAGTTACACCGCTACATGAATCTCGCAACTTTCAATTTTATGATTATTCGTTCTTTGATTTCACCCCTGCAATGTGACTATACCTGAAATATAGTGCAAGTGAAAATTGTACAGCGGATGGTGCCATCTATTTAATCAGAATTATACTATACCCGTCGATATAGACGAGTTGATGGAGTCCGCTTGCACCAGAGGTGGCGCTCGCAGCAGCCTGATATAGGTATTTACCTAAATATTTGATTGATTCAACATTTTTAATTATTTCACCGTTTATCCTAGCTGTATTTACATTTAGGTATTTTCCTATTTTATTTACATTTAACCAACTTATGATTTTAGCCAAGTCAGGATTTAGCAGTTTTAAAACATCTCATATGTATATTAGTCTATCATCTGGAAATATCTGAATTTTACATTAATCTAAAATTCTACAAATGCCGTTAATTTATACAATAAGTAGAAGAGGACCTAGATTACTAACTTGTACCACCAACAGAAATATTTTTTGACCTTGATAATGTAGGTCCAACTTTGGTTTTTTGACTTCTGTCAATCAAGTAGAATTTTGAATACCGATCCTTTAAATCCAAAGTGATGCAATTTTTTGAGTAACTTATCCATGTCAATAGTTTCAAACGGACTTTATATTGTCCATACATCTACTACAGTCCTCTAAAACCATTTGTATTTGTTAACATTTTATTTCCATCAGTAAATTCGATGATCTGTTCGTGAATAATTTCTTCAAAAACTTTTTCAGTATCTGGTAGAATATTTATTGGCACTTTATTGGTGTACAGCTCAGAATCCTTAACAGTCGAAACAGGAGTTATGGTAGATCACTTTCGTTTTGTTGGAAATCCGACATGTTTTTAAAAGTAATTTATCAAAATTAATATTCTTGCTCCAGTAATAACAAAACGTCCATTAGACACCCTTGTAGAGAAAATCTCACTCTAATTTTGATATGATATTTAGTCACACGCGGTAGTTGAGGTGTTAATGTCCTTAAATGATTTTTGTATGTATCTAATTTTCCTGGATTGTCAGGGATTTTGAGAGCGACCTATCGGTATGCGACTGGGCAAAAAAATTAATAAACCCGCAGAAATTTGACCCTCCTCCATACCTCTAAGTGCTCTATCTAGATGTGTAGCCCGGATAATGAAGTCACGTCAGGTACAGGAGAAACGTCCTAGACTAACGCGATCAGAACCGGAGGCACGGGGCGGATAAGAAATGTTTAATAGTTTTACCACTTAGAAGACGATTTAATAGCAGGTATAGAAGTATATGTAATATGATAGCAACAGAACATAAATCTTTTCGAATTGATAACGTAGCAGATAAAATCAGCAAAGAGGCAGTTATCGACTTTGCATCCATTTGCAAAAATACAGTTACTGAAAAACTGTTACGAGGGTTCTTTCTACGGTTCCCACATTTTTTCAGGCACAAGGATTTTTTTATTTGAAAAAACAAATTCACCATTGGACACGTTGACCTTTAAGCTATTTTTTACATAGTTGGAATTTTTTCTACGCGTTTTTCCAGACGGCACAAATTTCGCACCTGACGGTGACGGCGATGAACGTCTCCATTACGCATGTCCGTCGGGCCAGCACTGAGCATCGCAGATAGGCGCTTGTTGTTAGGATCGGTGGTGGGGGAGCTTACTAACATGACGGCGTTGCCAGATTTCTCCCTGCATCACGCGCGGCAAAGCTACACCGTTGGGAAGATTCTCAAGCCATACTTCACTATGCAAGGCAAGAGGATTAAAATTTTGATTAGATGTTTTTAGGAGGTTTCGACCAACAAAAGTGGACGATTTTTGAGCACTTTTCGGAATAGGAAGCTTGTGTGGAAATACAATGGAAACCTTATCAACATCCGAAAATCGAAGAACACGACAATTAAAAAGGAGACTAACTCGGTGGTAAGAGTACTGTCATACTTCCAAGAACCAACCGAGGATGTTTTTTATCGTGTACTGGCGTTATGAGATAAGGAGACTCAACCAAAGGCGATGAATATGATAAAAAATAAGACCTTGTTAAACTGATACTTGGCGTTCAAGTGAATGCAAAACCTGGCAAAGAAATTCTGAAGCTAAAAGCTCTATATCGAGTCTGTGAAGACTTCTTAGATAATGCGTGATACAGCGCTGTGACTGTAACCATCAAATAAAGCATTCTACCTGGAGATAGTCAACCTGTTGGTTAGTATATTATATAAGGCGCTGAAGCCATCTATATATGAGCATATGGCTAACTATATATGAGCATACAGCTACAGTGCTATCTCTGAGACAATAACCTTTTCAAGGAGAGGAGAAACGTAGCGGTGACAAATTCTCATATACACGTATAACGCTACGGTGTCTCATTCCATCTCGGATAATTTTTCACCGGGATATAGTATTACATCAGCTGCCTTCAGGAAGAATTCGTTAATCAACACCGCAACTAAATGGGCAGTGCGATAAGACAGTTAAGGTCGCAATAGCGTCAGTTACTAACCTCCTCGATAGCCGAGTGGTTAGCGCCTCGAGTTAGCAATCACTCAATCCCAGGCTCGCGGGTTTGAATCTCCGCCTTGCAAGTTAGTTCTGAGCCATGGATCTTGTATTATGTGTTTTCTATATCACGCACCAGATCGGTTCAAAATGAACGATAAGACATCGCTCGGCTATCAGCATTAACGTATTAAGGATTCGTATTTGGGGAAACATCAAGGCATAACACATCAGAAACGGTACAGCTTTGTGTGGGCCATGATAATTGGATATTTTTTCACCACCCCCTCAGTATAGTTAATCTAGTCTTGCTACACCGCTGGCTATGTCTATTCTACATTCCCTCCATTCCAGCATAATCGATTTTTCACATAAACCTCGCCTCTGCGCAACCGAAGGGGAACTGCGCCCTACAACGTTGTCAGATCATGCAATAAACTCCAAGCATCAACAGTTGTCACTATATAAAAGCATATCATGATAGCAGTTTTTGGTGACTGTGTAGTTTTGATTAACAACTTAAGTTCTTAAACTTATCCTGATAAAATTCCATGTTATTATTAATTATTACTTTTTACTAAGGTTTCAGCCATCAGAGTTCCGCTCTTAGTACTGAGGAAGCTTTTAGTCAGCTTTCGCCTAAAAATCATGTGTAAGAATTCGCCTTGTGGTATCTCTAAGAAGTTTTTTGCAAAAACGGCAGACCTCTTTCTGTGCTTCTATGAGGCTTTCAGTAGTATAAAAGTTTTCAATAGGGCGGCATCTAAGACCCTTTAAGAGCTTTTACTCCATGGTTTGCTTAGTTTTCGTGAACACAGACTTTTTTGAATCACCTGGACTACTCAGAATCTAAGCTTTCAGTTTTACCTTTTCGAAAGCCATGATCAACTATGATCAGAAATTTTCCTGGATGCCCTCATCCTATAGTCTCCATGAGAAGCACTTTCCGGGGATAAATGTAGCCTAAAACTTCTAAAAAGCTTACACTAAGACCCTCTCAAGAAGCTTTGCGTACGGATACAATGCTACATTTAGTGATTTGAATTATACTCTAGCTTTCGGTCATCTGTGGTCTAAAACTAGCAATATTATATAACTACCTCTGCCGAAGAAGCACACCATACGCAGCGGTTGGAAATAAACCTAATTGATGAGTGATGTGTGAAGCACGGAATCGAGCTACTTGACGTTAAATTTTTATCTTTTTTGAGAGGTTGACGGAGTCTGAAAGCTCCCGCAAATCGAATAATTTCCCGACAATATGGCAACACTGCGTCCTTCGTCGGATTCGGAGCGGTCCTTCATCTGACTGGCATACTGAATTTTCCGACCTTAAAGGTGAGTTACGTATGAGTTTCAATTCAAATTTTTTGATTGTGCATGACATGCATATCAATTTTCCTGCTTGCTTGATCAATCTTTCTACCTTACTTTTATTTTCCTCGCATTTCCTTGCACATATGTAGAAGCAACCATGACAATTAATAAAAGTTACAAACGAATCTTGGTGAGGTGGCAGTTTTTACTCTCAACTACTTTATCTTTCTTGTGTGTCAATCTCTAGCTGTAATGAAAAGGCTTCAGCAGTTCCTAGCAGCACAATGTGCTATTCTTGTTCTCGCATATTGTTCCACGTTGTAAAAACCATGTTTCCTGTTTCGCATAACAGGTGGTTCATTCTGAGGCTGTATCCATTCTTAACTTGGTCATTCATGACTACTACCAGCAACAGAGATCCCTTTTGTTGATGTGCATGAGTATCTGGTTAAAAGAAAGTTTGTTCCCCAATGCTTTTAAAATTTCACTTCGAGCCACCTCACAGTCACGACAGCTTGATGTAAATTATGCCCTGCTTATTGCTTTGCTTTTGTGAGAAAATTGGCGATTTATACTGCTGCCTATTACTGATACCCATTTTACACCAAACATTTTTTTACAAATGCATTCAGATAGATTGGTTGAAGATTACGCTGGGTATTTTGCAGTGATTCAAAGAGCAAGTTCATGAATTATCTCACGATACACAGTACAGTCAATATCGCCAATCACATAAAAAAATATGGCCAGAAATAATTCTTCTATTCTTTAAGAAGAAAATTTCAATGACTTAACTACTTTTGGAAAACAGGGTGGTGAGGTTTTCAGAAGTAAACCACTTACTACTAATATCTGTCAATACCGCTTTAGATATTTTGATTAAATTTGCCATTTTGCTACTTTCCACCAGCAGCGTTCGTACTAATTCTCACCTGCCTTTTTTGGCAAACATTGAATTTTTTATAAATAAAAATTATTCTCGAAGTCTTCAGCCATCTCTAAGCAAATATGGTCGCTTTTTTTCAATCAATATATTATACAGGGTGACTTCGAAGTTGAGTCATTTATTTTAACAGTGAGTAGATCTGATCAAAAGAAATGTTTTTTCCTTTACCATTTTTCTGGTAAAATTAAAGTAACAAAGTTATAGCCCTTTGGAAGTTTTAGTACCGCCCTGTCTCAATAATAATATTATGTGCTCGTGTTTGGCAACAACGGATATAATCCGCCTTATCGGTTCATCGCATCGGAAACAAAAAAGCGAAAGAATTTGGAACGATGTTTTTACAATTATTTTATTCAGTTGTATACAGTCAGTGTCAGTCGGTAACGCGTGAGTGAATAGTGGTGTCTGTTGCGTGGCTCAAACGAAATAAAAAATGGCACATGTTTATGCGGATCAGTTTCCCAATCGAGTGCAACCAACCTCTCGTGCCTTTGTTAATGTAGTACAACGGGCTCGTGAATCAGGTGACTTAAGACCTCACAGGGGACGGCATGCCGGTGCTCCAAGACCTCACGATCAAATACAGGTCCGCACTGAAATACTTGTCGGGAGGATACTTTATAAAACAAGGTAACATTTTTTTTTTAATTTTTTTTTATTTTTACACACATATTTTGGTTTATCTTCCTTCTACAATCATTATCTGAAAATTAATGACTCAACTTCAAAGTCACCCTGTATATTATATATTATATATTATATATTATATATTATATATTATATATTATATATTATATATTATATATTATATATTATATATTATATATTATATATTATATATTATATATTATATATTATAATTATGTTATAAATCATATACTATGTATTATACAGGGTGACTCCGAAGTTGAGTCATTTATTTTAACAGTGAGTAGATCTGATCAAAAGAAATGTTTTTTCCTTTACCATTTTTCTGGTAAAATTAAAGTAACAAAGTTATAGCCCTTTGGAAGTTTGAGTACCGCCCTGTCTCAATAATAATATTATGTGCTCGTGTTTGGCAACAACGGATATAATCCGCTTTATCGGCTCATCGCATCGGAAACAAAAAAGCGAATGAATTTGGAACGATGTTTTTACAATTATTATTTTATTCAGTTGTATACAGTCAGTGTCAGTGAATAACGCGTGAGTGAATAGTGGTGTCTGTTGCGTGGCTCAAACGAAATAAAAAATGGCACATGTTTATGCGGATCGGTTTCCCAATCGAATGCAACCAACCCCTCGTGCCTTTGTTAATGTAGTACAACGGGCTCGTGAATCAGGTGACTTAAGACCTCACAGGGGACGGCATGCCGGTGCTCCAAGACCTCACGATCAAATACAGGTCCGCACTGAAATACTTGTCGGGAGGGTACTTTATAAAACAAGGTAAATTTTTTTTTTAATTTTTTTTTATTTTTACACACATATTTTGGTTTCTTCTTCTTCCTTCTACAATCATTATCTGAAAATTAATGACTCAACTTCAAAGTCACCCTGTATATTACGAGTACAAATGATATACTTGTTATATGTTATATTTATATATATATATCTATATATATATATATATATATATATATTATACATTACATAATCAAAACTTTACCGCTTTTTATCTTAAAAGCTAAGACGTTATCGGTATACGTTCATATGATATCTGCTCTTTAAAATGGAATAAAAAATCGCTCCCTTAACATTCACTAGGACAATATTGTAGTTCTGATGTTAACGCGAATCTCACAAACAAAGATCATTGCAGAATGATCTCTATCAAGGTCCTATACTTCAATATAATGGGAGGGAGAACAAGATTGGAGTCATGAAGTTTGACGTTCAGCTTTGCAAAAACTAGAACAGGTTACAATACTGCCTAACAAAATCCAGGAAGAAGTTCATAGATTTATTTGACGTCGAATTCCTGTTTTATACATTTTAGATTTGGTCAACAACTCAGTTCGCTTGTGGATTTGCTGTCAATGTAAAAAGGGTATAAGGGGAGCACATATTGATAGTGCGTAACTTGGCGGATTTCCGTAAAGCTGATATCTTAAAACCTTAGAAATGCACATTTCGTACTGATGCGTCTAAACTATAGATACTCAAAAAATACTCCAAGACATTGGAAACTATAAAATTCACATTCAGAGTATATATGAAGAGCTTGAGGTAGTAAGGTACCTAAGTCACATTTTAACAAAAAAAAACACATTTCGGTTTCAAAGCTATCTATGCCCGAAGTGCGTTTTTTGACATTATTTTTGTGGATGTCGCTATAATTTATAAAATGCGAGGGATATTTCAATGGTATAGAGGGCCAAGATGGTTCTGGACTTAATTCAGATGACAGCTTAAACGTCAAAGATTATCATGCAAGTGATGACAGTTCTGATACTGACGCCGGGCGAGTAACTACATTTGTGGTCTACGAGTATGATTTGGACATGGACTACCCCCGTTATAGATGAGACATACGCTTTCGACAAGTAGGAACTCTATCTTTTGTGTTAGTTTCACAATACCATCTATATTAGTACATATAATTATCCTTAGTGGAAACAACTATCATAGGCCGCAAATATCGTTAATACGATTCAATAATATGTAACTTTTGACCAAATAAATGTATCAGTGTGGATTGCGACTTTAATCAAATTTAAACAACATTCATATTTTTCCGAAATAGAATACATGTCTGACACAGACTTAATGCAAGAACATAACCTTAGCGTATTTGGGCTTTACGTTTGTCTATAGAAAGAACTGCAACGTAGATAAGGAGTCTGCCAAATGCAACAAAGTATGCTGTTTTAAGTCTAGCAATGAATATCCAAATTATATGTTTATCCTCAAATTACCTTTGAAGTACGTTTTTTTCAACAAGGCACAGTATATTCAGAAATAAATTACTGCGTCGTAATTTTTCATTCTGTTATTACCAAACCTTTATTCTTCGAAATGTAAGCATATTGTAGCATTTTAATCCAAATTGAGCAATAAACGTGATTTCAGGATTTACTTAATAACAGATTTCTCGAAAATAGTCAATGTGGCTGAGGTTGTCCCAAGGACTTCATATTTACGGTGGGATCTGCGTTTTCAAAATATTTTTCCGTCCATTAAACATCCTTATAGAATTGTTACGTTGCAAATTTACATGTGTTGGGTTTAAAAAGTAATGTCAAGATTGGCAAGAGGGTATCTGATTTAACAATGATTGAATTAATAATTGAAAGACAGTTCGACAGCTTTATGAGTATGCAATTTTGAAGGTAGTAGGTATATCTGGTCTTAAAAAGCCGGTTGTATTTTTTGATATGACACGTTCATTTTGCATTATCTATATGACTTTGCAGAGAAAAGGGTAGAAGCGTGTATAATTTCCGTTTATTATATTTATTTTAGTTTCTAGAACCATGGAAACTTGTTCGAACACCTATCTTATAATACCTAACTTTTTAAGATGTGACTTTTAAGCTTTTCAAAAAGCTATTCACCTTTTCAGAGTATCGGCAAAATTTGAGTCACCAATCTCCAAAACAACAAACTCCTAACCTCTTTGGTTTGTCTAAAGAGCTACTATAAATCGTTAAAGACATCGATTGAATATATTTTCTCTGATTTTAACTAGCCAGGTTATTAAGCAAGAACATCTAAGAACTTCGTTTAAACCTATATATTTCACGATTTATTGCTCTAACATGGTACCATGATGACAAATTTGTTGGATATAAAATAAACATGTCTTCTGTAGCTATTTTTCACTATAAGCCCATATTTATTTTCCAGGTCGTGAAAATGAAGTTCGTCTTGATATTGTTGGTGTCCCTTTCAGGGACCTACTGCTATATACCATATGGAAAGGTAAGGCAAACTGTTTACACCTTTATCGGATATGTATGAATATACAGTTGGGTAGTTTATTGTCTCTTTAGAACATTTTACATGATATAAGACTTGTCAATGTGAAACAAGGTCATATATGCGTTTGAGCAAATATGCCGGAAAGATACCTATGAATATAAAATAAAGACATTAGCAATTACAGAGAAGTATATAAAATTTTAAAAAGTTAAATCACATATAAGTGCAGCGTAATAATCTAAAAATGTTCGATCAGTAAAGGTGAAAAACATAAACTGCGACTTTATCACAAGAAATGTTCGCCTAGCGGATAAACATCATTGAAGTACTATATACAAAAAGAGTATGAGAATCTGTTAGTTATACAAATAAATGCAAGCAATGATGACAATTGGTTAAAAACTTAAATTGAAACCTATGCACATATCAGAAAAGGCCAAATTAGTGATGTATAGTGATTTTAGTAGATATATAACTAGAATATGTTGAAAATAGTGACGGATTAATAATATGCAGGGCGTCTCTTAAAGACGTGATATTCCAGGATAATTGTTTGCTGAAACGCCTATATCAACATGTGGTCATATAGCTGCAACGGCTCTAATTGTTACTACAGGATCAGACATTTTTAATACAAAATCGTTTTCATCTTTTACTTTGGAAATCTTTTAATATTATTATCGATTTAACCATATTATAAGAAGGCTTAAAATGACATACCCTAATATAAAAAGCAATTTCGTTGCGGCACCAGTGGCGTCCCTGCAACCACGACTTGTGATATTTGTCAGAAGAAAAAGTTTCAATGTGACTATTAGCAGTTACCATTTCGTCGTTTTGATCAAAAACAATTCATATCATGAGAACATATTGAGATATGGAATTTATGTAGAGATGATTAACTAAAAAAACATTCGCTTTGAAAAATTTCATTATCGTATAAGTATTGGGCCTGTTTTGTTCTACTTTTTATCGAGCCATTTGCTTAAAGCTCTCTGCCAAGAATGGCGACTACGGCGATAGCTTAACAGAAATAAACAGACGCTTGGAAGTCACAAAGGTTCCTATTTATATACCCTTCCTGCTATTCCTCAGAAGTGAGTATATGGTCTTACTCAATTTTAGGACTCTTACTTGTTCAACCTGTTCCTACGCAACATCTTGAACCGCATCCACAACAAGCCAGCCAATGAGAACGGAGGGGATGTGTCCTATTTGGACCTTACTGACGGGTCCGCGTTGGATGCCAGATCGTTGGGGGGTGGAGGGGACATGGAAGAGGAACCCCCCTACGATTACGATTCCAATGGAGAGTTGAACCTGTTGCCTAGCATCAGAGACCAGGAATACTTGCAGCATAGCTCGCTGTGGGGGAATCAGGTAGAAAGCAAGATTAATATTATACTCAAGTGTGAATCTGAAACTTATCCTGTGGTTCCTTACTAAAACTGTTTTCCTGAGTCCATTCGACGAAGCTGATATGTATCATTACAACATATGGCTGATAAATCTATTCTATTCTAAAAACACTCTCTACTAGAAGTTGAAGGGGAAATATTTCAATTCTAATGCTACATTGTTCAGTGTCAGCGGATTACCGGTTTGGTTTGATTTTAGTATGTTTCTGGTGGAGCTGGGGAGGGAAACCAGTTGTTGAGACCAGACGGAATGAGAAACAAGCAGGAAGTCAAGACAGATTCCACACTACCTGCATATTGTAACCCACCAAACCCCTGCCCAGTGGGCTATAATGGTAAGCAAAACTAAACAAATATTAATCTAGCTTTTACTTCAAAGAGAAACTTAAAATACGACTAGCATTTTATGATAAATTACCCTTGAATGGACAAGCTGTAATTCCAGTAATTGGAAAGTGATGACATAGATGACTGAAATGTATCAACATTTCTTGGAGTCCCATATTTTTTTTATTTATTTATATTTTTTGTAATAAACTGTAGGACCAAGTGGGTATTCTGATACGCCTTCTAATGCCTTTATGAATGTACAAAGGTAACCTTTTGTAGACTAGAAATCTCTCTTCTTCATTACCGGATTAGGGAAAACTGATTTCGCTCAAAAATGGCAAGAAACTTAAAAACCTCAAGTTAATTTACTTCGACAACTCAAAGCTTCTGCTTGAAAAGGGAGACTTCACTGGTAACTTCTTAAGCGCCTTTGAAATCCTCCACATCTACATAACCGACCAAGAAGTTTCTAAAAAATCCATATATCTCGATTTCTTCCAGAGGATCATGGCTGCATCGTAGACTTCGAAAATTCAGCTTCCTTCAGCAGGAGGTACCAGGCTTCCCAGGATTGCATGTGTGACAACGAGCACATGTTTGAGTGTCCCAATGCAGTTAATATGGAGGATCCGATCGATTTGGAGGAACTGAATTTCAACAGATTCTTGGAACAGTCTCTCAAGGTAAGTATCACTCGTTTATTGATAAAGATGCTTAACGTTATATTTACACAGTTTGGATATGAAAGGAAGTGAAATATTATATGTAATAAACTTCAAGATTCTGTGCTGTCGAAAAACATTTTTTTTCAAAGTTCAAAGTTTATTCAAATTCATATTCAAAAACCAATATAACTTACAAATTAAAAACAACCTTCAGTACAATTTAAATAAAAAAAGCTTCAAAAATTCATGAGCTTGTATACTCTTGCTACCCTGAATAACCAACATTGCAACAGAAATCTGAGCAAAGATACTAGCATCAGATCTAGAACCAGCAAGTAACGGTAAATGAATTGTGAAAATTCTGTATACTTTCGTAAAGGGTAAATGTCTGAATCTTGTCGTCACAAATCCTAAATTACGTGTCTGCATAAACAAATCTAAAATTCATAACAATAGTACAGAAGCATACTAAAAACGCTCAGAAGTATAAACATAGAGTACATAGAATATGAATATCTGAAACATGATAATATAGGGATATTTCGAGTAAGGTTAAACAATAAAAATTTTGCGTAAAGGTTAAGCAGAGAAACAAGAGTACTACAATTTACTACAAAAGAATAGACACCTAAGCTATAAGCTTGTGTGTGTCATACAATATACAAATTCAATGCATGGCTAATGGTCATAAGGTATATTATGAGCAAATGTATATAAAAAAAGAAATAAAAAAAAAACATTAGATAGAAACGAAATTACTGAGTTGAGTCAAGCTACCGTCGATGCAAGCATGTCAAAGTTATTTAAGATGAACTTCTTAATTCTTTTTTTGAAAGTATACTTCGAGAGGATTTTATATTCTAGGGGTAATTTATTATACAACCTAATCCCATCAAATTTTATGCATTTTTGGCAAACAGATTTATTCACTCTGGTATAGGTGTAACTTATATTTATTTTAGTTCTTGTTTCATAAGCTTGGCTGGTTGGAATATTGTGTCGGGAGTGAAAAAACTTTAGAGCAGCAAAAATATATAAAGATCATTTTCAATGTAAACAAATCTGCAACTTGGCCTACATGGGATACGAAAAATAGTCCTGAAAATATAATTTTGCATGGTTTGTAGTATTTTTAAAGTACTAGTGTATGCGGCTCCCCAAATACTTATCCCGTAAGTTAGTAGAGACCCCACAAACGAGTTATATATTGAGAGAAGACTCTTTCTGCTTAAAATATTCCTAAGAATGAAAAACTTATGAATAATTCTCCTTAATTTCGATGCCAAAAGCTCGGCATGACTCTGCCATTTTAAATTACTGTCAATAGTGATTCCTAAGTATCTAATAACTTCAACTCTTTCGACAGTGTCAGCACTATCATTTATAATTAATGTTCGGTGGTGTAATGGCATGCCTGCTTTGGTTGGAGCAAACGTTACATACTTAGTTTTAGAGATATTAAGTTTAAGTAAATTGTTATCCAACCAGCATTTTGACTTTATTTAATGACAACTCGGCATTCCGTATTGCGTCATCCCATGAATGACCAGTGCAAACTAAAACAGTATCGTCTGCATATGATATTTTACAGTTGAAATTACATCGAAGTAGTTCATTTATGTATATGAGGAACAGTGTTGGTCCCAAAACCGTCCCCTGAGGCACACCTATTTTTTATCTTTTAAATGTCGCTTAAATCTGACCCTACATTAACTTGTTGTAATCAATCAGCCAAATAGTTCTTAAATAAGTTCAGAACTCCGCTACGCAATCCAATACTTTCTAGTTCCTTTAATAAAATTGTATGAGATACTGAATCGCAAGCCTTTTGAAGATCTAGGAAAACTGCAACAGTCTTATTTCCATCTTGAAAATTTTCAAGCACTTGTCCTTTAGGTTCTTGTGGAGATTGCTCTGTATTGCAATTTTTGCGGAACCCAAATTGACAGTTCGATATTATGTCATATTTCTCAAGTAAAGAACAAAGTCTGTTATTCAAACACTTCTCAAAAATCTTCCCAAATACATTGATAACTGAAATAGGTCTATAATTGAACATATTGTCTTTACTTCCAGATTTCAATATTGGTGTCACTATGCTTTCTTTGAATTGGCGAGGAATTATTGAGGATTTGAAACAGAGGTTGATAATGTGAGTTATAGGGTGACTGATATACTTCATGATCATCTTGATAGTTTTAGTGAGTAAGCCATCTTTTCCGGGTGCGCTATTATTTTTCAGATTACAAACTATTTTTTGTAACTCTATGTTATCCACTGGACTTAGAAACATAGAGTGAGCAATGTTGATGACATGAGGATCTGATGTATCAAGAATTGAGTATTGATCAATCTAACTTGTTATTTGCTCACCTATATCAACAAAATATTTATTAAAAACACAGGCTATATCAGTGGGAGCGTCCAGCTGCTGATTATTGTGATTAATTGATTTTACGTCATTTTTTTTATTTTGCCAGCATTAGTTACCTCATTAATAACATCCCAGCTCTTCCTATAGTTATTACCAGCTAAAATGTGTTTTTGTTTATAATATTGATTTTTAGAGATCTTAATAAGATTAGTTACTCTGTTTCTGTAGAATATATAGGACTGTCTCAATATCAAATTATCATTATCTTTCGTCAAACTCTGTTTCAACTCATCCCTCTTCTTGATCGAAGTAAGAATACCGTCAGTCATCCACGGCTTGCGTTTTCTAGTCTTACTATTTATTTTTAAATTATACGTTGAATGATCTATGCCTTTATATAATTCATTATAGAAGTTATCAGTTGCTTTTTGGACATCACTCTCTGAAAAAACACTATCCCAAGTCACCACTTGTAAATAATCTGTCAACTTTTTCTCATCAATTTTCTTAAATTCATAGCTGTTTTTATTAATGATACAATTACTTCCTTTCAAATACCCAAAATTGAACAAAACAGGATAATGATCGGTCATACAATTTTCCAAAAGTATTGCTTTACACTCAATTGCTGTTTCAGAGACCTTAAATCTGTTTGTCTTCAAAAATATGTGGTCGATAATCGTAGATGAGTTAGAATCTACCCTAGTAGGTGTATTAATCTGAGATATGTACCCGTTCTGTTGTAACATATTCACGTATCTTAAATTGCTGTATTCATGTTCTCTCAATAAGTCTATATATGAATGATATATGAATGATTTTTTATTATAGTATTTGACTGAGAATTCATTATTTGATTTTAAGTTGAATGGGATGCAGCATAAGAACATGGTAGCAAAGAAGTTCCACGACAAAGAGGTAGGTACTTTTAATGCTTTAGAAATGATTACATGTTTTAACTTTGGTTGCGAAACATATTTGGAAGCTGACAAAATAATCCGAAAATATGAACAAATTTTTTTTGGAATTACTGGAGGGAGATCCCACCATGCTATTTTTACGGCTTTGATGTGAGCGTAGAGATGAACAGCATCTATTCCGCATCTTTCTAAGAATTATCACAACACCTGAATTTAGACCTTAAAAGAACGCTTGAAACTATTGACAGAAAATTGTTTTTGAGAAAATGTGAATTGTATCTAAATAAAGCTACAGCCTTCTTGTGGTTGGGTTTTTTTTGTCAGAACGGTGGCTAAAATCGAAAACATCAAATAATGTTTCCTTTGATCATGGTGTCATGTCCTATTTAATTGATTTCGGTTCGGAAACTCGAGGTTGAAATTCCTGTAGCTTCTGAAAAAGCTGAGATGGTGAGTTCAAAATCAACGTATTGGAAAACTCAACAAAACGTAAAACAGCACCACGACAGTGCACGAAGGACTTAATCGAGCAATTAGGCTGGGGAGTTATTGCCCATCTCCCTTACAGTCATGACATAGCGTTTTTGAAATTGAAGGAGCACCTAGGTGGTCAACCGTTCGAGACGGACGACGAGTTGCAAGATGCAGTTACCAAGTTTCTGAACGGGCTAGCGGCGGACTTCCTTATTTTTTCAAACAAAAGATTCCTTGTGCCTGAATAAAATGTGGAAACCCTATTTTTGGAACAGCCCTCGTATATGGTTAAAAACGAATAGGATAAAACTAAGTGTGAAAAAAAACGAAATGCATAATAATTGGTTGCAAAAATACATCAGTAGATTTGAATTTGCCAGTGAAAGTTGAGGGCGAGGTACTTGATTTTCTAGATAGTTTTGAATATTTAAGTATTACAGTAGATCAGCAACGAACCCTTAACAAACATGTCGATTATATGTGTCGGAAAAAATCTGGCATTTTTGTCGAATTTGTAACAATTTAAGCGGAAGGGTAGTCTAGAATAAAATATTTTTTCCTCATTTTACTTATTGTGCATCACTTTTGATCATATTCACAAAGCAAAGGTTTTTTTAAATTATAGTATATAGAATATTTGCTTAATATTATGTCAAGCATACAAGATACAAATTTAATTTTTATGTTCAAAACTACCAGGAATAGGCTCTGCATTATCTTGAACAGTTGCTAAAAGAAATTTGAAATGTGAGGCTACATCAGATCAAAAAAAAGTTCAAAATACAAAGATTTAGATCAAAAGGTTTAGAAATGTCAACGTTTGTCGAAGGTCTGAAAATGTATATCATCCTGCCGTCTACCGTTAAAGCATCTACAAATGTTAACATTTTTGAAAAGCGACTTGGAGGATACTTTTAAGTTTGATGTGACGACGACTTTGTAAACTTAACCTCCTTTTTGTAGATAATTTTTATTATTGCTGGAAATAACTCAGTCTTTTTCTTTTTTATTCTATTCTAACATAAACAGTGGTAGTCCGATAATGACAGAGGTTCTGCAGCTACGGTCAATCATCCAAATACAACTTACTTCGTTCATTGTATCTGTTTCATTCATAAAGTTTAAGTCAATAACCTAATATAATTATATTATACTCATAATAAATATGCGTAACCTCTCATTCTAGATGAACAACGTGAATCCGTATCTATCTGGTGAGAGGCTACCAGTTGCAGCTAAGAAAGGTATCAACGTCTTCGAAGCTTAAAAAGCAAGGCTTTTAGACAGAACAAAGGCTATCAGGCTATCTCTTATACTCTTAAGGTACAGTTGAACCATTATTAACATGAAAAAGAAGGTAGACAGGTCTTGTCAGAAACATTAGTGCACTATTTGGAGTTTTCAGGAAAAAAAATCGTCAGATGGGAGCAATGAGCGTGCCCGTACACGGTAGACTTGCTTCTTTGGAGCTCTGGTGTAAAACTGATTGTCAACAATGTGTGATAACTGATTAAAATGGCTCTTGATACATACCTATTATATGATATTACCTCACGAAGTCAAATAGCCTCATTATGCAGGGTGTTTCAGTTTATTGTTGCATAACTTTAAAATTTGATAGAACTTTTAAAATTAATGCATAAAGTTTATATAAACATGGGTCGAAAAATGCGTGGTTTCCGAAATACAGGGTGTTTAAATTTACTTTCTAAAATAGTTTTTTTTAAATATTTCGAACAATATTTGATGCATAACAGAGAAAATTGGTATGCAAGGGTTTTTTGGTACGACAAAACGAACCATGGACATAGTTTTACTGTAGCCGCTAGAGGGCGCTCTCTACTGTACCTGTAGTGTATTAAAATGACTGAAAAAATTTTCTTAGTGCAATTTTTTGCTTTTTGAATAAAAAAACTGATTCATCGCACTTTTCAACATAAAAAAGCTCTGTTGTGAATTTTCGTTATAGTTAGCAGTTTTTGAGATATTTCGACTTTTGAGGTTCGATGCATTTTTAATTATTTATGATAAAATAACGTATCTCGATAATTTTTAGAAGTAGGGTGTGCCTGCAAATATTTTTGAAATTGAAAGCAGAATAAGGTTAAACGTCAATTAGTTGACAGTTAGTTTTGTTGTCTGTTGAAACCTGAAACGTTTTTTTGCAATTGTGAATGCACGAAATTTAGTTTCTTATACCTGTTTTTTTTTTGTAAGTTTTATAAAAATGCCATTTTTATTCTCCAATCAAAAGTTAGCGGATATTCATTTTGTGTATGGCTTTGTAAATGGAAACGCAGCAGAAGCAGCCAGAGAATACGCACGAAGATTTCCAAACAGACGACATCCAACTCGCTCAGTATTTGTAAGAGTGCATCGCCAAATAATTGGAAATGGTTTTGGAAATCTCCAAAGGGACCAAAACATAAGTGTTCGTCAGCGCAGATTCACCCGTATGATTCTGCGTGAGTTTGATAGAGATCCGACCACAAGTGTTAGGAGAGTTTCTGGTGCCTTGGGAATATCAGCAAGCCATGTTCACCGTGTTCTTAGAAATGACCATAGACGTCCTTACCATTTGCAGCCTGTGCAAGGACTACAGCCAGGGGACGGAGAACGAAGAATCACATTTTGTCAGTGGATTCTTGTTAGAACTGATAATAATAGGGAGTTTTTAAGTAACGTTTTATGGACCGATGGGTCATGCTTCACTAGACATAGAGTGGTAAATTTTCATAATCAACATATTTGGTCGCATGAAAATCCGCATGCAGTTCGGAAAAGAAATTTTCAGCATGAATTTAGTGTGAACGTGACGATTGGTATCTACCGTAATCGACTATTTGGACCCTACCTTTTGCCTGGAAGGTTAAATGCTGCGACCTTCTTGGAATTTTTAAAGGCTGAACATGCAAATATGTGGGATGATGTTGTGTTAGATTCAAGAAGATTGGCCTTGTTGCAGCTTGATGGTTGTCCAGCTCACTATTCGAGAATAGTTAGAAACTGGCTGGACGAAAATTATCCAGAAAGGTGGATCGGCCGTGGAGGACCAGTCGCCTGGCCTCCACGATCCCCTTTCCCTTCATTAGATTTCTTTGTGTGTGGATTTCTAAAAGAAAAAGTGTACCAGGCTCCCGTAACCACAAAAGATGTTTTTTTGTGTTTACTTGGAGTTAGGAATTATTGCTGTGTTTAAAAACACAATCTAAACGATCATCTTAATTACTTGTAATACCAAAATCGAAAATGTAAAAAAAATATTATTTTCCTTAAAAATCGAAATATCTCAAAAACGGCTAACGAAAACTCACAGGAGAGCTTTTTTATGTTGAAGAGTGCGAAGAATCAGTTTTTTTATTCAAAAAGCAAAAAATTGCACTAAGAAAAATTTTTCGGTCATTTTAATACACTACAGGTACAGTAGAGAGCAACCCTCCAACGGCTACAGTAAAACTATGCCCATGGTTCGTTTTGTCGTACCAAAAAACTCTTGTACACCAATTTTCACTATTATACATCAAATAATGTTCGAAATATTTAAAAAAAATATATTTTAGAAAGTAAATTTAAACACCCTGTATTTCGGAAGCCACGCATTTTTCGACCCATGTTTATATAGACTTTATGCATTAATTTTGAAAGTTCTATCAAATATTAAAGTTATGCAACAATAAACTGAAACACCCTGTATAGTTTCTTCTGCATTCAAGTTACAAATTTCTCTATCTGGGCAAAGTTACATTTTCGGAACTATATTTATACGATACTTCTTTTTTTGGAATTGCCCCAGGAACCACTTCTTGAAATTTGGGCAGATACTTTATCAGCACTCTGAGTACCTTGCGGCAAACTCTTAATTAATGCACGTTTTTTTTCTAGGTAATACCGACCACGGCTATGAACAAGGTCAACTCTTAACTCAACGCATTGGTTGAACGTCTATATTGAAGAACACTTAACATACTTTAGATAGTAGTTAGCTTGTAATATGCTGAACGGAGCTTAGATTTAAGGTACCCATACTACTTAGAGGACGTCTTGAACATTCAAGAAAAAACATACCATCAAATGTTCTCATGGCAACAGGGCGATGATTGAATTCCTAAGCATATACTTTCATGTCAGCGACAAAGTGACAAGAATTATCGACCATAGTGGCCTAGGCCCTATTGGTTTTGCGTTGATTGGTTTAGCCCCAGGGGACCTCAGTCGACCAAAACCTTGGCTTAGGCCCTTTGACTTTGTATAAACACAGCTCAAAACCAAACCCACTATCGTTGATGTTCGGAATGTTTGCCTTTTAAAATGTACCAACAACGTCAAGGTCTATGTGGCTACTATGTTATAGCAACATAACTACCCAAACTATTTCAATGGAGTTTAAAAAGGAGGCGATCATCGGAAATGTTCATTTCGGAAGGTTCTACATAAGGTAAAATTCCCCTCTTATTATTTGGAGATATATTGAAACAACCTTGCATTTGGAATGCCAAGTAAGCGAAATGTTCGAGTAATTTCTAGAAAATGGACTATTTCACAACCTTTCAGATTCTGTGAAATTACCTTTTGTAGATATGATCTCCCAGTTAATTCTCTTAAATTTTCTGTATATGAACACTTTGCCAAACTTGATTCGCATTTTAGACGTAAGCTTTATCTATATCCCACTTTTGCCTAAGCAGTTCCTTCGAAGAAGCATTTTGGATATTGCCTTCTACAACTTATGAGAGAAGACAATTCTCTACTTAAATTACCCTATCAAACCATTATTAGTGTTGATATCAAGCAGTGTTCAAACAAGAACACGCATATTGTGGCTTCTAAATGTCTGGTTTACTATGTGTAAAGCACTCTAAAGATATTTATGTAGTTGAATGTATTCTAAATGTGAAATAAATGTATTCTCTTAATGCAGATGATTGTTTTTTTCTACCCCTAACAAAATAATACAATATAATATGTGCTAACAAATTAACAGTTATTCCTTTACTTAATAATAAAAAACGGCTTTATTGGCGGAGTGTTGCACAGCTATTCTTACACTCAACATTTCTAAAGACTAAAACAGAACCTTGAGGAACTCCTGTAGTTATTGTTGTTATCTCAGATCTTTTGTTATGTAGATTAACGCTTTGCTTACGAAGACTTAAGTAATTGCAAAATAAGTTCCACGCTGTATGGTCAAGGCCATAACGATACAGTTTTGCGCACATAACTGAAGGTCAATGGTGTCAAAGGCTTTTGAAAAATCCAAGGATATAAGTAGAGTGGCAAGCCTCTTATCTAGTGACCGTATAATTTCATCATTAAGATTTAAAAGAAAAGTGGTAGTATTCTGCCCTCCCCTGAAACCCGACCGGTGCTTAGCGAGAATGTTTTGATCTATTGAATACTGATTTAGCTGTACATTAACTATTTTTTCTAACGGTTTGGATAGAATGCATAGTAAACTAATAGGTCTCAAATGCTCAGTTGGAGCAGCGATCTTAGGTAAAGGGCATACTACAGCCTCTCTCCAAAGTCGAGGAAAATATCCTTTCTCTAAGCAACAGTTTATAATGTGTGTCAATGGATTCAATAACTCTGATATACAAAGCTTGAGCATACAAGGTTATGCCGTCAGGACCACATGCATTTCATCTTATCTTCGATATATGCTCCAGTATACTTACGAGAAGAGTGGAACAAAAAAAGATGAGTAAAATAAATTAGTAATTAACATCTTTATTTAATTTAGGTTTTACTATACTCTTTCAAATGGCTTTACAGTGAAGAGGGCTCCAAACAAGGCCAGTATAACAAATCAGTCGTTTAAAGTTGTGTGCTTATATTACTTAAGCTGCATGTAAAAGTCGTCCATTAAAATGAAATATACTAAGTGACATATAAAATGCAACACCCGGAATTATTTATCGACTTTCGATAAAAACTTGTAAATATATTTGCTATCATGGAAGTATACTCTAATAAAATGTTGAAGCTATTCCGGTCGTACTTTTTTTAAGGCTTTTTCATATCAGGATCCGAACAATATGAACATGCTTCGTCAATATTCAGTGTTTTTTCTGTGTCGCTTCTATTTGTTTAATTGTTGTTTCATTGCATTATCATGCCTAGAGTTCGCAAATGCACTAAAAGCTGTTTGGCATAGTGGTAGAAGAGTGTTAGACCGCCGACCGACCATCGATGTGAAAGGGTTCTGAAACTGGCCGCTAGAGGATAGTCATCGATCAGTCGGACAGCCCTCCTCTGAACAACATTGAGCATGGATTATCTAGTCGGAGCGGCAGCACCCCAAACATGTGAGCAGTTCTCGAGGCTAGTCCGTATCTAGGTCTTGTACGGAGTGAGGAGGTTATGTGGAAAAAATACTTCTTAGCCCTGCGCAAATGTTGCTACTGTTGCCTACTGAGTGGGACCGTGGCAAGTGCTTGTTCCGGAAGTTGTTGTATCCAGTATACAACTTCTTCCCGTTCAAGTGATTGTCCACGCGTTAAGGAATACCCCAGTACCGATTGCCGGGTGGCGGTACAAGTCCGCCATCGGGCCACTTTAGGTCTATTTAACATCACTAACACGTAAAATGAAGGTGGTAGACAAGGACCAGTCGACCGAGGCAGTACCTCCCGCTAGCTTTTCCCAGGGTGTCCTATAAATGTCCGCATGTTTCCACACCTAAGCTATGCAGTCGGTTATCCTCCAAAACAAAGAAATTAATGATGATGGATCCCTCGAGCACTAAGAATTCCGGACGTAAACTCACTCCACTCTCGGAATGTCCGGGTGGAGGGTTGGCTCGAGGGAACAACATCGAAGATAAAATTTGTTTTTCGAACATCTGCGGGATTAACAGCAATATTGATGCTGTTCATCGCTACCTGCAATCCAATCGTCCCGCCGTGCTTTTCTTGGCGGAGACAAAAATCTCAGAGTCTGCACCGATTAACCATCTTAACTTCCCAAACTACGAGGTGCACTCCAATCTGAGAAAGAACGGGGGAGTTGTGGCTTTTGTCCGCAGCAGTCTTTCCTGCTCCAGAGATGTTTCTTTGGAATCAGACCGGAAGGACATTCTGTGGCTTCGCCTCAACTCCAAAACATCACCCAAGTTTATTTGCTGCCTTTATCGCTCTCCCTCGGACCATAACTGGGATGACCTACTCGAATACCTCGCGGTCCAGACCGACTTCCTGAACATCAATCATCCCGCTTCAGAGGTAGTTCTTCTCGCTGATTTCAATGCCCATAACGGGGTTTGGTTGGGCTCAAACAAGACCGACGCAGCAGGTCGTGCAGTCGAAGCGTTCGCTCTTACCCAAGGGCTGACTCAGCTGGTAACGAGTCCTACTTCTTTCCCCCGCGTCTCGTCACACGCCAGTAGCCTGCTGAATTTCTTTCTGACCACGCATCCTGCCCCTTACAGCACTGCTGTCCTGTCGCCCCTGGGTAACTCAGACCACGGTGTTGTGGAGGTTAGGTTTCGGTCAGAACCCGCTGTGGCAGCAGAAACTCGTACAGACCGCAAAACTTGGCATTACGGACATGCCGACTGGGAGGGGCTCAGAGATTTCTTCTCTAGCTTTCCTTGGAAAGATGTCTGTTTCACTGACGTGAATGCGTCGGCTGTCTGTTCTTCGATAACCGAAATTATCCACATCGGAATGGAGGAATACATCCCTCACACAGTGAAAGTGCCTAGACCAGGGTCCAACGGCTGGTTTAACAAGTCGTGTGGCGCTGCTCGCCAGCAGGAGATCAAGGCACACAGAACCTTCTCACAAAACCCCACTGTAGAGAACAGACAAGCCGACGTTGAGTCCAGAAACAAATATAGAGCGGCGGTTCGCAATGCCAAAAACCAGCATGATATAAAAGTTAGGCACAGGGTAATGTCGCAGCGCAATGGCAGTCGGTCTTTCTGGACGCTGGCCAAGCAGATTGGAAAGAGCTTCTCACACAGTAGTCTTCCACCACTTACGTGTCAAGATGGAACTATTGTGTTCAACTCAAAGGCCAAGGCGGAAGTGCTAGCCAAGATCTTTGCTGCCAACTCCACCATGGACGTCCCCCCCAACGCCCAAGTGTCGTCAATTCAAAGGGTTCCCTACACTATGCGGGAGGTAACATTCAGGCATAAGACCGTAAGACGAGTGTTCTTGTCGCTCGACATCAACAAAGCTTCTGGTCCGGACTTGATTCCTGCCATTGTACTGAAGAGGTGTGCACCGGAGCTTGCTCCAGTTCTTTCGCGTCTCTTCCAGATATCTTATGAATCCGGCACCTTCCCAGAAATCTGGAAATTTGTTCATATCCAACCCATCCCAAAAAAGGGACCTAAGACCAACCCTTACAACTACATGCCTATAGCTCTGCTTTCTGTTTTAAGTAAGGTGATGGAGAGGTGCATAAATCGTGATCTTCTGGACCAGCTCGAACGTCACGGCTTGATTAGCGACAGGCAGTATGGTTTCCGGCATCAACGATCCACAGGGGACCTCAAAGCTTACGTCACTCAATTGTGGAGTAAACTCATCCAGTCTTATGGTGAGGCTCATGTCGTTGCTCTTGACATCACGAAAGCGTTCGATCAGCTGTGGCACGCTGCCCTCTTAAGCAATCTTCCATCCTATGGCCTCCCAGAAAAGCTTTGCAGATGGGTGGCTGACTTTCAGAGTGACAAGCCGATCTCTGCCGCTGAGTTGGAAAAAAGAAGACTAGCGATGACTGCTTGGGGACGCAACAATCTTGTACAGTTCAATGCTTCCCAAACGCAGTATTGTACTTTGACGAACAAAAAGCGTCCCTGCGCCCACCCGATTTCGATGGATGGCCGGGTTCTACCAAGGAGCCATTCATTTCGGCTGGTCGGAGTCCAGATCACCGAGGACCTGATCTGGCACGAACACATCTCTTCAATAGCTGCAGCCGCTGGGAAAAAGCTAGGTTATTTGTTTAGGGCTAAGAAGTACTTTTCTCCGCATGACCTTCTCACTCTATACAAGGCCCAGATAAGGCCCAGTTCTATTAACCTTGAGCAGTTCAAAAATCGTATTAATAAAATTTCTTTGGGATCATTATAGCAGCCGCGGTGTTCCGGCATTTAGGCTTCTGCCTGCGCGGCAGCTTCGATATAAAAAACAAAAAAAAATTAACCGGCGTTACTACTCCTGCTGAAGATTATTTCAGCATTGCGATATCTGATATTCTAGTGCGTATGCAAGCTCAAGTTTTCTTCTGTTCACGTGTAGTAAGTTCCCAATGAGATCGGTGGCAAGCAGGTAGCGCTGGTGCTGTTGAAACAGCTGAAAGAAATCTGCTGAAATCACTGAAAGCGCAGGACCGCAGTTTAAATTTAGCCGCATCTGTGGCCGTCTGATTGTCTACTCCGAGGAAAATCTCAGAAAACTCTCGCATTTTCAACACGTTGAAATTATTCGCTCGTACAGTGTGTTTGTATTTAATCTGTGCATCATTTCAGTAATTCCGCAGTAAAAGATCCAGAAGTATGCCTTCATTGTCATCTCCTACACAATGTGAGTATTTTTGACACTTTTGTGAGAACATTGTGTTTTCATCTGCGATCTGGAAGCGCTTCTCAAGGTTCAAAACGTGTAAAATTAAACAAACCTCTGTGCCGTTCCGTCAACACCATGTATTTTTGTATATTTATAATCAGCCACATGACACCGAATTAATCAAAAGTATTTTCAGTGCATAGACGTCAATGTTATGATAATTTTATATGTACGAACATCATAATGTTTCACTTCAATAAAACTCAAAGCTCATTCGCGAAATCCTTCGATCAACAACAACTTCTCAGTTCTTCTGGTTTTGTAGAAAGCACAGTTTTCGTTTCTGCCCATCTGCAGCAACAATGGGTTTTTGCTACTAAGTGACTAATCCGCATTGAGCCAGTGTGACTTTTCCTCAAAATTCTACTTAATACAAAGACTTGCTTCAATCTATTTGAGTAGAGGACTTTGTTTGACAGTAAATAGTTTTAAAAATAGGTGTGTTTCAAGAGAAAGAGAAACATAGTATTGAATTGCCAATGACGAACAAGCAAAAGTAACATTCACTAGTAGGTTTTCAGAAGATAGATTTCTTAGAAGTAGTCCTTTGTTCAACAGTAAATAATGTAACATAGGTCTTATATAAACTTTCCTGCCATTAGAATAAATTACAGGATAAATATTAAAGTGAACATGAGGACTTGGCTTTAATATATATCGGGAGAAACTTTTGAAAAGCTCGATTGATAGCAGCAATGCAGAAGCTCTACCGGAGTGATACGGATAGCAACTATATCACTTATCTAGTCAGATGATTTAGTTTTGAGATTCCAGTGAAAGTATGTGTAAGCTTGCCTATACAAAAAACTTTAAAAGGGGTTCCCCTCACAAATATAATAAGATAAATCTCAATGAAAAGCAAAGATGTAGAGATTAAAGTTTACGAACGCTTAGGACACCTTTGTATTTGTATTTATACATAATTAGTGTCAGCAAAATATCAGTATTGGTCAGCGAGTCAGCCTAAACTGAGAATACTGAACTCCATTTAAATTTATAGAAAAGATTGAAATCCAAACCTCCATTCTTCAGGAGGATCGCGAATGCCTAGGATAAAGTACCTAACGCGCTTGTTTCATTTCGATGGATGACTCATATATTTATCTTAAACTAGAGTCAAAGATGGCACCAAGATTTTTTACTTGTTCCACAATAGGAATGAGCTTATTGTTGATGGTCAAAGAGATCCTATCCCTCACTCTATTATACGAGTGCTCAGGGCAAAGAAACATGCAAGAACTCTTATCGGAATTAATCTTTAACATGTACCTCTTACAAAAATCAGTTACACTGTCCAGATCCTAATTTGTTTTACGTGACACTTCATTAAGATGAGACGGGTCAAAATAAAAAGAAAGTTGCGTATCATCCGCGTAAGTTTGTATAGCACAATGTTGAATGCATGTATGTAAATTGAGAGCATGCATCGAATACATTCAAAAGACCTAAAATAGTGCTCAGAGGGTCACCTGAAGAAACAGCCATACAAGATGTGTCTTTATCTTTTATTTACGGCTGGTAGTATGTTTCAAAAAACCTCAGAGCAATGCCAGAAAGTATAATATATTTTCAATTACTCAAAAAACATTTTTGGTTAACCGTATAGGACGACTTAGACGATTCAATCATCACTAAAACTGAATTAATATTGTATGGCAAATGAAGTAGTGAAGACGTTCTCGGCATGAAACCCAAACAGGGAGTAGTTCATCTCTAAGTATTTTATTAGTTGAAGATAAATAACCTTGAGAAGAAAACATAGTGTGCTGATGGGTCGCAAGTGATTTTGGGTTACCGGTTTTTTTAATTTGGATGGATGAAGAATCGTTACTTCTTCCCAGAAATCAAGAGAACGCCCATTTTCAAACATATTTTAAAAATTTTAGTTAGATACTACATCAGGTAGAACAGAAGCCGAACGTTCTATATCTAGAATTTCTTGAACACTTACCGGTCTAAACATAAATAGTGTTAAATTAGAAGTGAGTTAACTCTGTTGATAAAATTCAGCTGTATGGGTATGAGTATTTTGAAAATAAGTTCCAATAAATTTAATCATAAAATCATGGCATTCTTTCATAAAGTACTCTGAAAACAACAATCATACTAACTATTATAGTCCTGAAATGCGCTCTACTGCTAATAATGCATTTCAAGTGGAAAAATCGGTGACCGAGTTATAATTTTATTACATTAAGTACATTGACTTTTCAGTTTAACAGTTGCGATGCTTGATACTGTGTGCTATTTTTTGAATAAAAAAAAACTAGGACCTTGAACCTTCAGGAAAATATCCAAGTTAGAGTAATATTCCGTTGTGTGGAATCAACGTACGAGATTAATTTGAATTATTTAGAAAATACTTAAACGCGACGTGAAAAATACGAATAGTTAAAGTAAGAGCATTCACACCGCTTGCGTAGTGACATTCTTTCAAGTTGTTTCAACTTATCAAATTTGTCAAAGCGCCGCAAAAAATTTACGTTTTATTTTCAAACGACTCAACAAAAAATTTGATTGCTGTTTTATCGCGTAGAAGAACTATCTTCTTTATCTATCAGCTTCTCGCGCGCATTTATGATTGTTATCTTCACCACCGTAACTGATTTGTCCTAGTTGTGATGATATATCGGATTGTATTGATATTTTTTGTCTGTAGTACTAGACATTTAAGCAAAGGGATTTTGTCATTAGGGTGAATTCTTTATATTCATTCAGAGCGTGTTTAAATTTTCTCGGTATTCGGTATATGGGTATAGAGTAGGTTGCAGACCGCTGGGGGGGGGGGGATACAAGGTGGTCCGTAGCATGAGAGCATGAGCAGTCATAGATTAAGGTCGTGATAATAATGATGCTGAGAATATGTTTTTGTAAAATGTAGCTCGTTCATGAGATTTACTATATCAAGCAAAACAAAAGCTGGAAATGAGGAGGATGAGGAATATGATTATATTATATTTTATATGCTATGTAAAATGAACGTTGTTAGGAATACTCAGCATCGGCGATGTACTTGAGGTATTGTGAAATGTGCATAGTTACGTTTTATTCTTCACAAAGTATTCTACTATTAACGGACTCTACTTGCCTGCTTTGCCTTCCTATGGTCCCCTTCTGCCGGCCAAGCTCTGATCTAAGCATATTTTTGAACAACCATATTACAAGCATTGACCAGTTTTCCATCTGTTCAACCGAACGAAAATTACATATTAAAATTCCAGATCATCGACCTATTTTCGTCCCGTTGCAGCAACGAGGTATTTCTGTTCTAACATCATATCATAACGTTATTAATTTTTATCCCAAATAATAGAAAAACGATTCGAAAGCAACATTTACAACTCATTTGTATGCCAGATAATGTTTATAGTGGTCGCGAGTTACGCGTAAACAAAGCACGCGATAGTTATATTTAGTATCAGGAAAAAAGAAAGAGAGTGCTTCAGCCGTGCTAAATTCACGATTCCTAATAACTGCTATAAAAACTTATTTCCATGGAATATTTCACTGCCAGCAGGCTAAATTTAATGTCCATCCAACGGCATCAGGTGGATAACCCAAATTTTCACGAACGCGATGACTTGTGGGGAAACGTACAGTCGAAAATCAAAAGTTTGCGTCAAGCAAGGTTAAATGGGGCTGACTTAGGAATCTGTATAGTGGACGCAGAACGAGAGGGCTGAATGCTTAAGCACTTAACCAGCACTTCTGAGTGACAATTCAAAAACGGGGGGAATATGCTAAGGGGAACACACGTCTGACGATCTACTTAGGTGTACCTAAGTAATTTTTACACCATTATACAGCAATATAATAGTAATATTTATTTTTCAAAATAAAAAATTGCTTAAAATGGGCGAATAAATATGAAAAATCCACAGAAAGTATTGTGCTTGTGTCTGGATTATATAATACATTACTAACTGACAAAAATCATAAAATATGTGTATAACAAATATAATTCTAAAAGGTATCTACATAATTTTGAATGTTGTAGTTTTAGCTTTATATTTAATTATCATACTCATTTGCAAACCCATCCTTTTAGTTTTCATTCAGTTTTTTTTACAAATTTATATGTCTTTATTTTGTTTGGTACTACATTATATAATTTAGCTGCTAAGAATTTAAATGATTTTTTTAGTAATGTTTTGTGAAGTCTAGATACTAGATGAGAATATTCGAAATAGTGCGTCTTGCTCATATTTAGATGAATTTTGCTCATTACAATGTTTATTGTATAAGGTAGTGGCATGTAAGATATACTAAGTGACATATAAATCCGAACACCCAGTTTAAATGGTTTTATTTTAATAAAATTTTGTATAAGTACTTAATGAAGCATAGTAAGTATATGATAAAAATTTCAAAATGATTGCACTGCTTTAAAGCCCTTTGACCTTTAATAATGTTTGGATGCACCCTGATGCGCTACGCATTCTCCAACGCGCCTAGGCATGCTTCTGATCAGGTGGTCAATGTCCTCCTGTGGTATCTCATTCCAGGCAACCACCAACTCCTCTCGAAGTGCTTCTAGAGTCTGAGGAGGACGTTGCAAATTGAGCAGTCACCTACCCATCATATCCCACACGTGCTCAATTGGGGATAAGTCGGGAGGTCTTGGTGGCCATGGTAACAATGTGACATCATTATGTTGAAAGAAGTCTATTGTGCCTCTTGCAACATGTGATCGGGCATTATCTTGTTGGAAAGTTGGATCTGCCAGGGTGTCAAGATAGGGTAAAAGATGGGGTTCTAGAACTTCGTGGATATAACGCTGCGCGTTCATGTTACCTCTGATGAAGATTAAAGGTGACCTGGAACCATGAGCTATAGCACCCCAAATCATAACTCCAACAGTGTGATGAACATGTCTTTCAACAAAATACTGTGGATTCCTCCTTTCACCACGTCGCCTTCGAACCCTGGCATGACCATCGTGCATGCCTAAACAAAATCGAGACTCGTCACTAAAGACAATACTGTTCCATTCCTGATCCTAGAGTGACCGTTGTCTGCACCACTCAAGGCGATTACGTCGGTGTTCTCGAGTTAAAGGGAGGACCCAGTGTGGCCGGTATGAAAACAAGCCAAAACTTCTCATTCGTCGGTAAACACTTCGCATGCCAATAGGTCTTCCGTGTTCTGCAAACCATTCATTTGCAATGGACCTGGTAGTGGAGAAACGGTCCCTTAAGGCCAATAATCTTAGGCGGCAATCTTCACGGTCTGTTGTTCTACACAACACCTAACCACAGTGTCTACACTTCTTTGCACTCTAACTGCAATTGCCCGAAAAGAAAGTCCAGCTTCCCGAAGTCCCACTATACGGCCCCTATCAAACTCACTAAGTTGACGAAATCGTACAGGTCTCCGTACTCTAGGCATCGTAACCGATCGTAAAGGATGTCAAGAACCAAAATCCGCCAACGTTGATTCTTTACTGCGGCTGAAATATTCATTTTTAGAGCGTTAGTGAATTAAAAAAAAGCAGTATAAAAACCGGAATGTTCAACTGAATAGGCTGAAAATTTTTTCACTTGTTATTTACAGTAAGATGAATACATTCACCAACTTTTATTAAAATAAAACCATTTAAACTGGGTGTTCGGATTTATATGTCACTTAGTATATAAAGTTACCTACTATCAGGTAACGCCGTTTCCTTATATAACTTGTTTGACGGATATAATCTTGGCTTATGGAAAATGGCCTTCAAAACAGTTTTTTGTGCTACATCTAGATTAGAAGTCTTGCAGATGGTGTGATGCCGTATATTATATGGGTTTCCTTAAAAATGCTTGCAAGTATTTTGATTTTATAGACAACCACCAATTTTTTGATAACATATATAATATGCTCATTGCACCCTAAATGTGACTCTGGCCATGATAATTAAAAAAATATTTGTTTAAAGCTAGGTAAACTTTTTCAAAAAGATGTTAATTAAACATTTTTTTTTCTTTGGGAGCTAAAATTTCACTATCAAACCAGTTGATGATCTTCATGAAATTCTCTTCAGCGATTTGCTTTTGCATTTGTCATTGCTCTTATTCGCCTACTGGCGATAAATTATTGTAATCGCAAAAAATTTCAAAAATGAGTTACTATATTTTCTGGACGTTATATGACGTGTCAATCACGAAAAATCATGTAACTCATTCTGTCGGCCTGTCTGCAAATCCTGGCTCGTCTATAACTTGAAAAAGACCGCTCAGATTGATTTTTGTGTTTTAGATAGGCAAATAACTTTTTTTATAACAATCTTTTACGAACTGATGACAGCGTCGCGTGCAGATTCGACCTACTTGACGCCATTTTTTATTATATTTATACGCCTTCAGCTCCGGTTATTCTAAGCACCTACCAGAATATTTTTTTTATATCGAAGCAGGCGCGCAGGCAGAAGCCTAAATGCCGGAACACCGCGTCTGCTATGATGATCCCAAAGAAATTTTATTAATACTAATAAATAATACTGCCTAAGGTTAGTAGAACTGGGGAAAGCTTCCTCTTGTAGATTGTTCTCGACACCCTCTGGACAAAGGAGCGGTCGTATCGGCCAGATCTGGATGTACGAAAATCGACACGGTTAGGATGGGACGCCAAAGTCAGGCGGGTCTGTCTGGCAGGCACATCGCGCGGCGGCATCATGGAAGAGAGATCTTAGGAGCAAAGTGCGTTGGTGTAGCGATATAAAAGAGCTAGATCGCCTACGGCCCGCCGGTACTAAAGAGTCCCGAGACTGTCTGTTAGATAAGAGTCATCGATCATTCGGCCCTCTGGACAGCATCGAGCATGGATAATGTATTCGGGGCGGCAGCACCCCAAACGTGTGAGCAATACTCGAGGCTGGGCCTTATCAGGGCCTTGTCTAAGGTGAGAAGGTCATGCGGAGAAAAGTACTTTTTAGCCCCAAATAAATAGCCTAGCTTTTTCCCAGCAGCTGCAGCTATTAACGAGATGTGTTCGAGCCCGATGAGGTCCTCGGTGATCTGGACTTCGACCAGCCGAAATTAATGGCTCTTTGGCAGAACTCAGCCGTTCATCGAAACTGGATGAGCGCTAGGACGCTTTTTGTTCGTCAAAGTACAGTACTGTGTTTTAGAAGCATTGAACTGTACAAGAATGTTGCGTCCCCAAGCAGTGATAGCCTCCAGGTCTCTTGTCAGTCGTCGCTAGTCTTATTTTTTTCAGCTCAGCGGCAGAGATCGGCTTGTCACTCTTAATTCCTGTATGTAGAGTGCTGTCATCAGCGAAGCTGTGGATTGGGTTGATCGTGCAGGAGAGGAGGTCGTTGATATGTAAGAGAAACAGTGTTGGAGCCAAGACCGATCCCTGGGAAAACGCGCGTTGACCTTGTGGGATGAACAAGAGAACCCGTCAATTATGACGGATATCCTGCAACCAGAGATAAAGTCAGCCATCCATCTGCATAGCGTTTTTGGGAGGCCATAGAATGGAAGTTTGCTTAAGAGGGCAGCGTGCCAAAGTTGATCGAACGCCTTCGTGATGTCAAGAGCAACGACATGAGCCTCTCCATAAGACTGGATGAGCTTACTCCACAATTGCGTGACGTAAGCTAGGAGTTGATGCCGGAAATCATACTGCCTGTCGCTAATGAAGCTGTGACGTTCGAGTTAGTCCGGAAGCTCGCGATTTGTGCACCTCTCCATCACCTTATTTATAACAGCAGAGCTACAGGCCTGTAGTTGTTTCACACATTATAGAATTGTTCTCCGCTTATTAAATGAACTATGAACTATAACTATTAATTGTTTTCGACAATCCTCTGGCAGTACGTGCATCGCTTTCGGCCGATGGCTGTCTTTGTTTCGCAATCGGTATTATTATGGCGAACATAATACATCATGACAGCTTTACGTAGGATGTGGAGAGTCAACCTACTTGACGGCATTTTGTACGTAAAATTTAAGATACCTCAAAAAACGGCTAGACTTGGGTTTAGGATGATATACATAAGGAGATGTATTTAGAATTTCGCGTAGAATAATAAATAAGACATTCCGTATATAATGAGCAAGTACGTACATCTGGAAGTGCTGCCATTTAAAAAAAATTAGCCGATATACTCCCATCAGTTATACTATACTTTGAGTAACAGATAGCTGCAGTTCTTTGTTGGACCCTGTCTACAAATAGCAGATGAGCGTCAATAGGCTTTTATAATAAACACCTTGTTTTATTTAAACAAGTCGTATTGATAGGTGATCGAATGATAACATAAACAAGAATTTCTATGAGACGCACATGCATAGACAGTCTGAAAAATAACTTTGTTTGCTACTAAAACGAAAACCGAGTTCCTTAGCCTACTATGTTTATCTGTTATTTTCGCAATCTTTCAAAAGCGTGGTTCATTTTACATTAAATAGTACAGTAATTCTTGGACTCAAAATACAAATTTCTTTCAATCAGATTCACAGACACATTACACGTTTACCTCTTATTTCTAGACGTGGGTATAGAAAATAATTTTCGTCGTAAGTTAGTATTGCTGAAACGTTTAAGTAGAAGGGTAACGCGGGTAATTAAAATATACCCTCCTTCGCCGACTGCAGCTCCCAGCCCCAATTTTTTACCCCTTAAAGTAATTACCAAATATTGGGTCTTTGAAACGTAAAAATTTGCGTGATTTTTATTTTCCACATTTTTACCTTCAGCTCCGTCGCCACTGGATCGATCAATAATGCTTTTTCGTTCTTGGCACAACAGTAACCCTGTCTCAAAATTTCAGCAAAATCCGACCGGCACTTTCCGAGTTATACCGGGGCCAAGGATTCACGGACAGACCGACAGAGAGACAGACGGAAATGAGTGAGACAACTCCTAGTGATGTACAAGTCGCGTAACGTCCAAAAAACGTACAATTTCATTTTAGAATCCTATTTCAATTACATTACTTCCTGGACAGTGTAGAAGTAGAAGAAGAAGTAGAAATGATCGAGGACTTGAAATTCTCGGGCTCCTAAGAACATCTTTGCTATAAAGGGAATCTGGTAATTTCGAAACTATATCTTACTATTTAGATTAACAACAGCTGCATTACCATAGAAAGGTTGCAATAAGGTCGGTAACCTACAACACATAAATGCTTGGAGAGAGAGGTCGATGACAAAACCAGAACGTAGTACAATATCGTGATACCAGCTAGAATATTTTGTGGCTTCGATTGCTCACTCCCAGTGAACATGACGATGGCCAAATGACGTCATTATACGGTCACTTTTGGTCAGAAACGTCGCTGACTAAAAAATTACCTACGTCTTTATTGACGCCATTTTTATGACGACAACAAGACGTCCTTTACAAGACTGCCATTTTAGGACAGTCAGTAGGGAAAAATCAACACTTACCTACAAAGAAGATATAGACTTTTAATGAGCAATAAGGTAAACTAGATACTCAAAATACTAAGAACTACCCTATTGGTATTTATATGAAATAAAAGGAGTTCTTCTTTTATACGACATACTATGATGTCATGTAATGACGTCAATTAGGTGTGAGATCAGATCGTCATAAATGTCGACATGTTTAGGGCACTACTGACGAGCGCCGACTAACAAAAATGACGTATAAATGATGTCACTATCGTCACTGGGTCACTCACTGTTTGTTCCGCTTTTGCAGAAGCTCTATTAATATTGGGTGTTGTTTTCAGCAATGGACACTGTGTATCCAGAACCAATGTCCAGGCTTCATAGGAGGGTGGTACCTAGGAAAAGAAGAGGCGGTTCGTTTAGGTATAGAACGCAACCCGTCACATTTTCAGAGATACAGGTTAGTATCTCAATGTTATTTACTTCTTCCTGAGAGTATATGATAACCAAGTTCGTCAGAATGGCCATCATTAAAAACAAACGGGGCTAGTAGGTATTTTTTATTTTCCATGAGAGTATTCCTAAGAGTCAAAGAAACTAAGCTTACTTTAAATCAACTTTATCCATAAACACTTTAGAATTATTTCTGTTTAAGTTTCAGCAAGCAGTTTTACAGATTTTGCAGCTGTAGCTTAATTTTTGACACTTTATTGAGCTTTGTGTAGCTAAATATCTAAATATTGTTTTTTGGCATCATGCCTGGGCTTCCAGAAACTTGGATAATAGTACGCATTATCCAGGATACCAGCTTTAGATATAGAAGGTAGAGCTATATAAACCATTTGTGTTATTTTTCGTGTATTTTAGTGAGCTTGTTTTTATTTTTAGGAAGTAGATGAGGAAAATGTAACTGAAGAGTCTAAAGAAGTGTCTAGTTCCTGCAAATCAGAACTTAGTCTGATGAACGAGAAGTTCGAAGAGTTCAAGCGGAGTAGGGAGATTGATCTACTATTAAACAACAATAAATTGGAAGAGGAACCTTCCAAAACGTCTAGTTCTACATCGAGGACTATAGGGAAGCTACCTTCGAGGCCGTCGTTTTAATATTGTGAGTTCAGTTTAAAGACTATGGCAGAATAACAATTTTTAATATAAGCTACATACAAATGCAAACCTTGAAAATATTTGTAGAAGTTACCGTCAATGTCAAATCAAGTAGGCAACGTGATTGGGAAATCTTAGTCTGTGAGGTGAGATGTATCGAAAGCCTTAGAAGTATATTAACTAGTTTAGCTTATGTTATAGTTAGTAGGGGTGTTAAGAGGCATTCACCAATGTTGGGACGGATCTGGATAATTTTTTTTTGGAGTGAGGGGCGGTGATTTGGCACATTACGAATTTGAAATTAACGGCTCAGAATGGACCACTGCATTTTTAGTACTGTAATAACGGAAGACTTCGTTACCTTGTACCCAACTTCTTCTATTAACCAGTTTTTGTTTGGTATCCATTCAGCTTGACACCAATTCGACTGTGACCCAGATGGCAATTTTTTTTTTACTTTTCGATAAAACCTTAATTTTTCACCTTATCTCGTAAATTTCTGCAGCTAATTTCCCATTGTCATTGATTTTTGTGTCTTTAGGGATTATGATAGAAGTATGAAGAGTGAAAGTGCCTACTAGGAGACCTTGCTGCTGAATGGAGTTTTGCAGAAGTTTTCGCCTTAAGCAGACGCAATGATCGAAACTTTCGAAACAATTGAAGGAAGTTATATGATTGAGTGAATTATTGTGATCAGTATGATTTTGAGATGCAATTTATAAATATTATGGTTATAAAATTGTTTTATTTTTAATATGTACTATGTATAGATTCAATAAATTTTTTAATAAATTTACAGAAATTGTTGACAGAATTACGGGACATAATTCAGTCTCTCCAGTGATGATCAAGATACTGTCCTTTAATTGGGAAAGGATGATTTTTGAGAGTACTGGATACTGTCACCGCTTTTCGAGGCCCATCAAACCCGCAATTACTGGAACATCTGATACTTTTAAAGCTATCGCAGTAATAATAATAATAACCCAACTAGCAAAGTAGTGGTAGAAGCTTTTGGTAAATGAACAGTTCAGCCATAAAAGCTCTCTATTGTTGTTGCCTGAACACCAAAATCCTGGCTTAATGTTGTGTGGAATGCAAATTTGATTTCTGCAACATATTTGCTCTAAAATGAGGTCTTTAAAATATTCTTATAGCATAGTTATACAACACCTTATAGGGCAAATTTTTAACTGTTGCATAAACGTTTATACAACTATTTTATACGGCATATTTGCACGTTAGTCAAAATGGTTGTGTTGTGGCATCCATGGTAACATTTATGGAATTAAATCGAGCCTTGTTTTGCTGTGCAATTTACTACTTTAGCCAACAAATTGCTCCCAACGGAAGCACTTATACAACTGTTGTTTAGTAACTGTTAAAGGCTGTACATATGCTAAATATGTTGGTATACAACTTCACCATAACCTAACTTTCTGCTGTCATATTTTTGCTAAAATGCCATAACCAATGTTTTAAGACAAACAACGCATGCATATTCCTTCAAAAGGTTTTATCAACTGTTCAAACAAAAGATATAGATCTGGTATAAATTCTGGGTAAATCATTAGACTGTGTCGGTATTTTATTTCAGTCATTTTTCAAATTGTTGTATAACACCTGCAGGCAACACCAAAATATTCTAATAAACTAAAGACAACATGGACGATGCCATGATTATACACCACCACCCGCCATATTGGGCAAACATTTATTCCTCTATTTAATATTAAATAATTGTGTTTCAGTTCGAAATTACAGATATAACGTGATAAACATTAGTGCAATTGTGTCTAAATATAGGATTTGTGGAAGATTTAGCGCAGATAAGTTCAGTTTTTCATCTTAAAAATCTAAACATACTTTTGATCATTATTAAAATATGAATCAAATACGAAGCCCGTACAAATTGCATAAGTACTTTGCATCTGTGCCACCGTGTAGAAGTTTATCATATACCTGTGTATGAAATTCTCAATGGCCGATATGTAAGTAAAGAAGATGACTGTAATGTGCTAGTTATGGCCTATACAATACATAAGAAATACTTTGGTTGCAATAAAGTAGAATCACGTAACAGAATAGTTGTATAGTTGACAAAAACTGAATCTTGCACTGACGCAAATGTCCTATAGCGGCTGCAAGAGGCTTACACTTTTGTTGTATAACTGTTACCTGCAGCCCTTATACAACCTCTTAAATGACTGAAGTGTCCTATTAGGCGTGCCCATTCCGCTTGTGTAGCTGTTCTAAGAGGGTTTTGCCAATGTTCTTACAGTATACAATGCTGTGTAAGGAATGCTGTATAATCATTCTTGCAACTCTAATAGGAGTGATAATTGTTAGTTGGGAATAATTAACGTCTTTTATTTGTAATATTCTTACAGGAGGCGATATTTAGATAATATATCTATTCTACCTTTTTAACCCCCTTAACAATACAGGATGTAAAAAAACAGTATTTGTTGAAAATTAATACCTGCATACAATAACGACAGAATAAAGTATAATCTAAGTAAATGCATAAGGAAAATATGGGTAACAACAGATTTCGCTGCTTATCGTAGAACTTCTTTCAATTTTTCCTTGAATTTGTGTAATGGATTGGTTTTCTTTAAACTGCGGTCTAAAGAATTATATGACTTGATCGCATTGTAGATATATGTATTCTGAAATAGAGATGTGCTGTGGCGTCTCTCTATATCTAATATTGACGCTATGCATATTCCCTCTACGTATGAATTTGTCTACTAAATATGACGGTGTTTTTGAATAAAGAACCTTATGAGTCAGATATAGGAGCTGGTACTTATACATTTTATCAATTTTCATCCATTTGAGTTCATTAATGGCAGTCGATATATGATCATACTTTCTGCGACCATTTTCAACTCTGCAACATGTATTCATAATACTTAGAATACAATTTCTTGTTATAATATCTAAATAGGGTAGTAGGTAAACCACTAAGCAGTACGATATCTTTGAAAACAAAGAAAGATTCACATAATTGCTTTCTCGCATATTTATGTAATATAGCCGTATTTGCAAATAAAACTCTGAGAATAGCGTACCATTGAGAAATTAGATAGTTTACGTGTACAACATCCATTATAATACCTAGGTTATTCAAATGATCCACAGGAACTAATTTATTACCTTTTATATGTATGTCCCTTTTTAAAGTATTCTTTTTTGTTGTATTTGCGTATTGTCCTTTTCAATTTGGACAAGATCTTGATTAATTTTATTATTTGCTGTTTCCAAGTCAATACTCCTAAATGAATAAAAATTTGAGGATCGTCTGCAAAAAATTGTATGCTGCATGATTTTACCTCTGTTTCTAAATCTGAGATATATAATGAAAATAATAGGGGTCCTAAGACCAATCTCTGTGGTACACCAGAACAAATTTTTTGATCAGTAGAGTACTGTTGATTTAGACGAACTTTTTGATTCCGATTTTCAAGGTAGGTTTGAATAAACGAAAGAGGTTTTTCAGAAAATCCATAATAACTGCATTTAGACACAAGAAGTGAGTGATTAATGGTGTCAAATGCTTTAGTAAAGTCAAGAAGTATGAGAGCTATTGCTTTTTGGTTATCAAGTGCCATTTTTATATTGTCTGTTAAATCACAGAGTGCCGAAGCTGTATTATGACCTTGTAGAAATCCAGATTGTATAGATGGAATTATTTTGTTAGAATATAAGTAGGCGCAGAGCTGCTCGTAAACAACGCTTTCCAATACTTCAGAAGAAATTGCCAGTAGGATCAGAACACTTAGATAGCGGAACAACTATAGCGCGTTTCCACTGATTGGGGAAATATCCCCTCTCTAAACAGCAGTTGATAATATGTGTTAAGTACACATTAATTTCAGGTATACATAGCAGTATCATATGCAAAGTTATTCCATCTGAAGCACTAGAATTTGATTTTATTTCATGTATAATTTTAACAACGGTGTCAGTAGTCACTTTATTAAATTGGAATTTGGATTTTGAGTTATTTTTATTAGCTCGGTAATATGCAATTTTATCAGCACAACCCAAATCACTATTCTCGAAAATTGAAATGAATGCCTCATTATTTTATACGGATCTGATAAGCTCACGGGAATTGTAGAATCTTTCTAAGATTGCACTTTGAAAGTCTTTAGGGTTTTCTATAACTTTTTTATATCCTGATTTTGAACAGCTTGATAATAATCTCTTTTTTCTCTCCGCACGAGCGTTAATGCACGATTCCTGAAATATATATGCTGTTGCCGAGAGGTGGCTGTACGATCGTGTTTGAACTTCGACAAAGCTTCAGCTCTCTTCTTGAATACAAGTTTAATATTATCATCCAACCAAGGAGCTGGAGCTTTGTTTAAACGCACTACCTTTTTTGGACAGTGAACATTAAATAAACATAAAATGCTATCTGTTAAGAAGTTAATTTTCTCTTCAATGTTATCTATCGATATAATATGCCACCATGGAGAACTCTTGAGAGTTGTTCAAACGCTATTTCATTTAAACAATGGAAGTCCCTGAATGTCACAAATTTCTGTTGATTTTTAGGAAGTGCAATACGTATATTACAAAAGGTTAAATAGTGATCAGTGATCATATCAGCATTAATAGTTTCACTCCTAAGACAACTTTCATGCTTGCTCAAATAATTAGGATCTAAGAGAGTGAGTGTCGATTCAGTTATCCTAGTCGGTTCAGATGTCACCTATTTCAGATTATAAGAATCAAGGCAGACAAGTTGTTACAAACTAAAAGCAAATTAACATTAATAGTGGGCAACAGATCCAGGTAACTCTAGACATTTTCATTTTTTTTCTAGCAATACCAGTATCAATTAACAATCGTACATGAATAAATTCTGTACCTATATACCTGTAATGTTGTTTAAAAAAAGACATGTTGACTATTGTTTTTGATATTTTATTCAATTCTTTGTATTCAACTAGGAGGTAGATGTGTATACAATAAATAATAAAATTAGGGGACACTATAAATATTTTCTTCTATAGGTACACACTTAATATGGAACGTCGTTTAATGCATAAATATAAATTATTTATATTATATATGTATATGATACAACAACAATCGTCATAATACTCCAATATAAGTCTAAAAATGGTATCACACAACCGTCTTCTGTAAAAATAAATTAATGAGAAGTACAAAACGCGGCACATACATGTATATACGTACATTTATTTACAACAGTTCAACTAGAATAAATATACTATTTGTAATATACAGTGGACGTATCAGTCGAAACGGTGTCCAAACGTCACTAGATACACATATCTGTTATACCCCAAGTATCACAAAAAATGTCCAGCATGTGTTAGCGAATATACAGGGCGTTCATTTGAAAACTTTCTTCCACGAATTTATCGAAAACCACTGACTTATTCAAATAGAAAGTGATTTTTAGACCTTTTAAACAAGCTATTACTTGATATCCCTTGTCACTTAAAGTTTTTTAGGGGATGACCCTGGGGGGCAGAGGGTGACAAAACTTTGGACATGTCTCGACGTTTTTTCTTTTAATCAGTGGTTTTTGATAAATCTGTGGTTTTGAAATGACCACCTTCAATAAATTAATTTTCACTATCCCTTAGCAACAAGTAACTGAACATGTATAACAATACAGTTTCTCTAAGGATATCTGTGTTGATGAAACGAATGCGGCAAAAAATTCGAGTTGCTATTTGATTGTCGTCAAGTCTAATGCTCCGAATTGCTGTTTATGTTGGTAATTTCTAGTTAAATTACAAACGAAAGGCTAACGGGCTACATTTTGAACACTTATTGAGATCAAAAGTGATATTTTTGTATGCTTTTGTGTTCTATCTGAATAAATTAAGATAAGTAATGATTTTTCTAATTTTCTCGACAGATTTTAGAAGATCAAACGTTAAAATAATGGACTTTAAAACAAGCTGTTAGTCGGTACCCCTTGTCATTTAAAATTTTTAATGGGAATGACCCTGAAGGGTCGAGGGTGAGAGGGGGTGAAGTAGTTTTTGCTTAAAAGGTTTTCCCCTTTGAGAAATCTTTTGACGTGTCTTGGATTTTTTCTGTTAATAAGTCGTTAAATCGGTGGTGGGAAGTTTTCAAATGAACACCCTGTATATTTAAATGTATATACAGGGTGTCCCAGAAGTCGACGTCAAGCCGAAACCGGGTGATAGGCAAAGTCATAACAGCTATCAGAAAAATATTTACAAAAATTTTATGTATGTGTTTTGAAAATTATAGGTCTTTGAAAAAGAAATAGAAATTTCACACCCTACGGCAGTCTGTCAACTCCTGTTACTACAAATATTAACTTTTTCTGGATTTTATTTTTACAATGTAATTATGAATAACGCATCTTCAAACTGGTGTCTCAACCTTACTGCCAACTTTTCTCGTTCAGGAAAAATTGCCACTTATTTCCCAACCAAGTATTCCAAAGTAAAACTTTGCTCAACTTTAACTGGCTGTACTGGGAAAAAATGTACTACGAGAGTTTGGCAAGTAACCTTAGAAGTTGGCGCATTTAATAACGAGTCCAAAATGGTATAACACTTAGAAGATTACTCGTTAACTTATGCACAATTTTTATCTGAAGAAAAACTGATGAAAATTTTTCAAAATTTCCTGATTAAACAGCGATTATGAAAACGCACAAGGACCCTTAAGGATAACTGTTTGCACAACAGCGGGCGTCAAAATGCTCAAACTGTTTTCCTTCAGCCGCAATACACGCTCGACATCTTCTTAAAAAAGATCGGGTTATTAAACGAGCGAATCCACGGTTATTAACAAACTCAGCTGCTTCCAACAGTCTTTGCCGTAGCTCAGCTACATTTTGAATCGGCTTGAAATACACTTTTTCTGTCACAGTTCCCCAGTAAAAAAATCTAAAGGATTCAAATCAGGTGATCGGGCTGGCCACGGTATTGTACCAGACCGCCTTATCCATCTGCCTGGAAAGTTTTGATCGAGGTACTCTCTCACTGAGAGTGGATAGTGCGCTGGGCAGCCATCATGCTGAAACCACATGTCCCTGTAAATACTCAGTGGCACGTCCACCAATAAATTTTGTACATGATTTTTCAAAAAATCCAAATAAACTTCAGCAGTCAAAGTCTCTGGGAACTCAAACGGACCGATTATTTTACCATTTAAAATTCCTGTCCAATAGTTTATCTTGAAGCGATATTGAGATTTATCTTCTCTCATCAAATGTGGGTTTGCTACGTGCCACTCGTGTAAGTTATGCAGGTTCATGTACCCATCTTTCTTAAATGTGGTCTCAACCGACCATAACATTTTTTCAAAGAACTGTGGATCTTTCCTGTGTCTTTCTAACATTGTGCGACAAAAACAACTCGGGGCTCATAATCCCGGGGCAGGAGAGGTTGAACACGCTATATGTGGTATGGATGATTTGAATCCGTTAGATTTTTTTTACTGGGGACCTGTAAAAGAAAAAGTGTATTTCAAGCCGATTCAAAATGTAGCTGAGCTACGGCAAAGACTATTGGAAGCAGCTGAGTTTGTTAATAACCGTGGATTCGCTCGTTTAATAACTCTTTTTTAAGAAGATGTCGATCGTGTATTGCGGCTGAAGGAAAACAGTTTGAGCATTTGCTGTAAAGGTAGATCATCATCAGCAGCATTTTGACGCCCACTGTTGTGCAAACAGTTATCCTTAAGGGTCCTTGTGCGTTTTCATAATCGCTGTTTAATTAGCAAATTTTCAAAAATTTTCATCAGTTTTTCCTCAAGTAAAAATTGTGCATAAGTTAACGAGTAATCTTCTAAGTGTTATACCATTTTGGAATCCTTATTAAATGCGCCAACTTTTAAGGTTACTTGCCAAACTCTCGTAGTAAATTTTTTCCAGTACAGCCAGTTAAAGTTGAGCAAAGTTTTACTTTGGAATACTTGGTTGGGAAATAAGTGGCAATTTTTCCTGAACGAGAAAAGTTGGCAGTAAGGTTGAGACACCAGTTTGAAGATGCATTATTCATCATTGCATTGTAAAAATAAAATCCAAAAAAAGTTAATATTTGTAGTAACAGGAGTTGACAGACTGCCGTAGGGTGTGAAATTTCTATATCTTTTTCAAAGACCTATAATGTTCAAAACACATACATAAATTTTTTTCAAATAGTTTTCTGATAGCTGTTATGACTTTGCCTATCACCCGGTTTCGGCTTGACGTCGACTTCTGGGACACCCTGTATATATGTTATAGGTAAAATCCAACATCCGATCCTAGATTGCCGAGTGCAAATTTTAACTCAAGTAATTTTGGGCTTTTATAACGGGTTATCGCTAGTGCCATAAAATAGTAAATTACAGATTGTGAAGAAAATTCGGTGGATCAAAAAAGCAATAACAGAACCTATAGCACCATTGTATGTTGAGTTAAATAAAAATACTCTGAATTTGACAATTAGATTTTGTCTACAGCATATACATAAAAATTGTCGGATGCAATTTGATAGCAATTTTTCGTTGTATACTAGCTATCTTCATCTCTACTACCCAAGTGTCAATGTATGCCTCTACCCAATTCTCTAAACTTTCAAAGATTCTACAACGCTTGGACGAAAAAATGTATATTCCGTTAACTATGCGGTGGATGACACAAGTCTGAAATCACACATCAATATGCAGTAAGCAGTATGTTATATACTACATCGTAATAATATAATCTCTTCCAATAATAAATGTTTCATCTTTTCATGTCATCCACTGCTTAACTTGATCCAGTTGCCACCTCACCGTAGCTCACAAATTGGAAACTGTGTTCAATAGCCATCGATCAAGAAAATGAACACACACGTTCTTGGAGTACCACTAAGCTTCAATTCATAAGGAAGCTAATTCTTTATCATGGGATTGCTTTTATCGGCTATTGTGTCCAAAGTTCGTACTTTTACTGAAACAATTGTTAGTAGTTCGGAATTCTTTTATTACATTATCAAAAGTATAACTAATTAGTTCATCAGACAACTGTTCAAGTATTCACTCGCTCAATATTAGAATTAACCAGTAGGTAACACCTGGATCATTGTTTAATGACTATGGATCATATTGCTCTTATGTAACCGCCCGTGTTTATCCTACACGTCGGTTTCCAGTAATGACTATCTATGCGGTTTGGTTTCGTTGCTTTTTCTTCTCTCCTTCTTTGATGCTTTTTCCACTTCGTTCTCCTCTTCAGCTCTCCGCGCCAAGTCGGATAAGGGATGCAGCGTTACGACACTCTGCCTCCTTAAAAAACAAAGAAATCTAGCAGTAGTAGTAATGCTACGAATGACCCGTCTTTGGACGGTAACATACAGGGTTTGTCTGGAAACTAACAGGACTCATTTTCTTCCGCTATGACTGTACTTCGGAGCGTAAAGGCAAGCATTTTAAGACGACAGAGGGGATCCAAGCAGCATGCACCTCGGCTCTCTCGGTTATTCCGGAGAATGCCTTCCGTGACGCCTTCAATGATTGGAAATCGCGCTGGCAGCGCTGTATCGACGCAGAAGGAGCCTATTTTGAAAGTTTTTAAAGAATTGTAACGATTGGCTCAATAAATTTTCTTAAATCGACTCAGTCCTATTACTTTCCGGACAAACCCTGTACAGGTCATGAATTGAGGTAAAGGTAGAACAGAGGTAGCTATAGTTTCAGTTTCCAAGACTGGGTTAAATTTTTTTTTCGGAACTGCTTTGAATTATGCAAAGTTAGTGAACACGCAGGAAAGCATAAGACGATTTATAAAGATTATAAGGAAAATGTGAGGGAGAAATCTGAGTTTTTTTAAATAAATATTATACATAAGACTTAGATCATGTTTATAGAAAGACATGTTTAATGACATTTTTACAGACTGATCTCGTTAGCGATGTAACCAAATGGGGAGACCTTCCGCACCATATACATACACGAAACATATGCTCCAGAGAAAATTTCGTGAGCCAGGAAAGTTTGGAGGAGTTATTTCAAAAGAGTATGGATGTTATTTCAACTTACCTAGGTGGTACGATGGGCACTATTGCAGGTATGGGTGCCGGATGGAGGATGGCGTACAAAGGTCCCTCCAGCTCTTTGGTGGGGCTGACCAGAATTGAGGAGGGCTGCTCCTCATCTAGCTGCATGCTGTTTTCCGCAGCCGAAGGGATTGTGGTCAGGAAGCGAACTGTCAGGCGACCCGGAGAACCTAAATACGGAATCAACTAGAATAACTCGACAATCAGTCAATATCCGATATTCTGGTACCTAGGAGGTTCAACTGTAATGCGTGAGCCAGGAAACGTTGTATCCATATTTCTTACTTCTCAAAAATTATGGATTGTATGGAGAACTGCATGAGAGACGCACAAATTAGGAAAGTGGTATATCAAAGGAAACAGCCAACACTCTGGTTTTCACAAATATTTGTAGACTCTAAATTGATGCGTGATAATGACTATAAACAGTTTATGATCACTCAAACTGAGGAAGATTTGATACAATATAAGAAATCAAGAAACAAGTGTTTAACAAATCTTAGGAACGAAAAGAAAAAATATTATGAAAGCAAAATCGATAGCAATAAAAAATAGCAGTAAACTGATGTGGAAGACACTAAAAAATGTTGTATCTTCAAGTAGGTAGATTGAATTATCATTTTATAGAAAGTATAAATGAGATAGTGGAATCAATCAAAGATGGGGATAAAAATCTATGTCAATCTATATGAGACAATTCCACACAATAAATATCAGCCATCTTTCGAAAGCTATTACAAGATTGAAATCGAATAGAAATCCTAGTGAACATCTTTCAAAAATGGTTATGAAGGAATGCTTCAACATTATTCGAGATGAGTTATTACTGTTAGTGAGTCACTGGTTAGTGTATGGCGAATTTCCTTCAAAATCAAAATATTCTACAATTACTTCTGTTCCAAAAGCGCAAAAATCTAAGTTATATACAAGCATGCAGCCAATTAATGTACTGCCAGATGTCGAGAAGCTCTTAGAAGGAATCATATATGAACAAGTCATTGAATATATTGAAGAAAATAAGATATTGACAAAATTTCAAGCAGGATTCAGTAAAAAAGTATTCTACTGAAACAGCAATTGAAATGATGGTAGAAGAATGGAGGCGAAATTTGGATGAAAAAAAGTTTACAGTATCATTGTTCTTAGATTTCAAGAGAGCATTTGAGACTATCGGCAGGGAGAAATTGTTAACGAAATTGCATTGCTATGGATTTCACGGTTCAGTATTCATCTTATTATAAAATTATTTAATCATTAGAAGTTAGAGAACTAAAATTGGCAATACATTATCAAACATTAAAAACATTTCGGTAGGTGTGCCACAGGGTAGAAAATTTGGTCCATTACTATTTATTTTATATATTAACGATATTCCTGATATTTTTAATATATGCTCGTATATATACAATATATATCAAATAAAGACATTGAAACTGCAATAGAGCTGTTAAATAATGATATGAAAAACGTAATAAATTGGTTAAATGTAAATAAACTTAAACTAAACACAAAAAACAAAATATATGCTAATAGGAAAATTTTTAAATCAAAATACGATATATCTTTCAATTATTCATAGAAAAATTGTGTCAATCGAATCATTTAAATATTTGGGCACATACGTAGACAGTAAATTAAAATTTGAAGGGCATTATGAATATATTATTTCGAAAATATCCAAGAAAATAAATTACTTTTATAGAAGTTCGCACAGCCTAAGCGTTTATTCTAAAAAATTTAATACAACACTATCATGCTTCCTCATATGTTATATTGTTCGACTATTTTGTTCATTGCAAATGAAACTGTATTTTCAAAATTACAAATATTACAAATAAAGCTATGAGAATCATCTTAAATAAAAATGAATATACTAGAATACATTTTATGCTGAAAGAACTAAAATACTTAAATATCAAAAATTTCATAGCCTTCTTGGTTTTCATTTTCATATTCAAGTTAAAAAATCATCTTCTACCAAATCACTTAAAAATTTCATTGTATTGAACAAGGAGTGCCTAATAGGAAAATTTTTAAATCAAAATACGATATATCTTTCAATTATTCATGGAAAAATTGTGTCAATCGAATCATTTAAATATTTGGGCACATACGTAGACAGTAAATTAAAATTTGAAGGGCATTATGAATATATTATTTCGAAAATATCCAAGAAAATAAATTACTTTTATAGAATTTCGCACAGCCTAAGCGTTTATTCTAAAAAATTTAATACAACACTATCATGCTTCCTCATATGTTATATTGTTCGACTATTTTGTTCATTGCAAATGAAACTGTATTTTCAAAATTACAAATATTACAAATAAAGCTATGAGAATCATCTTAAATAAAAATGAATATACTAGAATAAATTTTATGCTGAAAGAACTAAAATACTTAAATATCAAAAATTTCATAGCCTTCTGGGTTTTCATTTTCATATTCAAGTTAAAAAATCATCTTCTACCAAATCACTTAGAAATTTCATTGTATTGAACAATGAGTGCCACAGTTATTCTATTAGAGGAAGTATAGACTTTCATTTACACAACTGCAGTAGCAATATAACGAGCAATAAATTAAGTAATGATATCAAGATGTGTGTCAGTTTGAAAATGTTCAAAGAGAAATTGAAAAAATATTTTGTATAAAAATATGTAGTTTTGAAGACATAATATATTGTGTGATATACTGTGTAATATGGATATTATCGACATCGAGCCCTGTTTCAAAGCAGGTTAGATTTGATATTCGCAGAAGGCAAGAAGTTGTATTCAGTCCAAGACAAAGAGTTTCATTCATCTAAATACGAATTTCAGATTGCGCCAAGGTCACACGTGCTATACAAATATTGTAAATCAAATTTAACTGCGCTTATACTAGAAACAATTCCTAGCTAGTATAAGCAACCACACAACAATATTTGGTTGCAAGCCTTGAAGTGCAGGAATTACGATCTCTCAATTTTGAGTCGGAGCGAAACAATATAAATAATACACCGTAAAGCTTCTAGGAACCATCATCAATATACAAAGGTTTATTACCCTTAAGTAATAATAATAATAATAATAATATTTATTTACTCTAAAATACAGGGAACATGAAACGAGTAAATAAATATAATATATCCATAGAAGGACAACGCCTGTGCATGGATCATATGTATGTTGAATTGCAAAATATAATAAAATAGAGAGAAAAAAGAAATTATTGGTAAGAATGGTAGAGCATTTATTGTGTAATATTTGAGATTATTTTATTAATTTGATTTCTCCCAATCGTGTTAATAATTTTTTTTAATTTCTTTTTGAAGCCTAATGTATTGCGTAATTGTTTTAAATTATTTGGTAAATGTTCGTGCAATTTTGGAGCTATATACAGGTGACATCGTTTCATTAGGGATTTGTTTGGTTTAGGAACATTTTTTTCGCGTAATTTATATCTGGTTTTATGATTATGTTTAATTATGTCGTGTTCACTAGTAGTTTTGTGATAATGAGTGATGGTATGTAAGAAGTAAAGTTGTTTAGTATCATATACTTGTGCATCATTATATAAGTCATTAGTTGGGTATAATTTTGATTTGCCTAACATTGATTTTAAAATTCTTCTTTGAAGTACATCTAAATCGTTAAAGTATGTCGTGCATGCAGCACCCCACACTACTATACCATATGTTATGTGTGGCTCGACTAAAGCTTGATATATTATTCGTAGATAATATTCAGTTAATATACCGGTTAGAAATTTTATTTTATATGCTATGAATCTAATTTTCTTTAGTATGTGAGAAATATGTACATCCCATCTCAAGTGGGGATCTAGATAAATTCCTAAATATTTTGTATCATTAACTCTATTGATTTTTATATTTTTATCATTTACCTTAAACCGAAGATGGTTATATTTTGGTAGATGATTAGATAGTGATGAAAATGGTAAAAAATGAGTTTTAGTAAAGTTAATTGTTAATTTTCGGTTATTAAACCACTGAATAATTTTTTAAAGTATCATAGACTTTTATTTACACCTACTAGAATTGTGCAACAAAAGATTTTGCGGACTATAAAGAGACAGATTTGATGGTACATAAATCAGACTGATTTCGATTCCTAACAGTGAGTTTGTGTCGAGTAGATAAACTCTGCATCCTAGGTATTTATATTTCGATAATTTTGCTCCCAGTGTGACATGTCTCAAAGACTTATTTTAATAGTTGTCCCTCTACTCTTTATCTACGAGTATTTTAATTTTAGCGATTCTTGAACTAATGTTCTAGTTCTCTGAGAACTTATGGACATAATTGTTTTCCTAATTGTTGTGTGTATAAGTGTGTGGCTCTCCTAAAGCTTAGCGTTATAATTGTTCCATCAGCAGTCCATGAATTCAGTATATGCTTGGAAAACCCCACGGTTCAATTTCTGCCAAGAAGTGCTTACTACTTTTTATGAGACTACTTGTTTGATTGCTCTCTCTCTCTCTGCATCTACGCGTCAATACGGATTTATCTGATCTTGGGACGTAGTCCTTTAGTATGTAATATGAACGATAAAAAAGTTAGGTTGTGTTTGGCTATGAGACATAGAAGTGGGGAATGCGTATCGCTTGTTGGGATGGAAAACAATGACAATGAAAATCCAATGAAGTCAGAAAACGCAGATCCTCTATTTAAGATTATTCCAGTTCTTCAACTGTCACATAACTTTTCGGGCTCATCGTTGGGCTAGAGTGAATCATACCTGGTGGGCCGTTTTCGTCTTGGACAGCGCATTGTCTGGTAAGTCTGGGCTTGACAGGCCCCACTGTTACGGCTGCCCCAGCTACACTAACGGCTGCCCCTTTGCCCACCACACCTGACACGCCGCCTCTAGGCTCGTTGCTGCCCCCACTGCTCCTAGATATCCGCCACGTGCTCGTGCTCGCTGTCGTCGCTGAGCCTGACGAGTCGTTACGAGAACTGAAACAAGCAAGGCTGCAATATTTCCGGACTCAGACAAAACAAAAACGATAACTGATATATACTAAGTGACATATAAATCCGAACACCCAGTTTAAATGGTTTTATTTTAATAAAATTTTGTATAAGTACTTAATGAAGCATAATAAGTAAATGATAAAAATTTCAAAATGATTGCACTGCTTTAAAGCCCTTTGACCTTTAATAATGTGTGGATGCACCCTGATGTGCTACGCATTCTCTAACGCGCCTAGGCATACTTCTAATCAGGTGGTCAATGTCCTCCTGTGGTATCTCATTCCAGGCAACCACCAACTCCTCTCGAAGTGCTTCTAGAGTCTGAGGAGGACGTTGCAAATTGAGCAATCTTCTACCCATCATATCCCACACGTGCTCAATTGGGGATAAGTCGGGAGATCTTGGTGGCCATGGTAACAATGTGACATCATTATGTTGAAAGAAGTCTATTGTGACTCTTGCAACATGTGGTCGGGCATTATCTTGTTGGAAAGTTGGATCTGCCAGGGTGTCAAGATAGGGTAAAAGATGGGGTTCTAGAACTTCGTGGATATAACGCTGCGCGTTCATGTTACCTCTGATGAAGATTAAAGGTGACCTGGAACCATAAGCTATAGCACCCCAAACCATAACTCCAACAGTATGATGAACATGTCTTTCAACAGAAAACTCTGGATTCCTCCTTTCACCACGTCGCCTTCTAACCCTGCCACGACCATCGTGCATGCCTAAACAAAATCGAGACTCATCACCAAAGACAATACTGTTCCATTCCTGATCCCAGAGTGACCGTTGTCTGCACCACTCAAGGCGATTACGTCGGTGTTCTCGAGTTAAAGGGAGGACCCAGTGTGGCCGGTATGAAAACAAGCCAAAACTTCTCATTCGTCGGTAAACACTTCGCATGCCGATAGGTCTTCCCTATTCTGCAAACCATTCATTTGCAATGGACCTGGTAGTGGAGAAACGGTCCCTTAAGGCCAATAATCTTAGGCGGCGATCTTCACGGTCTGTTGTTCTACGGCGGCGTCCAGTGCCCCTTGCTCTTTGCGTACGGCCTTCTCGAAGCCATGCCTGACAACACCTAACCACAGTGTCTACACTTTTTTGCACTCTAACTGCAATTGCCCGAAAAGAAAGTCCAGCTTCCCGAAGTCCCACTATACGGCCCCTATCAAACTCACTAAGATGACGAAATCGTACAGGTCTCCGTACTCTAGGCATCGTAACCGATCGTAAAGGATGTCAAGAACCAAAATCCGCCAACGTTGATTCTTTACTGCGGCTGAAATATTCATTTTTAGAGCGTTAGTGAATTAAAAAAAAGCAGTATAAAAACCGGAATGTCCAACTGATAAGGCTGAAAATTTTTTCACTTATTATTTACAGTAAGATAAATACATTCACCAACTTTTATTAAAATAAAACCATTTAAACTGGGTGTTCGAATTTATATGTCACTTAGTATATTTTTCATGTAAACTAGTAGAAGTCATTATTATATGTTTAAAAGTTTGAAAGCTTATGCAGCTGTTTTCAAATGGTATGACGCCAGAACACAAAATATAGTATTAATTTTTTGGTTGAAAAAAACAAGTGCCAGCTATTTGAGACCTACTCAAAAAAGTGTCAACTAGCTTATTCCAAAACACTTAGCGAGTTGGTTTTCAATGAGCTGTTTGAAACATGTGCTCCTGTAGATTTGAATATTGTTTATAATTTTAAAGTCTCCCAACAATTAACCACCTACTATAATGTAATGCATGTATGTTGCGGTAATATTTTGCCGCAAGATGGTCACGGAGTATCACGCAACATGTTGGAAGGGGTGTTGAGGGGTATCAACTGATACCACTCCGCAAGTGTTGGAGCCTTTTGACACTTTTATTAAATTCCTAATGTCCTGTTGTTTGTGCATTTGCACATTGGGTGACTTGTCACTCGGTCTTGGAGTAGCACTCACCCCATTAATGGTAGAGAAATAATTTACAATATCCCTTGACACTGTTTGTATTAGAGATGGTTCTGTTGCCCAATACGCTTTACAGTTTGTTTTCTTCAATATCACTAAACATTTTATCGCCATCTATTTAACTTTGTTTAATGCTACGAGTATTTTTACTCGCTCGGGCTCACATTCTGCAATGAACTGGACAGTGAAATGGCAACTTAACGTCACACCAAAAACCATCCATACTCCAAACTCCATACGACCTTATTACCTTGTAGATCGATATTAGTTTAGAGTCGCTGTAGTTGAAAGTCTTTGTACAAGGATCCGTACTGGGTGTTCCTTTAAAACGGTTTAATTATTACCCAGTTTATGAAATCGGAATCGAAACCATCGAATTGTAATCGTTCATGATTATAATACTATCCTCTCACCTAGAAAGATTGGAATCCTGCGACGTCTTTCGAGTGACAAGCCACGATGAGGCCCGTCGTTTTGGATCTAGAAGACGTAAGGGAATGCCACAATGGTGATGATTGTGATGCCTCCATGAATCCGACCTAGACAAAAAGAAGAACTGTCAAGAGAAACGTTTTGATGTTGTGCTGTAGAGTTAGCTTCTAGCCGGCTACCATGCGGTTTCAAAGACGCGCCAGTGTTATCATTACTAGCAGACGTGGAAGATGTGGTGCATTTTTCATAGATCTACTCGTACATTCAGCTATTTCCATTTTTGTCAACGTGGCTGTTCATGAAAGAAGTTGCTCTAAGGAAAAAGCTTCTCACTCTCAAGAAAACCGATCACCATAAGCAATAATGTCCCCGAATTTACGAAAAATGTAAATAATATAAAGTCAGATCAATAACAGAATCAGAAAAAAATATTCACCTGGAGGAACTAAAGTTTTCGCTACTGGACACCGAGCTGGCCCTCTTGTGTTGCTTCTGCTGTATCTCAGCAATTTGATAGGTATACTGATCCGTCCTAGGCCTGTGCCTCACGGGTCTTCTGACGCACAAAAGCCACCTAGCTTTGCTCAACAGCCACTCTCTCGTCGTTGTTGTCTTTTTATCTGACTTTGTTTTCTTTTGTTGCTGTTGAGTTTGGTCATTGTCACTGAGCAGCTTTACATTACATGTACATTGTGGAAGGTGTTGTTGGTCTTGCTTTTCTCTCGAAGATCTGAAAGATTTTGAAACAAAATTGTTGATTTCCGAGCTAGTCACACGTTTTTGGTGAATGTTGCTATCATCAAGATCCAAGCCTGAATAGACTTCAAGAGGACCATCATCGCACTGGGACCCTGAATTGTAACAGTCTTGTTGCTCATCCTCATCTGTGTCAATGTTAGAAAAAATATAGCGTCAGTACTCACCTATCTGCTAAGCTATTAGTATTTGCTGGAGTCTGTCTGTTACTGAAGTTTGAGCTATGTCTACACCTTCCTATGCCTCTCGTTACTCTGCTCTCCTCTATCGCTTTACAGATCATTACGCAATCTTTTTTGAACTGCTTTGTGAGAATGGCGTAAAGGAATGGATTGCAGCATGAATTTAGGGGTAGGACAAATACTGTAAAAACCTACAAAAGAAAATGGTCAAAGTTATTAAACAGACCGTTGAAATTAGATAGTAGCCAAGAATTTATCACGCCAGCAACAAGATTCTCCAGAGACTTCAGTAGCACTATTTGTAAGCATTTCAAAAATACAAAATATACATTTATCTCCACAATTCCAGGCTTCAGTTTATAATCACCACGAATCGAAACGGTAAAATGAATATGCACTGAGTAGCTATTACAAGTCATCGACCTCACTATACACTATAATGGTGTTTCTTAAAGTTGTGTGCGTGTGTGAGGTATTTGGACTCAATACATTGTGGAAAACTGCTGGCGTCAACTTATTTAAGATGAGATTCAACGTAAGCTTTGATTTATTTTATGCCAAACCGATTGTCAAATCTTATTTTCACCTCAAAGTTGTCTGAAGCTGTTATAAAGCGGTATCCTTTGATGTCTGCTGCTGCTGTTGTTGGTACCAATACTACTGGTCCTACTGGTTCTGCAGAATTACCAGTGGGACCAGCAGCACCAGCAGCATGGCCAGCTGCAAACATCAAAGTATACCGTTTTTTTCCGAAAAACTTTTGCGGCTGATGCGTTCCTATAACCACTGTCTTACCTTAGCTTGCTCTAGTGTAATGAGTTGGAGTCCAAACGCAGCCGTTAGGGCAAAAAATGCGATCGGAGACCAACAGAGAAAGTCTGTAAAAACCAGCAGTGCCATGCGCTTGGCTATTCGGCTATCATTTGAGTTCCAGGCTTGAGACCCTCTGATGGCGCAGTACATCTTCAGGTAGCAGCCCATGAGGATCAGGAATGCTAAGCCGTTCACGAACATCAGGAAAACGACGTAAGTGAGGCTTGCTGGGTCGCTGATTTCGAACGGTAAGCACACAGCGAACTTTCTAAAACAGATAAGTTTATAATCATTAAGAAACGAGTGTCTTGTAGGTGGTGGAATGTAAATAATTCATTTTTTAATTTATCGTTGCCGGGCGAACATTAAACGACTGATTTTTTTGACAAAGATACGACTGACCTAAAGTTTTCTCCGAGAATATTCAAAGCAGTTTTTTCATATAGTGAATATATACTGAAGTACAAGCTAGGTGGGTTTGTATGGGAGGGATGATGCGTAACAGCATCATAGAAGAAAGTTCAGAATAATAGAAGTCCGCTGGCATCTCAGTAGAAGAGAGTCAGAACACCAATCGCATGTCCATGTAAGGCAACTATCGGAAGAGGTGACTTGCCCTCTAGAAACAAATTCAATGAGACACCTCGTAATATCAAAACCAGCACAAAGATCAAACTGGACTGAGTCTCAGCCAATTCTTCTTAGCTGGTATATCTCTTCGTACCGCCGTGTCATCAAGCGCATTCCACTAGTTCAGTTTTTAGCTCTAATGCTGTCTTTGTTTCACCTTTTTATGACACGCTTCCTACCAGCGATTTCGCAAGAATCGGTTTATGTTTCAAATGATGCTTGTGCTCCAAATCGATAACCTCATCTTATGCGGGTAAGTTTGACTTATAATTTCCCAGATCAGACAATATTGTAAAGAGAAAGGATGGGCGATCCTTACCAGGTAGTCATTGGCCCAAGTTTGCAGGCTTTTCATTCTGCTTTGAGCCAGAATGTGCTTATAGCTAGTCAGCCTCTTTACTCTATAGATAAGTCCTCACTATTGGTTTACAAGTAAACAATCACATTAATTGGTGACAACGCATGAAGTCTCAAGTTACTACCTCATCGGTAAGCGGTTGGTGGAATTCAACCAAAATACCGAAGCCCTCTTCGATGACGCCGACACTTTTTTAATCAGGCTTTTGTTTATATTGTTCTTGGATTTCAAGAGAGCATTTGAGACTATTGACAGGGAGAAATTGTTAACGAAATTGCATTGCTATGGATTTCAAGGTTTTCAGTATTCAACTTATTACAAAATTATTTAATCAATAGAAGTCAAAGAACTGAAACTCAAACATTAAAAACATTTCGGTAGGTGTGCCACAGGGTAGCAAATTAACTCCATTACTATTTATTTTATATGCTAACGATATTCCTGATATTTTACAATATTGCAAAATTCAACTATTTGCTGATGATACATTTATATATATCAAAATGTTTAGTTATTTGTTGCTAAGAGAAAGAAAGAACATAGTAATTAAAACTGCCGACAGGTTTAGCGCTTGACGTCCAGGGAAGATAACTTCGCATAGGTATGTTTTGGACTAAATTTACTAAAACTCGATCTGTTGAAAATAAAAACCTGATCATCGGGGAGTTTTGGAAGGAATCCTAATACTCCATTACGCAAAGTACTTCAATAGGCGCTGTACACACGGTTACTAAACTCCATAGATTTCATCCATTTAAAATGAAAATATTGCAAGGATTAACCGAAGATGATTTCGATAGACGAGATGAATTTTCTGAACAAATGAGATGACGTCATTTAAAATTTTTGAGGGGATGACCCTGGGGGGCAGAGGGTGGTAGGGGATGAAGAAGTTTTTGGTTAAAAACTTGTCCCCCTTAATAAATCTTTTGACATGTTACGACGTTTTTCCATTTAAATCACTGGTTTTCGATAAATGCGTGGTGGGAAGTTTTCATATGTACACCCTGCATGTCTTAATTATGTCTTGGCAATATTGTATGCAATCTGTAGATACATACCTGGTAGTAATCATTATAAAGGGTATATCGGGTAATAATGACTGACTAAATAAATTCTATTCATCGGGGCAGCTTCCATTACTACATTACATCAAGAAGTATTACAATATCCCAGAATCTTTAACAATCCAATAACATAAAGCTTTTCCGTATCTACTCAAAACTGAGAAGCTCTCCTTTGTAGCTTTGTAGCAGCCACAGTATTTTGGTTCCGTATTTTGTTTTGATTGTTGTTCGAGCTCAAATATCAAAGCTAGGTAGGATTCTTCTACCGTAATTGCCTTGGCACTATACCTTATGTCTGATAATACCCACAAATAGAAATAAAAAAAGAAAGCGTTAAAGATATTTAATAAACATTATAATCAACGATCAGAACCTTCCCTTTACCTGTAATCAGAAATATTAAAAATAGGCATCAATGCCATCACAATGGCGAAACTCCATCCGCAGATCATAATGTAGCCCGCATGCTTCAACGACAGTCTTTTGTTCAGATGCATGGCATGCGTGATGGCGTAATTTCGTTCCAGCGTAATGACAGCCAGCGTCCAAACTGACAGTTCGGAACTGAGCACGCCCAGGAAACCTGACAGCTGACAGCCTGCTGACATCTGCCATGGGATGGCGTACATGCGGAACTCGCCTAGAGTCGACGCGTCCACAACTGCAAGGAAACCTGAAATCCGAGAAAGTATAAATAGACAATCATAGATATAACGAAATTTTAAACATAGCGAAAATCTTCAGAAAGAGGTCCCACAACATACATAATGTGGAGGTTGCGATGCTTTTATTTTTGTATATTGAAATATCAAAACATAATAGTGTATTTGAAGATAATGCTGTTTCAAATTTTCCCCTGACAAAGAACCTGCCATTATGGTTCCGTCACTACTGTTATCTGTCATGACCTAAGGCCGTGTTTAGACAGTAGGTATCCAAGCATTACGATAGAGTCTAGGAACAAATGTAACGAAGCACGATGCAAGAATAAGGCACAGGGCAATGTCACAACGACATGACAGTTGATTGAAGGGAATAATTGTATCCGACTCAAAGGCGGAAGTGCCATGATTTTTGCGGTCAACCTTCAGGCATACGACCGTAAGATTTGTGCCCTTGTTGCTCGACATCAACAAAGCTTCTACTCCAGACTTGATTCCTGCTGTACTATAGAGATATGCAGTTCTTACACGTCTCTTCTTTTAGATACATTACGAATTCGGTACTTTCCCAAAAAACTGGAAGTTTGATATTAGGGTACTCACCTAAATAGATACCCATAAAGAAATCCGCTGCAGCCAAGTTGCAGACCAAGAACCTGGGAACGTCCATTTTGCTTCTGGAGAAGATCAAGACAAAGACGACGGTCCCATTTCCAAGCATCGCACAGAGAAAGACGATCCATACTCCACAACGTAGAGTCCACCAATCAAAAAGGTCCTGGCAGGGTAAAAAAGGGCCTGGTAGAGGCAAGCACTGGATCTTACCTGGATAAGAATTATTCTATATTACAATAACTATAACAAAAATCTTATATATTTCTTTGAAGCTCCAACAGCAAGGTAGTAAGTAAAAAGTATTGAATGTTCTTTTGTACCTAAAATCGTTGATACGACTGATAGTATGTATCTTAAACTCAAGATAAGTATACGAAAACAGTCTTCATGTGATGTTCGTTGCTTTACTGCTAAATCTAGAAAGGTTCAGATTTATTCTGGTAGTCATTTCTAGATAATTCACCTAAGGCTATAAGTTATATGATTGTCTTCATCATTCGCTTGAAAAGCTACATTTATTCTTCACTGGCACTCTGACATTGAAAAATACTTATAGGTGTTGGACTGCTGATATTGGTTAAAGAGTCTTATGTGCCATTATAGCATAAAAAATAGACCTGTTGCTGTTCTTGTCTAACCGAAAGCAGTACTTCGGAAACTTTAATACAAAAACAGTTTCTACAAGAATTGTAAGTTATAATAAACTTACCGGTGCTCCCCTCTCCGGGATTTTTGAGGGTGGGATCATCGTCCGCAGTATATTCTTCCACATAAGAGGGGAAATTCCCAGGGTACGAAAAATCCGACCGTATGTTCTCCCATATTTCAGAAAACTTTTTTCCGAACTTCTGGCTGATGTTATCTAAAAAAGTTTAGTTTGTGGGAGCGTGTTTATAAAGTTAGCCACATATGTATCTTAGTATGTGACTCGCCCGGAAAAAACGAAACAGATAATGTAAATCCTAGAATGACGTATAGTATCAAACTGAAAAGGGGGTTCAGAATATATATGGAACAATCAAAACGTATACACGGTGTAAACGTTATGGTAGTCATTATCGAACTAGATAATAGGGGGGGGGGGGACAGAACAAGTAAAAAAGTTCATATGGCCCATGGTCCAGAAGTCAATAGATTTTAGTCTAAACAGCTTTATAGTTTACAACCTTAAGTGCCTTATATCGACCACAATCACCACAATCTTACTAACTTTTATAATCTAATCTAAAACGTTTTTAAATTGGATATTTAACAAATAAATAGCATTATTTTTTTCTAAGTTAAGCCAAAATTTGTAGTCAGTAAGTAAGTTTCATTAAACTTAATATTTAAAACACACATGACAACAGCGCGTTGGTCATCATCACTCTTATCGAACCGGCAATCGATCGCAAACGGTAACAGCCCAACTAACAATTATCACTCCTATTAGAGTTGCAAGAATGATTATACTGTAACAGGTTAAGCGCCACGGCGGACACCGGTGTCCGATTTGTGATCAGCCTCCTGGGCCACGGCGGACACCGGTGTCCGCATGGCTTTCAAATCTTTATCATCTCCTCCTGGCCAGGCGGACACGCTTTTATGCGGTTTGGCGTAGTAACATGTCCGCCATGACCCTGCAACATAAAACGCTGACACCAGGTTTTATGTAGCAATGTTTTCCAGAGAAATCTGGTGACATTCTTATTGTAATATCAAATAAATATTTATATATTTATTTCACTTATTTATTTATCTATGGAGATAAAATAAACATTTAATAAACAAAGTATATTGAACAAAAAAGTTTTGCAAATACATATCTACATTTATTTCGTGAAAATTTTAACGAGTTTTGTGTACTAAATTAAAACATTCCAGATAGAATCTAGGGTTATCTTCGCACTGTGCACAATAAATGATTATTTTTTTAACTTTTTCAATAAGTCCATCTTATTTTTCGTTGTAACAACCCTTGCACTACCGTCTACTTTCCCGTGCCTTACAATCCAGTTTTAGTAATACGTGAGCCCTCAAATTCACTTTTACAGGACATGTACGGTCATAAGTGTAGCCATCTTCGAAAATTCCGAAAATTATTTATGGAAATGTTGCTCTGTTCGATCTCTCTGTAAATAAAATGGGCATTCACAATTGAGGTACCTAATAAAATTTCAATAGCAGCTTACTTTCATAGTCGTTTTTTCTCTCCACAGTTAACTGTAATATCCTCTAAACTAATCAATAACAACCTGTATCGTCAAGTAAAGATAGATCGGCTCCATCGTCGGCCACTCTGGGAAGTATCGTGTCCGCTCGTTCTAAACATTTTCAGAGGGCCATGGCGGACACCGGTGTCCGCTTTATTTTTTTTAAATCTATGCGGAAAAAAAATCAAATATCGAGGATTTGGGGTTAACTAGACGTGAATTTTTAAAATTTGTTAAAATATCGCATACCATAGTCCATAGAATCCTAAGGGAAAATTTGCTTTATCCTTACCAGGTAGAACGAGTGCAGACCTTGTTTTTGTTTTTTTAAAAACATTCTAGCGGCGGACGAATGTACTTTCATGCGAGATGGGATATTAATTTTCCATAAAACTCACACGTGGGCCCAAGAGAATCCTCATACCATTCGTGAAGGTTATTTCCAACATTGTTTTAAAATAAATATTTGGGCGGGTATTCTTGACGATCAGGTAATTTTCGCCTTCGAGTTACCCCCAAAGTTGTTAGGAGAAGGGTACATTAGCTTTCTAGCCAATAACCTGCCAAAACTTTTGGAACAGACCTTAGAGAACATGCCATTACGACGGAGACAGAATTTGTGGTTTCTTCATGATGGGGCACCACCACACATTTTTAAAGGCGTCATTCAGTATTTGAATGAACATTATCCAAATCACTGGATCGGTCGAAATGCTCCTGATAATCGAAAATGGCCAGCAAGATCTCCTGACCTAAATCCGATGGATTTCTGGTATTGGGGAGAACTTAAAGGGATGGTTTATGGGGCTGGTCCAATAAAAACTGAAGCACAGCTTAGCGAAAAAGCTTTAAATGCGGCTGAAATAATAAATGGACAATTTCGAGGACCTAGAGTAAGCAGAAACTGGGTTCGTCGTAATGAAGCTTGTGTGGAAAGTGGAGGACGACATTTTGAACACCTTCTTTAAATACAAGAAAAGTGCAGTATGGGTTTTAAAAAGAAAAACAATGTATGTATCAGAATTGTGTTCCCTACTTCTAAGTGAATTTTTTTAATACGTTAAACAAACTTTCACACACCTGGTGAAGCGCTGAGACAGTTAGTGGTAAGTCCTTTTTTTTAATTGCTTGCATTTTAAGAGTGCATTATCAAATAATGAGATGATACCTTAGAGCCAAAAATAACAAACTCCATCTTTATTTACACTGCGTTCCGTCGTAATTTGCGTCTGGTATTGCGGGGTTGTCAGATTTTATTTTGCTTTAAAGTCGCTTTTCTCTAAAAAAAATCCGTTTTGACCCCCATGTTATATGAAACTTTTTGCTTCTTTTAGCCTCCTCTATTACCGATTTATGACTATCATAACGTTTACACCCTGTATAACTAGAAGCTGGTATCTTTTCGTTTGAAGATTGATTTTGAATGATACAATTTTGCGAGACAATCACTGAAAGGTCTGTAATATGAAAGTGAGTATAGCGAGGACGCTCCACGAAATGAAACAATATTTTTTAATTTTAATCAATCACATATTTAAAAAAAACTATGAAAAAATTTATATAGTACGTTCAACATATCCTTTTAACATGCTGTTTAGTCTGCAAATGTTCAATTTTTTACACTTTTTCTAGCACATATGGATCATAGTTGTAATCGGAGGTTGAATAAATCTCATGAGTATTTATTATATTTTTTGTAATCACTCTTAAGCAGAAGATACTGATGGCAAAATTTGACACATGATTCTCCTTAGGAATCCAGAAGAGCTAGCTCCAAAAGTTAGTATTACGAGTTTATCATATCAGGCTTATTTAATAGTTTTACAATGAATAGCCACAATTTGCAGACCTCAGAACTAATTTGATTACATCCTGTCACTCACACGTGAACTTAGGTAAACACGTCGTCCGTCAGTAGTTTTGCAAAACAAATTTCATAACGCATTCTGTCTTGGTTTTACGATTTCCACTGCAACATGCATGAAACCAGTTTCGTAGTGTAAACCCGGCTTTATGGTAGCGCACCGTTTTGCATATTAGAGGATGTTCAGTTCAATTATTTTCTTTACTTACGTTGCGATGGCCATACGTCCACAGAGCTGTTCCAGAAATTGAGATCGATATCCTCGATGTCCGGAAAGACAATGATGTCCTTTGCCTTCGCTGGCGGCGGGTTTGAAGGAATCAAAGGTAGAAACGCGCAGCAGTGATACGCGTAGGCCAGCACTAAGGTTTGGATGCGAGGGAAGTCTTCTGGAGGAGGAAATTCGCGCAGGTTCGGGTTGTTGAAGGTCTTCAGGTGGAGCAGGCGTTCCAGGCCGGCGGAGGGCAGGTGGGGGAAGACGTTGTTACCTAGGTTGCTGGGAAAGATATAACAAAGATAGTTAATATACCTGGAATACCATTCAATATGAATAGTATTATCTATAACGGTTTCAAAGTTAAAATAAATAGCAGAGAGTAGAGGGAAGACCTCGGAAATCAGATCCATTGTATGGATTTTTGGAATTTTTAACGGGATGCGTTTAAAATAGTGAGTATTAATATATATATATATATATATATATATATATACAAAGAGTAAATTATCATGCGGAGAAAGGTATATAACAAAAATAGGAAAATAATGGGAAAAATCCGCAAAAAGTGGATTTGAGCAGAATAGGATAGGTAACCCGAGCGATACGTATTTCTGCTGGTTGGCTTCATCAGGCCCGAAATGAATGCACATATGCAACTACAAAAGTAGAGACACATGCCCATACATCCGGATACGGGTGTAACCTGAGGAAACAATGATGGAGAGGAAAAAAAAGACACACGAAGTCCACAACAAGAGCCAACCTACACATTGTAGTATCAAATGGCTAGAAGAACTAGAATTTTCAAGGCGACAAATAACCACAACTACGCGGCCGGTTATAGCCACTTGCTGTAGTACTTCATATATATTTTATTTTTTTAATGACAAGTCCCATATATGCCGTTGTTCAAGTCTATAATATACAAGCTACGAGACCTCATTAAGCTGAACGTGGAAGATCGTGCAAACCTATGTACTTTACGACGTCTTTACTGATATACAGGGTGTTCAAGTTTACTTCTTTAAATTTACGTATTATTCAAATTTTTCGAGTGATTTAGAAGAATGTCTGTGATTTGATGGCAGACCTTGAGGAATCTAATCTCTGTTGTTTATACTCAACTCAGTTATCTCAGAGGCGGCGCTACCGAATTTTAACAGGGTACTTCGCGGTTTAACTAAGCATGCAACGGGTTACTTTGTAAGTGCGGTCAACGGTATTTGTATAAAAAAGTATTTACATTCATCGATCAAAGACGAGAAAATCAACAAAACTCACAGTATGTGAACCAAGCATATTTACTATATGAATTTTGGATTATTTTAATGTTATACGGATCAAAATCTGTGTCTTCTGTTTTTTTATGCGTCCCGATGTTTAAAACTCGAGCAGTTTAGGAATAGTTTACACCTACCAATTTATTTGCAGTACCGTGCTTAGTTAATATTCGAAATGCCCGCTAAAAGCGCCGCCACTGGGGTGATTCAGTGGGAATTCCCTTAATTCTTACCGTCAATTCACAGAGTTTCACCGAAATAGCTCAAGTAATTTAGAAGAACTGAAGTCTCAATATTATAAGAAATAAACTTGAACACCTTATATCTCAAAAAGAAGACGATGCATAATAATAAGCATAATTTTAAAAGACTTAAAAAGCGTATAAAATTAATAGGTAGGCTTTTTCAGATACGGCATTTCAAATGTATTCTCCTAAATATCTTAAAAATCCATTCAGTGGACCAGAGTTCTGAGCTTCAGACCTAAAACACCCCAATAAAAGTGCATAAGACCAGCTGACATATCAGTTACTTATGCACTACTACTGACAACATTTAGTATTTACTACAAAATTACTTACAGGTCTTCTATTTTGGAGATTGAGAGGAATGCATCAGGATGGATGAAGGAGATCTGATTATCTTCCAAGTCCCTGGAATAATAAAAAGCTTATGTTAAAGCATACAGGGAGTTATAATAGTAGCAACCAAACTTCAAGGAGTGATTTTGATCCAATTCTTGTATTACAAACATAGTTCATAAAAAGCTTTTTTCTCATAATCAAGACCAATCTCTTTTCGAAAATCCGCTTTTAGTGAAAATGGTAGTTGCCCTTTATCAGTTTTGTTGAAGGCAGTTAAGAAGCCACACCGACATATCCAAAAGGTATTCATGGATTTAAATCTAGATAGTCGTGGAAGCTTTTGGTTTTAATGAAGCGTATCTCTTAAATTTGCTAATGCAACTCTGCCAACAATTTATCTAAAAAGCAGGAACGTACAGAGGATTGATACCTGGTAATCTCAAATGACAGATCTTTAGGCTTATGTCGATATGAATTTTTCTCCTCAGAATCGACCAAGAAATCACTCGTTGAGGTTTGTCCGCTCTGCATATATCAGACATTGAGGTTTCATCTGTAGAACTATCCTGAAATCTTAATCAGGGATAAATCAGCAGTTGCAGTGTAGGGTTTCATAATGGTACTTACAGAACTTGCAATTTCGACAGGTTGGAAAACGCGTTCTGAGGAATGTATTGTATTTGATTATGGGCCAACAGCAGGTCATGCATCTGGAACATTCCCCTGAATGGCTTGTCCTCAATGGATTTGATGTAATTGCTTGCCAGATCTCTAAAAAATAGTACATCTGAAGGGTTGTCGTCATTTTATATGAAATTCATGAATTTTTATGGTTATGTAAATGATTATGCTATATTTATCCGCTGTTGAAAGTGAGGTAAAGGTTACACATAGCGACTCAAATCTTGCACTGAACTGATCCTAACAAGGCCGTTAACTTTTCAAAGCTTTTATCTTAGTAAACAATACCGGACCCAACACGTTTCAGTACTTACAGTACTCTCATCTCATGGCATTTGTTTAAATCAGGAACCTGCTTCAGTTTGTTAGACTTCAGATCCCTGGAAATAAAGAAATTTTGTCGTTTGTAAGTAAATAGAAAACGAAATCTTGGAAATAGTAGAAAGGAACTTACAGGCTTTTCAACTTGGGACACCATTCGCAGAGTATAGCTGGTACTTCGGAAATACCGGCCCTGTCTAATCTCAAAATCTCCAAAGCGCTGGTTCCATTCAGATTTGGAAACGTCGACAACTGTCTCGCATCAGATAGGATGCTGTTTGGAAGAAATTGTATGAAAATTTCACAAAATAATAGAAATGAGGAAAACTATAACCGGATATTATTTTAGGCCTTGCTTGTTACATTTTCGGTGGCCTTGAAGAAATAAGGCACTGTGGCAAAGTATGTGGATGAAATTTCATTGTTAATCCCGTCTCAAAGTTACACGTGAAGTAATAGATCTAATGTCAAAAAATGTTCAAGGAAGAGAACTTCTAGCTAGCCATTTTCCATTATGGCACTCACCGTCTACAATTCATTTTGACTCATTTCAACAGTTTTTTTCTAAAGAATACCACTCAAATCATAGGTACATACATACGTACAAACCGCAACAAAGTTATACTAAGTGACATATAAATCCGAACACCCAAGTTTAAATGGTTTTATTTTAATAAAACTTTGTATAAGTACTTAATAAAGCATAATAAGTAAATGATAAATTTCAAAATGATTGCACTGCTTTAAAGCCCTTTGACCTTTAATAATGTGTGGATGCACCCTGATGTGCTACGCATTCTCCAACGCGCCTAGGCATGCTTCTGATCAGGTGGTCAATGTCCTCCTGTGGTATCTCATTCCAGGCAACCACCAACTCCTCTCGAAGTGCTTCTAGAGTCTGAGGAGGACGTTGCAAATTGAGCAATCTCCTACCCATCATATCCCACACGTGCTCAATTGGGGATAAGTCGGGAGATCTTGGTGGCCATGGTAACAATGTGACATCATTATGTTGAAAGAAATCTATTGTGACTGTTGCAACGTGTGGTCGGGCATTATCTTGTTGGAAAGTTGGATCTGCCAGGGTGTCAAGATAGGGTAAAAGATGGGGTTCTAGAACTTCGTGGATATAACGCTGCGCGTTCATGTTACCTCTGATGAAGATTAAAGGTGACCTGGAACCATAACTCCAACAGTGTGATGCACATGTCTTTCAATAAAAAACTGTGGATTCCTCCTTTCACCACGTCGCCTTCTAACCCTGGCACGACCATCGTGCATGCCTAAACAAAATCGAGACTCATCACTAAAGACAATACTGTTCCATTCCTGATCCCAGAGTGACCGTTGTTTGCACCACTCAAGGCGATTACGTCGGTGTTCTCGAGTTAAAAGGAGGACCCAGTGTGGCCGGTATGAAAACAAGCCAAAACTTCTCATTCGTCGGTAAACACTTCGCATGCCAATAGGTCTTCCGTGTTCTGCAAACCATTCATTTGCAATGGACCTGGTAGTGGAGAAACGGTCCCTCAAGGCCAATAATCTTAGGCGGCGATCTTCACGGTCTGTTGTTCTACGGCGGTGTCCAGTGCCCCTTGCTCTTTGCGTACGGCTTTCTCGAAGCCATGCCTGACAACACCTAACCACAGTGTCTACACTTCTTTGCACTCTAACTGCAATTGCCCGAAAAGAAAGTCCAGCTTCCCGAAGTCCCACTATACGGCCCGTATCAAACTCACTAAGTTGACGAAATCGTACAGGTCTCCGTACTCTAGGCATCGTAACCGATTGTAAAGGATGTCAAGAACCAAAATCCGCCAACGTTGATTCTTTACTGCGGCTGAAATATTCATTTTTAGAGCGTTAGTGAATTAAAAAAAAGCAGTATAAAAACCGGAATGTCCAACTGATAAGGCTGAAAATTTTTTCACTTGTTATTTACAGTAAGATAAATACATTCACCAACTTTTATTAAAATAAAACCATTTAAACTGTGTGTTCGGATTTATATGTCACTTAGTATATTACACAAAGTTTAATTAATAAAAATACATTCAATAACCCTGATTAGCACAGGTAATAAAGCAAATGGTAGTAGAAAAAAGAAGTGTTATGTAACAAATTGGAACTATATACAATTTTATTCCCCTCATAAATTTTATTTTCCCTCTCGTCACAATATCCAGTTGCCGGTTACAGTTTGCCACGAAACTATTAAGAACAGCGTGTAAAATCCGTGTAAGTGTCAAACTCTGGCTGATTAATTAACTGTTTTGTGTTCACCGCTATTGTCTGCTTCTTTTTATAAACGCCGAATTTATTTCAGTCCAGGTGTCCGCACATGCCATGCGGCTAAAACTGGTGCAGCTGTTTTGTATAAAATGACATAAACCATTCTTCGCAAAACCTGAAGGTCAATAATGAATTTAACCAATAATGTTGCTGATAAAATATTTGAGGATAATCTCAAAAATTAGATACATTGCACCGTTCATTACATTTAATCTGTGTAGTAGACGGAGAAAGTTTGGGGGTCTTAGGGCATTTGGGTCTAGATAGATATCAGCATTGCAATGGTGTTTCTATATCGGCTGAAAGCTCGTCTAGACACGATACCTTGAAACGATTTTGTCATAATCTACGCAGATTAACGAAATTGTGTTAGCTTTGAAGCGTGTTTGTCCAACAAATGCTGCAATATGATTGAATATTGTAAAATTACAAAATTAGACGTAGCCATTATGAAATAAAATTGAAGTAATGTGGAACATAATACTTGCAGCTTTCGGAGCCGTGGTAGGAAGGCAAATGCTGAATTGTGAACACCATTGAGGGGGTTTCCTTTAAGTTCAAGCAAAGCCAACGTTGGGGTCTTCTGTAGTATCCCTCCTTCTATGTACTTGATCCTGTTTCCTGAGATTGACCTGTATATCAAGAAACAGTAAGGGTTATGGGAGTAGAATCATAATAATCAGATTTTTCAGACATAGTCGTGATTTTTTCTTGAAACTACGAGTATTTATGGCACATTGAACAATTTACTGCAGACACTGTTAATCTTGATGAGGCACATTCAAGAACAATTCTCATATGTCAACGTTGAATACTACCTAATCATACAAAAAGCTAAGTACCGCTATGTATCTGCTAGTTACCCTCAAATATGTCTTTCAGGTTTGAAGTTTTCCTTATTCATATTTAACAACTGTAGTCTGCGACATAAGAGCTAGATGTTATCGATGTTCAATAATTATTCCGCCGCAAATGACCGATTCTCAAAAACTGCATTCTTTGTCCTTTTCTGTGGTTCTTTGTAATGTTAATGAATGCCACAACTAGAAAATGTGGAACAAGTGACTCTGGCAACAACGGTACACTTCCAATTCGTTGGTATACATGTGGGACAGCTAGAAGATTAATACGATATGACACCCCTGTGGGCTGACACAGACAGGCTTCCTCCTAATTTGACCTTTAAATGACCCTAAGCTATTATCATAGATTCAAAAAACTAGATTGACTATGGTGTTAACATTTTTGCTGGCGGATCTAAGAAAAATGGCGGACTGCGGACTAAACTCTAGAAGCCTCCGTATGAATAACAAGTTGACAAACGTCTCAGCGTTGACGTAGGTCGAATTAGCTGACATAACTTAAGCCACTAAATAAATTGCCCACAGAAATGCACTATCGGTATCTGCACAGATAACAGACAAGCAATAGTGACTCTCAAGTGTTGCAAGCTTACAACGACAACAGTACCGAACTGCCTTTTGGCACTTGTGGGTGCCTCCATCAGTGAATAGTTGCCTGGATAAAGAGTAACGCACAATAAAAGGGAACATTATAGCTAAAGGACTGGCAAAAAGGGCTGCCAAAACCGGGGTTTAGGACCCTAAACCCCTCAGCCTTTTACCAATCGAAACCACGACAAGTATGCTGCAAGAACACACCCATAAAGTGGAATGATACGTCGAGATGTTTATTCGCTAAGCAATTCCTCACATGTCCGATTGTGGAAGCAGCAGCATGTGCAGACAGCCTCGATATGCCAGTGCACTGAGACTGGGCACATCCCTATTACATGCGAGTCAAAGATACATCTTTATGTAGAGGATGTGAACATCAAGAACATATACAGGGTGACTTGTAATGTCACGTATTGCTGTTAAGGGGTGATAGATTCAAAAGCAACCGATTTTATCCTATAATGTCCTATCCAGAAGTTCACCGCCTTTGAGTTATTTGACTTTTATTTTTTTTTTATTTTTTATTCCGATTTTATACGGTTAAATTTGAAATAAAAAAAACTACATTTTTGATTTTGAGTTTTTTGTTATCGTCGCATAGCGGACATTCCAGTAGTTCATAATAGGTAATAAAATGTTGAAAACTTACAAAAGCTTTAAAATTACGCTTTTGAAATGTATGATTTTCTTATTTTTTTACTAACTAAATAAAAAATGCAATTTTCTGTAAAAAAATCTCCTAGTAATGAAATGTGTAAATTATGTAAATAATATCTCTATCTAACAAGCTTTCATTTGAGGTATAAAAGTTACAACTAACGCAAGTACAAAGATATAAAATTAAAAAAAGGTGAGTAAAGTTGTACGAACGATAATTACGTAGGATAAATAAAAGGCTTTTATTTTAATTACAGTTTTATTTAATTACATTTCCTTTAGTATTTTACAGATTCTACTCAAATTGTAATCCCCTGTTACGAATACACGCCCGCATTCTCTTACGTAATTCACTTTTGGTAATTCTAGTTGTTAAGCGGCTTTTTATTTGGTCAGCTGCACTGATTATCCTTGTAATTAATTCATTGCGCGTTGGTACGGGTGCAACATCGTACACCAGGCTTTTCATATGTCCCCACACATAGTAATTGATCGGTGTGAGATCTGGGCTTCTCCCTGGCCAGGCAATGGGCTCGCCTCTGCCAATCCATTGATTTGGAAATTTAGAGTGTAAATAGGCCCGTACTAATCTACTGTAGTGTGCGGGACAGCCGTCGTGCTGGAACCGCATATTTTGCCTCGTCGCCAATGGGACGTCTTCCATTAATGGAAACAAGTGATTTTTCAAGAACTCTTTATACACCTTTCCATTTAAATTGGTGGGCAGACAATGAGGTCCAATTAAATATCCATCAATGATGCCCATCCACACATTGACTGAAAACCGGCTCTGAGACCCCGTCGGTCTTATTTTTCGGGGGTTTAAAGCCTCTTTATCAGCCCAGTAATGAGCATTATGGTAGTTAGTGATCCCGTCCTTATCAAACTTTCTATTCATCGGTCCACATAATTTTCTTAAAATAGTCTGGATCTTCTGTATGTAACATGTACCTGCAGAAATCTAATCGTCTTGCAGGACCGCCCTCTTCAATCACATGTACAGGCGTGTAGTGATAAGGGTATAATCTTGCAGTATGCACAGTAAACCATACTTTGTATTGTGATATACCCAACTGAGCAGCCACAATGCGCGTAGACGTAGTAGGGTCTTCCTGAAACACGCGAAGGATTTCCTCTTCTATCTTCAGGAGGATAGACTCGGGATCGACCAGCATCACTATGTTGCCTTTGAACACGTCCAGGTTGGCGGATGCGCCGATACACAGAGTCAAACACAGTAACAGGAGGTGTTCGGCGATTTGGGAAGCGTTGCCGATATTCACGGCCGGCAGCTGCAGAATCGCCGTTACAAAGTCCATAACAGAACATTATGTCTGCGTATTCTTCATTTGTAAAAGTTTGCCCGTGCTCGCTATGGCGAGGTGCTGGCGGATCTTCTGCGTCTGCCATGATGATAAAGAAACCACTCGAAATGAACTGAGAAACTCGAAAATAATAATCGTGCGTAAAACGTGTGCGCGTACGCAGTAGTTGATAACAACTAAACCTAATTCTCACTCGGCGTGCGGCGATGGCGTAACTACAATGATGAATAATAACAGCTCTCTCTCTCTCACTACTCCACTAAGTCAGCTCTTCTCGCTCGCTTCCTCGTCGAGCCGATGCCATAAAACAATCATGGCATGCGAGTCCTTTGAGGACAGTAACGGCTTGTTCAAACAGGTAATACAAATTCCTTAAAAATCCAGCCTCTGTGGGTGTCATTGTTGTTTCTCTACATGTACTTCAGATAATTGAGCGCTTAATTCCTCAAATGAAAGCTTGTTAGATAGAGATATTATTTACATATTTTGCACATTTCATTACTAGGAGATTTTTTACAGAAAATTGCATTTTTTATCGAATAAGTTAGTAAAAAAAATAAAATGATACATTTAAAAAGCGTAATTTTAAAACGATTGTAGCTTTTCAACATTTTATTACTTATTATGAACTATTGGAATGTCTGCTATGCGACGATAACAAAAAACTCAAAATCAAGCATGCATTTTTTTTGTATTTCAATTGTAACCGTCTGAAATTGGAATAAAAAATAAAAAACTTAAAATTCACATAACTCAAAAATAGTTAACTTTTGGATAAGACATGATAGGACAAAATCGGTTGATTTTGAGCTAATCTATCACCCCTCAACAGGAATACGTGACATTACAAGTCACCTCTTCTAACAATTCGTGAATCTATTCTGGAGGAAGATTGGCCTACTATCGCTATTGTAAGCGAAATTCAATAGTCTGTGGTGATTGATGATCCAGCCCTGGATGATCCCTAGGTAGAACACAGGAGGGCTCCAATGTGGCCCAGGTGCTGTGATCAGGGCTGATTGCCCTTTCGCCCCTCTATGATATAGGACATTCAAAAAACATACATATTTAGAAATATTTTCTGAGAAAAGTTTCGAACTACACCGTCCAGCCGAGTATTTGATACCTAGAACTGGCTGCCCTAGGACGTTGTTAATGCATCCACAGTTAACCAGTTCAAGAACCGTTTCGACGGATGGATGCACGACGAACTCTAGTTTGCTTATGACATGATCTGTATCTCTGTTTGAAGTTTACAGCTTTTGCTCAACTCATCTATTATGTATAATAATAATAAAATCGATCAAAGTGGTACTGTTCTCGATCCGATTACAAGCGTATCAAAAAGTCTCCATGTTTCACTGATTACTGATGCTAAACTTTTCTTGAAGTGAATACTACCCAGAATTCACTACCTAATCCCTGTTTCAGAGTTGATTTGAATTTCGATATCTCTCATCTGTCGGTGCTTTAATGAGACCCGGAAGTTCTTCGTAACTCCAATGATTCTCAATATCCGCATTTCCAACAATACCGAAATTTTCAATTATCTTCCATGTAACTTAACCTCGTTGCACTTCCTTAATTTCCGCCAGTAACGCCGTCCATTAGAACGGGAACTTCCGCAGAACTTACTAATTTTCCAAAGTGCATTAGATATATTTCCTTCCTCCCGACTGAGCTTATCCTACTTCCGACCAAATGTACTTATTATTTCCAAATTGAATCGGAAAAGTTGGAATGTGCCCACAAGACTGCACTGGAGCATCTAGTAGTACATGTACAGACAAGCAACAAAACTAGGGATATTTCAGCGAAACGATCCTGAGGTAGACGAAACGCCATTTTCCAGCATATGCGCTCTTTGGGGTCCGAGGCTGATAGTGTTTATTTATTGCTGAGTTCGCATTTTTTGGTGACGTCATAAAGTGCTTCTAGACTTTTTGGAAGTAGAGGAGAGTATCTACTTTGGACATGCATTTTTTACTGATACAAATATGCAAACTAGCTAAAAGTATGCGTGCCGGACATCCAAAAATGAAATACTACGTTTTTTGAATGATATATGACATGTACATATACATAAAAAAAACACGTCACTCATTGTCTGTCCGCTAATCTTATAACTGCCTATAATTCGAGAAGTACCGCCTGGATTTTGATGGAAGGTCCAAATAATGTTACTACTGCGCCAAGGACGCCAAAGCTGTGTAGTTTTAGAAAATCGGTCCAGCAGCAGCGGAGAAAAAGGCCAAAAATTAAGAAAATATATATACATACATATAGAAATCGCTAACCCTACGTTTTTTTACGCTTTAAAGAATCCTCACCATCTTTGAAAAAACTTTCAGTGGTAAAAATTTGGGGGTGAGGGATCTATTTATGTATTTATGCACTCCCAACCTTGGTAATTATACGCATGCATCTGACTGAGTTTTTTACCTCAGAGGGTCTAGTTTTTCTGAAAGTAATCATCCTACTTGGCTACTTTTTTTTCGTTGTGCCTCACCGCACCGCCAGTATATGAGTCTTCTACATTTATGCCTTTCACTGCTTTTCAGGGGGCGAATCACTTAGCCATGTTCGTCTTCGATGTAAAACATGGTCAATGCCTGAAGGTACAACTACTGTGTTTTTCAGAAAAGGAGTCGCCCTCAGCGAATTCATCTGTGTGTGCAAGAGCAAGTAGCAGCTGCGGCACGGAGCGACTTGCGCAGTGTGCAATTTCACTTAGGGAGGATAAGCTACCCACATTATACCATTATCGAACCTGTTTAATTACTTTGCATAACCATTGTGACGTTATCGCCAAAGACTGTAAAAAGTAATAATAATCAAAACAGCAGAACTGCATAGTGCTGGCTGAATGCGGACAAGAAGCATAAAAGGATCTGGGCGAAAACAGACCTCGTTGTTGAATGTTCTGCAGGTTCATGAGTTGTTTTCTGGGAGGGTTGAAGTTTTAAAAAAGGGCACGTGTCGTTTGTTCATATTTTTTAAGCGTCTCATTACTACCACTTAGTTAATTAGGCTTTTGAGATAAGTTGCTTGTAACGAATTCTTGGGTATAACAAATTTACTATAAATCTTCACTTTCCGATATCTTTTTTATTTGAGAAATAACTGGTTTTGTGGGATAAGTTAGTTGCGAATTTGTAAGAAAGTGGAAGAAACTCCCAAACTTTGACTTACAGTTCTTGGAGGTCCGGAAGCTTTGTCACAGCTGTTGGTATCTGGGTTAGGAAATTGTCGTCCAATTCTCTGAAAAGTAATCAAATGTTTATCATTCAAACGTTGCAGCTATTAAATCTAAATTAAGTTCCTCAAATTCTATACGTAACCAGTACTGAAATGTGGATTTTTGATTTTTTATTGTTTATCCAGAGTAATTGACAAATAATTTTGAGAGAATGTAGAAAAGTTTATCTGCCACAGAATGTCCTTCCGGTCTGATTCCAAAAAAAAACATCTCTGGAGCAGGAAAGACTGCTGCGGACAAAAGCCACAACTTCCCCGTTCTTTCTCAGACTGGAGTCCACCTCGTAGTTTGGGAAGTTGAGATGCTTAATCGGTGCAGATTCTGAGATTTTCGTCTCGGCCAATAAAAGCACGGCGGGACGATTGGATTGCAGGTAGCGATGAACAGCATCAATGTTGCTGTTAATCCCGCAGTTGTTCGAAAAACAAATTTTATCTTCGATGTTGTTCCCTCGAGCCCACCCTCAACCCGGACATTCCGAGAGTGGAGTGAGTTTACGTCCGGAGTTCTTAGTGCTCGAGGGATCCACCATCATTAATTTCTTTGCTTTGGAAAATAACCGACTGCATAGCTTAGGTGTGGAAACGTGCGGACGTTAATAAGACACCCTGGGAAAAGCTAGCGGATGGTACCGCCTCGGCCGACTGGTCCTTGTCTATCACCTTCTTTTTACATGTTACGCGTGTACAATCACTTGAACGGGAAGAAGTTGTATACTGGATACAACAACTTCCGGAACAAGCATTTGTCCCGGCCCCGCTCAGTAGGTAGATATAACATTTTTATGATAAGTTCTTGAGTTATAAGCGATTCATTATACACTAATGTTCGAATTTGGCAGCCCGCCAGTCTACGATTTTGAAAGACAGTAACCTTATGGGCCAGGAATATACAGTATTCATAAGGAGCTTCAAAATAAACTACCACCGAATTCCTTTAAAAAAAATGTCCAAGATGGCGTCCAGTCTGTCACATTTACGTTGAAATGTAATATTCATACATCAATTTCATCAACCCGAATACCATCCCGCTAACTTGTTCAAAGAATGGAAGGGGGGGGGGGCATTTTGAAAAGTATTATCTTCGACCTCGAAAAAAACGATGAAAACAAATATGGATACAATTACCATCAATGAATACTTACAGAACTTTTAGGGACGTTATATTGGAAAAAACTTCGTCATCTATTTCCGTAATTTGGTTCCTTTTCATTAGCCTGGAAGAATATGGACAGATATGAGAAATTACTTCCAAAATGATAAACTTATAAATAATGGTATAATTATGTTTATATTAATATTTCCATATCTCATTCAAGGTATTAGATTTTACCAGAATCGATTTTTCATATATACAATAAATATACCACCTGATAGGGAATTTACCTCAAATTACATGACTTCGTTTCACAAAAAAAACTTTAAATGGGTCTCAGAACTGTCATTTTCCTAGTCGAATAGTCAATCCACAATCGATAAAAGTGGAAAAATGTGAGTTTCACAAATACTTCTAGTCGGCCCACTTGATGCTGCCCGAAATTTCAACAGTTCATTCATGAAAAATAGAATAATTATAAAACGGTTTTTATCTTTGAGCTCGTGAATTGTCTGGATAAAATATAGTTTACGAGGTATTTTGGCAACAAAAATAAACACGGGATTATAGAGAACAGTGAACTCTGAAATATCACATGTGTTTTATATTGATGGAGCTAAATTCCTTCGGACGAATGCACGTAATATACAGTGTGGTCCATGAAGCCGTAAGGCACTAAATTGGTGAACATAATATTAGATCAATAATCTTTTGGTGAAATAATCGTCGTTGGTGTGCTGCGGAATCGTTGTTTGTCTATTCTTAAAGCTGTATCGACACGAAAATCGAAAATCTAGCATTTATGAAAATAACTGTTCAATTCTTCAACATGACTTTTGGGGGGCGTTAGTTACAGCTATAATCTCACCATCTTGTGCTAAAACTTTCCTTTCAGATAAACGATTTATTATAACCTAATGAATGGCTCAAAAATAGTTCGTAGCGAATGAAATATGTAAGTCCTAGTAACCCTGTGTCGTTTACTTCGCAATACTCATTTACTTTACAATATTTTAAATTACAATTCAGAATTATTATTCAAAAAATGATTCACAAAAGCCTCTGATTTGACAGTTTGGCGGATAGAACCTACCCCCAGTAAAGATTGTCGAGCATCAATTAAAATTTCATACTTCAGCTGAGAATTGGAGTATATCTCGAACAGAAACATTGTTTTCGATTCCTTAGCAACAAACAACACTTTTTTTTGTACTTCCTGTATTCTAACATCGCATATCATGGTACTGTAACTCAAGAAGATAGGCCCACTTTGCGATCGAATTTCGTACGCCATTGCGCATGACGTCACTCGGTGACAAATGTTCCGCTCGACGGTGTGAAATGCATGTATTAGAGCGTTTTCTTTTCGGTAATTGGAATATTTGCTTCACAGTTTTTGGTGATATCGATTCTACAGGATCATTTTAATACTATGTATATTTTTATTTGTATTTTGATCTTTCTGTCAATAGAATTTGATGAAATCTGTCATTATAGACAGAATCTATTATTTCTCTAAAGCTACCACTTTTGAAAACAAAATAGACAAAGTTTAAGATTTTTAATTGTTCAATCACTGGAAATGTGTCTGTAATAGCTTTTCAAACTAAAATCTCTTTAGAGGTCCAAGCAAAAAGACCTTTTTTAACGAAACAAATTGATTTTATACACCTTAAGAAAAACCATTGTTATACATGGGAAATCATTTCTTGGCAACAGCGCATCGACTCGTCTACTTTCATCGCTATTCGTACATATTTCCTACCGTTAACCGCAGACCTGTATCACGAATGAGAATAATAGGCAGAGACTCTGTGTTGCCAATTTGAGTAGAGCTTCCCGAATTGTGGGGAATTTAGAGTTAAGTGTTGATTCATTCAAGCTTTTAATCAGCATGGCCTAGACGTTAGAACTTCATAAAGATAACATTGAAGCTGAATGCTGCTGGAGTATAGTGTTTCGAATATTCAAAGCGGAGCGGGACACTATACTCGTTCAATGGGTCATCAAGCCACAGTCTTTTCGACAAAGAAATTATTTTACGAAAATGCGTTATATTTTTACGATTTTGTCGTCACCAAATCTCTGTTTCTCAAAATGTACGTCTATTGTAGAATTTTCAGCAAACTAAGCAAGAAACGTGATCTAGTATTTACTCAACATTACGGATTTCTCGAAATACATTAAAAAATGTGACCTAGATACCTATCTGCCCCAAGCTCTTTAAATATAACACCTTAAACCAGGGTTACCAGGTGCTCAGTCACGTTGATTGTCATGTTGTACTGCGCAAGTCAGCAAACAATCTGGCGTAATAAACGTTAGGAATCATCAGGTATTGCCAGATTCCCGAATACCGGGAACCATAGTAACCGTTATAGTTGTCCTTCAAAGTTGTCAAATCGCCCCTATGGCGCAAATTCGCCACACCAGGCAACTGTGCTATAAACAAACCCTGTTTATCACTACTATTTTAACAATATACAAACATGAAAAATATGATTTGGACCATGAAACATTAATAAAATTTTAATAGTTTGAACTTTTTTCATTTTTGGAATACTCTTATGTGGAATCCGCAGCTATTTTTCCCGAAATTTGGGTAGACTTAGATTTCTTAGAAATATGACATATTGGTATCGGCAACTCTGCGAATGGGAGAAACAAATCGCATTTGTTGAGCGCATCCGTCTAAGCGGTAGGCGCCAGCGCCCGTTCTGCCATCTCTCTCTTTTATCACTCTTCTACTTTACCCCGTTGTCCGTCACACTCCGACGCTGCCACATAGGATCCTACAATCGAGTGTCTTTCACGCACCTACATACTTTTGTATATTTCCATCTCTCTTCCTCATCATAATGTATAAGCCTTTGTGCACTAGTAACATACCTATCTAAACTGTTATATTAACTTTTTATATATAAAAATCACAGAGAACAAGATAATGTATGTGTGATATCTTTTATAACTTTTTATAAAATGTTATGTCTAGATGGTTTTTCAATTTTTTTTATGGGTAGGTATCAACAAAAATCTGTTGTATTGGTAAGCCGTTTTATTGGATTCGCTTTATAATTTTGACCAAATTTAACCCTGTTCTTCATTCGTTTACTGCGAAAAGTCGGCGCCCTTAATAATTTCATCAAATAAAAAGGTAGGTATTGAATTACTTTTCGATTTCCATTATTTTGATAACAACTTTTTTCTTTCTTTGTCCCATCACTTCACAGTGCACCACACTTTAATGCTTAGTTCACTATTTTTAATTACATTTCACACACCAGATAACAAATTAATGAACCAATCACAAATTACGCTATATGAAACTAAATGTTTATCACCCTTCTGTGAGGAATTTTGCCACAGAGTGACATCACGCAGGCGCATTGGTTTATCTTCTCGAGTAATAGTATCATGATTCTGCATCATTAGTCTAGGATTGCTTTTCGGTGTCTTCATCATGTGTATGCATTGCTAGAAAATGTAGAAAGTGTGTTTCACGACGAAACATGTTCAAATTTTCAGTTTATACCTAGCTAGCTAGAATCTGAATAGGCGAATACGAGTGTCCCTTTCAAAAACTTTTCTCTCCTAATAAAGCGCCATAATAAAAGCAATTTTCTTGTGGACCGTATCCCTTCTATCAGACGCATATATCGTCGACTGTCACATCCCAAAAAGTTTCTGCTAGACCTCCAAATTTATACTTTTCCTTCGGTGTTGGCCTTTTATCAGGGACGGAAAGCCGAAAACGAGCTTATACGAAGATTTAGCGCTACAAGTATACTTTATGAAATCATATTTCTTGTAGGCCGAGGTATTAGAATAACATGTATAATAGAAAAGTTCCGGCAATTCTTTACTGTCAAATCGTATGAAACGGCTTTCGACGTACTTTGGAGGATTTGGGATAAAATATAGGATGTGTTATGGTGGGGGTATATAATTTGTCTTTTTTCACTAAGAAGGACTTGCAGACACGATTTGCCTAGCACACTAAATAATAATAATAGATTTTTGTATCTCATCTTTATTTTATCTTTTAAATGCAAATAACTCTCCCAGGCTATAAAAACACTTATCAGCTAGAAATGATTTCAATTGATTTTGGAATTACTTAATGTAGGGGCTACTTGGATATACCTGTATCCTTTTAAATTATCGAAATTCTTACAACCAATGCAACCAAAGGATTTTTGATACGTCGCAGTGCGATGTTCAGGGGGTATTAGCATATTCTTTGATCAAATTTGATGATTGTGTTCCTCTTTATTATTGAAAAGAATTTATAAATACATGTCTCGGCAGGATTCAAGGCGATATGCACCTTAGGTTGTAAAAGTGCTTGCGTCCAGCCTTGATGAAATGTATTATTTTTTAAATACTGAAGTTTAGAATCAGAGCTAAATGCTCTGGTCACCTTTGACCAAATTTAACTGACATTGTTGCTTGATTGTAGTAATTGATTAAGTCTACACCTCATGAAAATATGAGAACATTATAATTTACGCAATGTTTCAGTTGTCTACTATTACTGAGCCATGGATACTTACAAAACCATAAGAGTGTTCATTTGTGGAAATGCGCCAACTCTAAGCGATGGAATCAAATTGTTACCTAGGTTCCTGAAAAAGAAATTGAAATATTCGATCAAATACTGACTATTATTCAGGGACCCAGAATGAAAGAAAATACTTGAGTTGAGAGTGAAGAAATGCTGAAAGTATATGGTGTTCAGTCTATAACTGTCTGATTTGTTCGTCCAATATTTTTGTGGGTCTAATCGTTTTTAGAAATCACAATGATCCTCTTGGACACACTGTATTCTGAACTATTAGCTTGTTTGCGAATAACTCTTAATTGCTGCGTTAGCCAATGAACGTTATGAAATGTGATGATATATACTAAGTGACATATAAATCCGAACACCCAGTTTAAATGGTTTTATTTTAATAAAATTTTGTATAAGTACTTAATGAAGCATAATAAGTAAACGATAAAAATTTCAAAATGATTGCACTGCTTTAAAGCCCTTTGACCTTTAATAATGTGTGGATGCACCCTGATGTGCTACGCATTCGCCAACGCGCCTAGGCATGCTTCTGATCAGGTGGTCAATGTCCTCCTGTGGTATCTCATTCCAGGCAACCACCAACTCCTCTCGAAGTGCTTCTAGAGTCTGAGGAGGACGTTGCAAATTGAGCAATCTCCTACCCATCATATCCCACACGTGCTCAATTGGGGATAAGTCGGGAGACCTTGGTGGCCATGGTAACAATGTGACATCATTATGTTGAAAGAAGTCTATTGTGACTCTTGCAACATGTGGTCGGACATTATCTTGTTGGAAAGTTGGATCTGCCAGGGTGTCAAGATAGGGTAAAAGATGGGGTTCTAGAACTTCGTGGATATAACGCTGCGCGTTCATGTTACCTCTGATGAAGATTAAAGGTGACCTGGAACCATAAGCTATAGCACCCCAAACCATAACTCCAACAGTGTGATGAACATGTCTTTCAACAAAAAACTGTGGATTCCTCCTTTCATCATGTCGCCTTCTAACCCTGGCACGACCATCGTGCATGCCTAAAGAAAATCGAGACTCGTCACTAAAGACAATACTGTTCCATTTCTGATCCCAGAATGACCGTTGTCTGCACCACTCAAGGCGATTACGTCGGTGCTCTCGAGTTAAAGGGAGGACCCAGTGTGGCCGGTATGTAAACAAGCCTAAACTTCTCATTCGTCGGTAAACACTTCGCATGCCAATAGGTCTTCCGTGTTCGGCAAACCATTCATTTGCAATGGACCTGGTAGTGGAGAAACGGTCCCTTAAGGCCAATAATCTTAGGCGGCGATCTTCACGGTCTGTTGTTCTACGGCGGCGTCCAGTGCCCCTTACCCTTTGCGTACGACCTTCTCGAAGCCATGCCTGAAAACACCTAACCACAGTGTCTACACTTCTTTGCACTCTAACTGCAATTGCCCGAAAAGAAAGTCCAGCTTCCCGAAGTCCCACTATACGGCCCCTATCAAACTCACTAAGTTGACGAAATCGTACAGGTCTCCGTACTCTAGGCATCGTAACCGATCGTAAAGGATGTCAAGAACCAAAATCCGCCAACGTTGATTCGTTACTGCGGCTGAAATATTCATTTTTAGATCGTTAGCGAATTAAAAAAAAGCAGTATAAAAACCGGAATGTCCAACTGATAAGGCTGAAAATTGTTTCACTTGTTATTTACAGTAAGATAAATACATTCACCAACTTTTATTAAAATAAAACCATTAAAACTGGGTGTTCGGATTTATATGTCACTTAGTATATTAATGATATAGCTAGCCTCTATAATTAGAGCAACCTCCTCTAGAATGATGAAAATGAGAAATTTTGGGCCAAAATATCGAAAATTCAATTCAACTCATATAGAGTGATAGGTTATTTTTTTTTCGGGTTGCATTTGTATTGTCTGACAAAAAAAAATAATCAAGGGTTTATGAACAAATGATTTTTGACTGAAATGTCTGCCAAACGAATTATCAGATAGTACTATGAAAGATATTTTTGGATTCTTCGAACAATTCCACTATGGAATAATCATATATTGAGGTGTGTGATAGCTTCCGATCATTGAAATTGTGAGAAAATGGAAATGTTATTAAGGCTAAAATATACATTTTATTTCCGAAAAATGGAAACTTTGAATGTGTCTTCAGAGCAAACCGTCAAGCCATGTCTCCATAGGTTTTGTTCAGAAATAAAATTGGGCCCAATACACAAACCTCCCTCGAGTATAATGAAAATTGTCAATTTTGGTCCAAAATATCGATAATTGGGTCCAAAGGCCAATCCTACTAACTTAAAGGCCCAAGTACAAAGTACTTTCTTCTTCTTTCCTTCTCCTTCACGATAAATATCAATTTGGTACATTTTCGGATTCGGAAGGCATTTAATTTGCCAGCTCACAATAGGCCAACGGAAAATTTCGAAAAATTCACTTTTAACTGAAACGAGTTACTATATCGGAATTCAGAGGCAACTTTTAACTTCCTTGGATAACCCAACGTCGGAATAGTCATATATTATGGGGCATAATACTTTTCAATGATACTACGAGCCCCTTCCCACTTGAGTTCGCCCAACTATTGAAATCTTAGTTTTTTTCTTATCAAACACAAATAATAAAAATGTAGCAGGGTGTTATAGGTTTAAAATATTAACAATGAATATTTTGATAATATATAGTAGAAAACACCAACTTTATCACTCCCTAATCAAATTTGCAGCATAAAAATAACACATGTTGCAATTACAGCATATCAACCTATTTTCATTTCAATGCAAAATAAGTCTATAACGCATAGGTGGCTATGAAAAATAAAACCATGACAATTGTTTTAACTAATCGCAGCTGTCAGAATACGTTTAAAATAGTTTTGGGTAGTAAAAGTTTTCAAAATGGGTAGAGAAAAGGTTATTAGTGAGAAATTTCGGTTACTGATAATTAAATTTTTTAATTCTGGGAAAGCAAACTCAGAAATTGCAACTTTGTTAGACTTATCGCGGTACAGTGTCAGAAATATTGTTAGAAGATATAACGTAACTGGTTCAGCTAATATTAAGCCACGATATGTGAAAAAAAGTAATATCACAAATGTCGACCGAAGAGCATTAGGAAGAATAATCGTGAAAAACAGGCGTGCCAATTATTTACAATTAAGTGCTCTGTGGAGTGAGGCTGATGGAAGGAGAATTTCGAGGTCCACAACTCATAGAGAAATTGGGATTGGGATTTAGCACTTGCAAGTTGTTTGCTTATAAAAAAAGCGAAGTAAAAACTCTAAAGTTACACAAGTTGTTTATAGGCCAAAGAAAAGCCACTATTAACTCCACTGCAAAAGAAAAATCCGCTTAGATGGGCTAAAGAACATAGACAATGGACACCTCAACAATGGTGTGCAATACAATGGAGTGATGAGGCCCTATTCGAAGTTTGTGTTGGTAACAGTCGCAGTGGAGTTATTCGCAAAAAAATGAAGCATTCCATGTCTGAAGAGAAAAGTGAAATTTCCAGCATCCATTATGGTCTGGGGCAGTATGTCATCAAAAGGAGTAGGAAAACTTCATTTTATTGATGGAAGAATGTTTGACATCCGGCCAAGATTTTGTGTTTCAGCAAGATGGTGCAGCGTGCCATACTTCAAAAAAGGCTATAAAATGGATGAAACAAAATAATGTACCACTTTTGAAATGGGTTTCTAGCAGTCCAGATCTGTGACCTATTGAAACTTTGTGGCACGAGATGAAAAAGGTTCTACGACAACATTCTGCTCGTACGATGACCGAACTGAGACAAAAGCTTCAAGAAATATGGGATTGTTTTGCACCAAATTTTTACCAAAACTTGGTTAACACTATGCCCCAAAGAATTTCAGCCGTAATAAAAAATAAAGGTAATTTTACCCAATGGTAATCTTTCAATTGTTGCTTTGTTAACTTTGCGCATTTATTCGCACATTGTTTATTTGTTCAGATGTTCTATTAGTTATAGGTCTAAGTGATTTCAAATATGTATTTTTTACGACTAGAGTGTATCTAAAATGTTTTTGGAAAATAAATTGTTTTAGAATTAAATAGTTTCGTCATGTTTAGTTTATAAAGGCATATTTTGGTACAAATCTTGAAGTGGGCCAACTGAAGTGGGAAGGGGCTCGTAGTAACGGAAGAATGGAAGTGTTTCCAAGACGATAAAATTCTCTTCCAAACCTTGTGCGCATCTTCAGACCAAAACGTCGGACGCTGAAATTTCACACAGCCTGAACAAATCCATGGGTACTCTTTAAAAATAATTTTGAGGGGGACTTGAAATACTACTCGCCAAGCCATGTCGTGGAACTTTAGTTTCCACCCATATACTGTCCACAAATAACTCTTTCATTGTGAAAATGATGGAAAAAATGGACTCAATCAATTTTTAAGAGGTTGGAGGAACAAATCAGTCAATTGTATACTGACCACACTGAGGTGTCACAGTTTTCAATGTGGGTTGTTAGTTGTCATACGGTTTATTACAATCGAAGTGTATATCGTTTCTGTACAAGCAAAGATAAAACAAACACAAAACAGTTACTATTACACTCTACTACTATCTACTTGTGTGTCCCAAATCTCGTTCTACTCCTTCTACTTAACTTGTTTGTTTGTTGTCAATCTACGCCTGAGTGAAGCGTATAATTCGAACTATCTACAAAGCTGTAAATAACAAGCCGCCAAGAGACATTTTCGTAAATGGTCGCACAACAACATTTATTTATTACCAATTAAACAAAATGCAGCGCGCACCATTCTGTATGGCAAAAGCCATGTGTCCCACAGACATTTACGCATAGCAAAGCATTGTTTATTATGTGTTAGTTGAATGTTTTGTTTTATGTTAGTCGCAGGCATGCATGTTATGAACTTTGCAGTCTTCGTACCCCACACAACTTTTGATGGTTACGTTCACATCAATATATTTCGATCCGATACAATGTTGCTGATGATAGAACATAAAGCAAGTATCGATATAGGATTAGCTCCACAGCCTTCATCTAGGAAGCTGTTGTCTGAATATTAGCGAGAGGC